ATTCAACACCATCCCTGGCGTAACATCACAACATATCTTACATCACATCACAACGTCATTGCAGCCCCACCCCAGGCCGAACCCCATTTCTGGCGTAACATCACAACATGTCGTACATCACGTCACAACGTCATTGCCCCACCCCAGCCCCATCCCTGGCGTAGTCATTGCAGCGAACCCCATCTGGCGTGACGTCACAACGTCATTGCAGCCCCACCCCACAACCCCATCTCTGTCACAACATGTACATCACATCATAACGTCATTGCAGCCCCACCCCAGGCCCAACCTCATTTCTGACGTAAGAGCACCACATGTCCTAAATCACATCACAACGCAACATGTCTTACATCACATTGCAGCCCCACCCCAGACCCAACCCCATCCCTGGCGTACAATCACAACATGTCTTACATCACATCACAACGTCATTGCAGCCCCACACCAGAACCAACCCCATCTCTGGCGTAAGATCACAACCTGTCTTACATCACATCACAACGTCATTGCAGCCCCACCCCAGACCCAACCCCATCTCTGGCATACAATCACAACATGTCTTATATCACGTCACAACGTCACATCACAACGTCATTGCAGCCCCACCCCAGACCCAACCCCATCTCTGACGTAAGAGCACAACATGTCCTACATCACATCACAACGTCATTGCAGCCCCACACCAGAACCAACCCCATCTCTGGCGTAAGAGCACAACATGTCCTACATCACATCACAACGTCATTGCAACCCCACCCCAGATCCAACCCCATCTCTGACGTAAGAGCACAACATGTCCTACATCACATCACAACGTCATTGCAACCCCACCCCAGAACCAACCCCATCTCTGACGTAAGAGCACAACATGTCCTACATCACATCACAACGTCATTGCAACCCCACCCCAGATCCAACCCCATCTCTGACGTAAGAGCACAACATGTCCTACATCACATCACAACGTCATTGCAACCCCACCCCAGATCCAACCCCATCTCTGGCATACAATCACAACATGTCTTATATCACATCACAACGTCACATCACAACGTCATTGCAGCCCCACCCCAGACCCAACCCCATCTCTGACGTAAGAGCACAACATGACCTACATCACATCACAACGTCATTGCAACCCCACCCCAGATCCAACCCCATCTCTGACGTAAGAGCACAACATGTCCTACATCACATCACAACGTCATTGCAACCCCACCCCAGATCCAACCCCACCTCTGACGTAAGAGCACAACATGTCCTACATCACATCACAACGTCATTGCAACCCCACCCCAGATCCAACCCCATCTCTGACGTAAGAGCACAACATGTCCTACATCACATCACAACGTCATTGCAACCCCACCCCAGACCCAACCCCATCTCTGACGTAAGAGCACAACATGTCCTACATCACATCACAACGTCATTGCAACCCCACCCCAGATCCAACCCCATCTCTGACGTAAGAGCACAACATGTCCTACATCACATCACAACGTCATTGCAACCCCACCCCAGATCCAACCCCATCTCTGACGTAAGAGCACAACATGTCCTACATCACATCACAACGTCATTGCAACCCCACCCCAGATCCAACCCCATGATCACGTCAATCGTACAAAAATGCATGAATTCCCCGGGGCCGTATTGGACGACGTCGGCAAAACCCAGGCCGCTCTAAAACAGCCGCACGTTATCACATAATGAATTGGCACCCCGATGCTTGCAACATGTTTGATATCGTAATTGCAATATTTTGCAATTCAAACACGGCGTTGTTTTCCTAAGGAAAAATGATGAACATAGTTTCAAAAATGCATTTCTTATACGTGGCCATTTTCCAGGATACTTCAAATTTGTTTGATGTCAATTGCTATTTTTTTTTTTGGGGTCTCTAACTTATACAATCTACATTTTTTACTAGAAAATCTCATGTGCGAACCTGACCCAGTGAACTCGTACAGGGATGTTTTCATTGTGGTTGTGATAGTCGTGTGATAGTGGTGGTGGTTGTGATAGTATGATAGTGCTTGTTGTGACAGTGGTGGTTGTGATAATCACAATGAAAACGGCGAAGGCCAGCCCTAGATCAGCAGGGTTTTAGATCAGATTTTTTCCCGCACCCCCAAGGTCAGAAACACGATGTTTTCTTAAAAACGATTTGCATATAACATTGGAGAAAGTGTGGGATGGGTAAAGCAGTTTGAACAGTTACCACTTGTTGGTTGATGAATACATCAAAAAATCTTCAATTCCAGAAAATGTTGATAAATTGTAAATGTGTAAGTTCTGGAACATGTGTTGGTACAAATTCAGTCCTGATGAGTTCTGGCCAGTGATATGTAGCAAAAATGTTTGCAAGACTTCTCGGGAAATTTCTGAAAAAAGGGCGCCCCAAATTTTTGACTGACGCGATTTTTTTCCAAAAGCACATGTTTTTCCCTTTTTGTCCTCAAAATGGTTCATTGTTTCCCCAATATTAAAAATGACTCGAAGGGTCCAGGTGGCAACGGGAAAATCGAATATTGAAGTGAAGGGAACAAATTGACAAATATAAAACCGCCGAGTGTTTTTTTCGAGATCTTTCATTTTCATCAAACATTTTTTTCCCCACCTGGCACGTGACAGTTGTTAGTTTTTTGATGTTTTTTGGCCAGCTGGCCCGCAGCCTTCCTCCTCCTCCTCCGCCGGATTTCAATTGCAAATTCTAGATCGCAGTGTTCCCCACCGGCATCAACTTCAGCATCAGCATCAACATTAACACCAACATCAACCCATAGATTGGACTTTGCTCTCCGGTGGAGCCTGAAACCACTTTAAACACAGTTGCGCCATTTGGCACATCTGGAAACTGGCCAGTATGAAACAGTTCAGTGTTTCACCGGGGCCATACCCCCCCCCAAAAAAAAAAAATCGAAAAACAAAAAAAATCAGTGGGCACGGGCACCCCGTCATAAAAATGAAACCCGAATTAGCTAGTGAAGGTAGCAGTGGTAGCTTGATTTCTGATGCCTTTCGATAGGCTTCGCCAACTCACAGCGAATGGATATGCCCACGCGATCCCTACCGTCTTAAAAATGGAATTTGAGGGAGGAGTCGTACTGAAATTTCATTTTAAAATTCACTTTTTGCGATCATCATGTTTTCTCAATGATCAATATTCCTCATCATTCCATGTCGTTGGCAAGCAGGTGAAAATTAAGCAGCACATGTGTAAGGATGGCAGCCCTCCAAAAATTGCGCTGCCGTCATCATACTTGCAGGAGCTAAGCGCAAGTATTTTCTAAGCAGTGCCCAAGGGTTGTTAAGAAATGTTACTTTACAATTCCATTTGAGGGGTTTGATCACTATCCCAGGGTTTTCAAGCAAAAAATAATGGAATTCGACAGGTTGGTTTTGTCCCCCCCCCCCGCCCTCCCGCTCTTTACAGGTAGGGAGGGATCCCACGCGTGGCACAGAAAGAACGGACGGGTCACCCTCGAGAGGCCCCCCATCAGGAGATTCCACGGGATAATCAGGATTGGTCATGTCAGGATGTTCGAACATGTCAAGTTGGAAACTCTCACCACCCATACTTTTGGAACCACCTTCGTGTTGCCAAAACCACTTGTTTGCTCTTGCAAGCTGTCCCACATTTGACACGACAAATGGCTCAAAATCCTTTGCTGCCTTTTCCAATTCACGTTTCTTGAACTTTCGCCTTGCTGTAAATTGCTCATCGTGAATCAGTCGCCAGCTTGGGCCCCGTGCCAACAATGGAAAGAAAAACCTTCCGTTCTCCAAACTTGGTAGGGCAATCACCTAACATGGCAAGTCCATTCGCAATCCTGAAAATGGTTCCACTTTTCCTAGCCCACTGGACGGACATGGTAGTTCATACCCGGCCCTACTGTATCTCAGACCATGCACTGATGAGACATTGCGTGTTGTCGCATCAAGAATTCCACCATGATCAACACACCACATGTCAAATCACGAATTTGGCTGTACAAGGTGTGTTTCCTAAGAACCGTTCCATGGAGCTCGGCCCACACCGCTCTCAGCTTGAAGGTGGTTTCTTCAGCTTCCGTCAGTGCTTGAACTTCCGCTCCATTCGATCCAAGGTATTGACGTGGAACCTTGCAGGATTTCCAGTTGATGATGGCTACTGTGCACTCCTCAACAGTTAAAAAATCTTTCGGAGCTAACCCTGAAGCGCGACCAGGCCTGTTCTGCTGTCCAGCATCGCACCATGAAGTGATGATGATGTCATATGATGTCCTTCCAATCTCTTCGCCAGCTAGGAGAAAAAAAAAACTCTGCTTGCTTTCACGCTTGAGTTCTCTAATCAGCTTGTTGCCTTCAAGATCGTCTGGACTGTCGCTTCTGGCACTTCTGACAGCAGCAGGCTGACATCGGCCTGGAAGTGGGGTCCAGTCTGTGTTGCTTTCCAAGACAGTGTTCCAATGGCACCGCGCAGCTGTGACAACTTGTTCGGGTTCAGAGGAACCTTTGTTTGGCTCTGTCGTTGCCGCGTCATGTGGATCTCATCAATCATCAATCCACTTGGTGACAGAGGACTCCTGTGAAATACACAAACTCATGTCAGACGTTTGAGAAATTTTTGCATCCAGCAAATTCAATATTTTGATCCTGCCATTTGCCCCATTGGTAGGCTTCTTGAAATTTATGTCGTTTATGTTCAGCCTCAATGAAAAATGCTGGTAGTCAGCTCCAATGATCAGTTCATCTATAATTATACATGAAGACCTGCAACAGCAATGAACTCTTGAGTTTCTGGATCATGAAGAGTGGAAACGCACCTGTCAGCTAAGATAGTTTTCCATCCATATCATCCATGCTTCTTCATGGTTCCGCTGATGTCATTGAACCAACACCTCGGAACTTAACTTGAACCAAACCGTCGAAAACCTTGGTGATGCGGAGAGGCATGATTGGATTGTGGGGGTTTGCTCCAAACATCACAGCCAATTCGGCCGGTGCCCAAACTGTCATTCCATCTTCCAATTGCGGCTCACCCGCGCCATTGTTGGAGCGGCGGTGTCAACTTCCGCCACATTGGCTGCCTGGAAACCCAAAACAACGAGCCTGGCTGTGATAGAACCATCAGCCTTCGTCGTAAGAACCCATCCCATCGGCATTGCAGAAACTGGATCAAAGTTCTCCGTGAGGCTTCTCAAGGCCTTGGCGCTTAGCACGTTCGTCAACTCACGTGCCTGAGCCATGTCAAAGCTCTGCTTCTGGGACATGTCCATGTGAGACCATCTAAGTTCCTTCCCTTTCTCCATCGTCTTGCGCGAGAGCCAGATGCTTGACTTCTCTGGGTTCTTGGTCAGGAACGTGGTGTCGGAGGGCTTGATAGGAATCTCCAACGCATAAAACACATCCTTGGACTCAAGAACTGCAGAGGACTTTGTGGCCAGGGCATTCTTTGAAACTTGGTTGGGTTCTATAGCCTGGGCATTCTGAAAAACTTGGTTGGTGTCTAAAACCGCGTTAGACTTAACAACCTTGTTAATGTGTATGGCATCATCGGGCACCAACTCATCTGAAGAACTTGAACTTGATCGGGAACGAACGCTGGAACCTTCTTCGCCCACTTTGATGCTCTTTCCATCTGATGTCTGTACAAAACGTCCTCCGGCCACATCTTCATGTGGACCTTGGTGGCCTCCTTGCAAAACGCATGAACTGATTGAGCACCGCATTGTGCTCGATGAAAAGTTTCCGCTGGATGCAGGAACTCCATCCACTGCATTGGCACCTTTGTATACCTTTGTCTCGTAGTGCCGTGGTCAGAGGACTGATGTTGGGGACGTCGGGAATCATGACGCCTTGTTGATTCGCATCTTCATCTCCCTGTGGCTGTTCTGCTGGCGTCGCTGAAGTGTCAGGCCTTGCTGCTTGACTGGCTGAAGATCTCAAATCCTCAGTTTCCTTCTCAAGGTTTCCGCTTTGTTCCGCCTTTGGGTGTCTTACGAGGCCTCTTCAGCACTGGGTCTTGTGCTGAAGGACGCATCTCAAACCAGGTTTCTCCTGTCCATCTATCTTGAAGTGACCGTGTTGGATCGTCGCTTTCCTTGTAGTCGTCATTGATTTCCACAAGTTCAGCTTGAGGGTGAAGTCCCTTCAACTTGGTCTTGCGGATGCCGGTCAGCATCTCTTCATCGACAGGGGTGGTCTGAGTCTTGCTTGGGATGACCAAAGAGATACGTGGAAGAGAGTCAATCCGGACCAACCACTTTTTGCCCTCAAAGTTTGTGATCTTCCAACTGTCTGGGCGACCTGCTTGCTGGCCGGGTTCAAGTTGAACTTCAGTTCCTCGAACATCATCTCGAAGAGTTTCCATTGAAGGAACGGCGCCAGTCACATCGCTATAGTATCTTCCAGTGAACTTCCTCAAAAGACTGTCCAGCATAACTGGCAACTTCAGGATGGCGGTGCCTTCCAAGATGGAATTGAGCTCTTCTTGTCGAGTGCAAGGCCTAACTTGGACCAGGCGAGCACGGATCAAAGTTGAGCCCGTCGCAAGCCAAACTGTATGACCTTCTTGCAACAGCATCCTCACAGGGCCAACCCAGGTTCCACCTGTCTTGCCAGGTTTTGATCTTTGGCGCCAGAGCATCAGAAGTTGGCCTGGCTTGTATGTCACGGTCGGCTGAGGGATGGTCTTTTTCAGCTTTGAAAGTTTTGCCTTTGCACCCTCGGCCTGAAAAGCAACTCTCATTCTCTCCTTGAGGCCAAGCATGCCACCAAACGCCTTCTTGGGGTTGATGCCAAGTGGGATGTTGTCAAGAGGAGCTGATGCGCCTCTTGCCCACTGAAATGGAGAGAAACCTGGTGGGCCTATTGATTGATTGTGTCCATGAGCTGCCAAGTGGAATGCCAAGTCAGTGTCAATGGTGTCGTCATCTTTGAGAAGTCTCGACACCGTCTGCTTGATATGCTTGATGAAATCTTGATGATGTTGATCGCGCCTTCTTCAGAACCCATCATCTGATGTGCTTCAGCTGGTGCTGTGAGAACACCAGTGCCAGATTGACCTGCATAGTCCAAGATCCTTTGAGAAGTGAAATGCCTAGCAGCGTCAGTGATGATCCATTTTGGCGCTGGATTGACCATCAACCAACGACTGAAGCTCTTGATGATGTCTTCACTGGTGGGTTCCCATGCAGTTTCCTCTGGAGCGCCGTGCTTCTTCAAAAACTCTACCATCACCAGAGCACTTGCACGATCACGCATCAGCAAAAACTTGTATTTGGCATTCTGGTACTCATCATTACTCAAAAACATCCATGCCGACAATCTCAAAAAGGCCAGGAGTCTCATGCATGCTTGCCACTGGAGCTGGACGTGGCAATTTGGACTCCTTGCAAGAGGGGCATTCAATGCTCCCTGCTAAATCCACTGCCCATGGTGGTGCCTTTCTCGCCCTCAACATCCGCTGAAGATTGGCCATCGACGGATGACCTGCAGCTTTGTGGGCTCGCAACATCTGAGCCTTGATCTGTCCCAAAAGCTTTCCAGTGGGCGGTTGTTGAGGAAAACGGTTGCGGGTCAAAGCAAAAATTTGAGGCTCTTCATGTTGAACCGCTTCAACCATTTGATCACCATATTCAGGGCATGGATCATGAACCAATGGGATGCCATCGTCACATTCAACCAAAAAGGTGGAAACATCCTTCCCAAGTGAGGTGCCGGACGTGTCTTCTGCCTCTGTCCAAGAAGCAGTTATAGCCTTTGTCACTGCATTCACGATTTGAGCTGGATAGTAAGATGACGCCTGAGCAACTTGTCCACGGCAGTGCACATGTTGCAACCAAACGTGGCGACTGGTCGTAGCCACTGTCCATCGTCATCACTGGATGATTTTGCCATGTAAGTCCAAAAGCACAACCATGAAAATGAGCCCAAAACAAATGCTTGCCATGTTTTCGTGCCAGCCGCTCAAGCTTTCGGATGGCTTTGGAGTTCCATCCTTTGGTGGCGCCGGTTGGCCACTCCCAGCTCAAATCACCATGACTTTCCAAAATGGGTTCCATGGCATCCACAACCCCTTCCGCTTTCTTCAAGTCGCGACCTTGCCGCTTTTGAAAGTTGGCCTGCTCAACCTCGTCTCGCTGTGTCAGATTGGTCAGCGCTTGGACATATTGAGCCAGCTTTGTCGTGCCATCCTTCTTGTCAAGGTCAAATCCATTTCGGTAGTTGATCCTGTAGGCGCTGTGTCCAAGAGACTCCATAGACGCCGTCAGACTTGAAGTTGGAGCGCAGGCCACTTCAATGAAGTCGGTGGCCTGAGGCCTGAGAGATCTGGTTCATGAGGCACTGAACTGGGGCCAGTACCATCGCACCAAAAACTGCTGCATTTCGAGCCATCTTTCGTGCAGTGTGAGGTTGAACTCCTTTGCGTTGTCCACCTCCAGCGCTTGGTTCTGGAACTTGACTTTCCGCTGAATTCTTGTGGCAGCCTTCAAAAGTGGCGCCAGCATCTCGGCCATTGGGAATGCCGCGCCAGCATCTCGGCCATTGGGAATGCCGTGCGAATTGAGCAGGCTGGTGTCTTGAGACGTATGGCCATCACGGCCTCCAAACCTCATCTTCTCATGCAAACTTGCCATAGACCTGCACAGGCTAGATGGACCTCTTTTCTTCTTGTCTTCTTCCTCCTCCGTCTCCGACTCCGATGCATGGACTGACATCTCCGCATATTCCCATTCTGAGGACTGGGCATCCATCTCCTCTCACAGCATCGCTCCAAGCCTTCCTTCTTGAGGTAGCCGGCCGCTGCCATGGACTTCGAGGTTTCTTGTTGGACTCCTCCTTGAATCCCATGCGCTTCATGTATTGAGCATAGGTCATGTTCACGGCCATGGTATTGCTGACGCCGTGTTGCAACTGCAGACCCTTGAGTTCCATGAGCATGCCATTCACAACCTTCTCGCTGACTTGATCTTTGGGCATGCTGGCCTCGATCTGATCCATTGCCATCTTGATCAGGTGAGGGTGCGGACCCATATGTCGGTCCTCTCCATGACTGTCCTTCTTTGGCCTGTAGGTGATTCTCAGGCCGCATGCCAGGCATGTTGACCAAATTGCGAACTGGTTCTGTCTCTCCTTCCGCTTGTGATGGCTGAAACATGGAAATCTTCGAACACGGGGGTCGTCCTCCGCGCATGGTTGGACTGGAGTGCCCATGACAAACTTGATCACGCAAAAGTTGAAGCCTTTGAGCCAGGTTGCTAAGTCGGTCTTGCCGTTGGACCGCATCTGAAACTCTTGACAGCATGAAAAAGTTGGCTTCAACCTTTTCTGATCCCATCTGCAAATCTGATTCAACTGCCTTCTCATGACCATGAACTTGTTCTGCAAACCATGTATGAAATGAAGACATGGGTGTGGCCGTCTCAATCAAATCAATGGAAACATGTGCTGAAGCATGAGGGTGGATCTTGACAGCATACCAAGTTGTCGGGGGTTCCTGACGCTTGTAAATGAGCAAGTTGTCCTCGTAGGCCAGCATGGCCCCAAGCTGCCGTAGGGTCTTGCCTCCCACCAATGGAGGTGTCTGGTTGGCTTCATCCCCAAGGACATAGAAAGAAACTGTGCCAATGGAGGTGTTCAACAAATCAACCCTGCTAACTGCTTGGGCTTTGTGACGATTTCCAAATTTGAAAACTGGACGATCTTCCAAATTCACATCATACGAAATCTTGCCCTTCTCAATCAACATGCCCAATGAATACATACCCACAGCCTTCTCGGAGGCTCCCGTGTCAATGATGACCCGAGTGCCAGGTTCCACGTCAGAAGTGTAGATGCCAGGGTCAAAACATGGGCTGATGTCATGAAACTGAAGTGATTTGAAACCCTTCTTGCTCTTACCTTTTCCCTTTGGAAACAAACTCCCGCCTTTTCCACCTTTCGCAAATCTGTCAGGACATTGCCTCCAACTATGGCCGTTCAAACCACAGACAAAACATGGGCCAAAAGATTTGCCCTTTGCTCCAAGTGACTTTCCCATGCCAGATTTGCCCTTCGGGGATCCGCTTGGTGACCGAGACAATGGAATGCCTTTCCCAGTCATGGACTCTGGTGCAAAATACCCTCGGGCTTGACGGACACGGCGAACTGCTAAGGCGTAGGCCTCTTTGTACTGGGTCTCGGCTGGGTCATCAGCCTGGTCATCTACTGGAAGTTCATCTTTGGGAGACGCATCATGCCAGCTCTCATCAAACTGACTGTCACCCCAATCATCATATGTCCATGGAGACCAGTCTTGCCAGTAAGCCTCATGCCAATCTTGTTGACCTGGATCGTAGGACTCCCAAAGTTCCCATGCATTTTCATCATCGGGCCAAGGTTCCCCTCAGCGTTCCACCAAATCCGTGACTTCTTCCAACTCGAATGGCCACCATCATCCTCTTCAGAGAAGTGCGCAAAGCTCGACGCACTGCCAAGAAATTGGTGCTATTTCCAGTCTGTGTCAGAATGTTCTGACGTTCCTGAGCACTTAAACGAGCAGCTTTGAGAAGACGATATCCTCTCAATTCGTCCCCAAAGAAATCAGAAAGAACAGCTGGTGCTGCCTGCCTGTGGCGACGTCGGCTGAGGATCAGCCGGAGGAGGTGATGCTGCGGCTGCAGCACCTCTCGCTTGGGCTCCAACTGGTCTCCTGGAAGGTGTCGATGGCGGATCAGTTCTAGGAACATCCCTGGTGCTAGGAAGACCTGAAAGGTGTCGTGCTGCCAATGGTGCTGGAAGTTCTCGGTCTTGTCTCGCTCGTGTCAGGGCAGACTGAAGCTGCACAAACAGATCTTCCTCCCTAACCAGCAACTGTGGAATTGTTTCACCATTGTTTCTTCGGAAATGATGCCCAACATCCAATCTTTTGAAAGAGTCTGGAACCAGTTATTGCTGGAGGGGGGAAGTTCTCAACACTTCCAGCAACTTTGACAGCCCTTCTTCAGATTCATAGTCATTTGGATTTAGGTGACGAACAACTGCTTTGGCTGGACCCTGCAACTTTGCCCAAACTCTAAATGCCGCCTGTTTGCGCTCGGAGTCTTTCAAAGACTTCACATACCAGCGACATGCCACTGAGAATGTTTGAAATTCTGCAGGATCACCAGACCATGTAAGAACCTCATTGCCAGCTAATGCTGAAGACGACATGGCGGGAGCCCTCCCCGCCACCATGAAGGTAGCACTGGTAGCTTGATTTCTGATGCCTTCCAATATGTATCGCCAACTCACAGCGAATGGATATGCCCACGCATGGCACAGAAAGAACGGACGCAGCCTTTTGGGTCACTCTCGAGAGGTCCCACCCTGCGGTGGTAAATGGATCAGAGCATGCTCGCGTGGCCTCAGAAGATTCCATTGGATAATCAGGATTGGTCATGTCAGGATGTTCGAACATGTCAAATTGGAAACTCTCAGCTAGACTTTTTTCATGCAATTTTCGGTTCCCTTTCGACTTTTGCTTCTCGCGTGGACTTCCTGTGTCCTTCTGCTTGGACCGCTGTTTTCCATGTCGGGGCGACCCGCCGCCATTGAGCTCACCACAGCCACTCCTGCGTCCGACGGCATCGAAGACATCACACCCAGGTTTCCGACCAGCGCGGCAGAAACGGACACAGTGCAAAAGTCAATTTGGCGGACTTGCGTTTCGCTTTGTCCATTGGTTCGGGCGCTTTTTGCATTCATTGCTGAATGAAATTGAAATGTGGATAAACCAGCCTGGTGACGCTTATTGAAGGGTAGTTGAAAACTTCAAGTAGAAGGTGCTACGCGTTATTTTGTTGACAAAACTAAACTGCTTTATTTCCCATTTCCAAGGCTAATTCAAAGGCTTATTTCCGTGTCCATTCATCTTTAAAGACCGCTGCGTAACACCTGATGTGTTGCAATAATACCGGGTTGAATAGCATGAAAAAGGTGCACACCATCCTCATTTCCCGCATGCGCCCTTTGCAAAGGGTGCATGTTATCGTGCATTCGTTGCATGCCTGTTCTCTTTGAATGCGCTGCTGGCATGCATCCCACATGGCTGATCCAGGAATGAATGTCGCTAGCCAAAAACATTTTGATTTCTTGTTGAACTTTGACCACATGGACTTTCAGAAACGGACCCTTTGGAAACTAACATTTTCCCAACATCACGATTTGCGTGCGACATGAATCTTGTTCATCATGAACCGCCACACATGTCCTTCACATGCATCATGAATATTATTTTAATATATATATATATGTATATGTATTAGATACATATGTTTTTTTCTGAGCTTGTGCCTGAGGATTTATGGGGCCCTAGACAACCAACCAGCGGAAACGGTTCAAAGGAAATTGAATGTACAAAAACGATTGGTGTGGTATCTGTACGCGTGTGGCTGCCGCTGGATGTCCAGGTGGCTGTTCCATGCTAAAGTCAAGTGTGAAATTTGGTTGCTTTCTCACCCCATACGTCAGCATGGTTGCGCATGTCTTTTGTTGATGGCATTTTGGTTCATCACTGTTTTGCCGGCGAACCCTGGTGGGGAGATTTTACCAGGAGGCACTTCAGCAGCACATGGACCGTGAATGACAATGACATATTAACACGCCTGTTTTGCACAATTTTAGCTGCATCAAAACGAAACGCATTTCACACCCGCGTGATCTTTTGAGACTTTGCAGGCCAGAAATCTTATTCAAACAAAGTGGGTGGACGCTCGGACGACAGGACGCAGTGCCCGTTTTTATTTTAACATTCGAAGCTTTGCTGTAGGTGTTTTATTTCGAACCGTGGATCGTTCGAGGAAACGGTCAATTCACTGCTTATTGACGCCAATCATGTTCGAATTTAAAACGTGGCTGCTATGTCCTAAGTGCGTCAATGATCTTGTATTACATAATTAATATAATTATTGATTTCCTGCCAGCGAACATTATGAACATTGTTCACATATTCAGAGTCTGCATGTGAAAATATTCCCGTGAACCCAACAACCGCGCGCCGGACTATATAATTCGAGTTGTAAGCTCAACATCGTAGACGATGGCCTTGACTCGTGACAATTGTCATCAATTCAGTTATTAATGCAAAATATAATATATATTCATTGCCTGTGTGCAAGTGCCGCCTGACATCCTGAAATTCGTGTTGATCCTGCGTTTCCTCTTATTTTAGTTGTGGTATTCACTTGTTGCCCGGCCAATGGTCAGCACAGGACTGGGGCAACACATGAAATGGTGAAGGCGCTGGGATACTCACAGCTAGTGCATCCACTTTTTGGATTTTGTATGTGGCAACCAGTTTGTTGTTATGTTTGCTCAGGGTGGTGTTGGGGTTGCTTCGTCATACTTCAAGTGCATTCTCTTTTCGACATTGTTGCCGTGCTTCATGGAGGCCCTCTATGTGTACCTCGTGCGCCATGCAGAGTCAAAGAACAATAGTCTATCCCTCAGCAAATTTCCTTGGATTTGCTATGGACAATCCCTCACTGGGAATGTATTTTTCTAAAGGTTTAACCAGAACCAGTGACACTCAATGACACGTCCATCATACAAAATGCCGTGCCAATTGGGTTCTTTTTTGGTTTTTCTCCGACACCCGAGCACAGACCAAGCGCCCATTTTCATCGTTGTTTTTAAGCATCATCCGTGAACAAATAGGATTTGATTCAGACAGGTGACAAGGGACAAGTGTAAAATCAGAAACTCACTTGGGGATCGGTCCGAACCAGACGCTTCTAACAGGCCGTGACTTGCATGACTCACGTGCATCGACATCAATGGCTCTGCCATCGCCGAAAGAACCGAGCAGTCCCAAAGAACCACGGTTGAGTCCTTTGAAAGAAGGCCGCAATGGACCGGGGAGCTGAGATGTAAATTAAATGTCAATTTTTAATGGGTTCCATTTCAAATGTCCAAAAGCATGACCTGATCTAGTTCCATCATGTTCTATAACTTCTCTATATAATTCTATATATATATATAGATTTGAATTGGCCTTTGGCCCTTTGGGGCAATATCCATATTTTGAATTGCCCATGGAATCGTGAGCCAGCATTCCAGTGCAGTGCCGCGCCGCGCGGCAAAGACTATGTGGATGTTGAAGGATATGATATAACTATAATTTTGATGTCTATATTGCTTTCTGTTGAAAGGGATTCGCCCTTTTGACATTTTTCTAGATATGTTTATGGAAAGATGTACGGATGGACCCTTCCAGACAGACATAAACACACATGGATGCCAGCCTTGACACAGACGCCAAAGGAAATACACCACCTGCGGGCCATGTTTATTGAACATCTTGCATGTTTCAGTACATCCGGAAATTTTCAAGTCATTGATTGGTGGAAGCAGGGCGAAACCACATGCGTCCAAATTTAGAGGAAGGACACATGTTTCATACCAGGGTACTTGGAGAAGAATGTCGAAGAAGAAAATGCCGACACCTCAATTTTCAGACCAGAGTCCAACCGTTTGATGTGCAGTGGCATACCAACAGTTGGCATGGCACTTCAAGTTGAGAAGTGATTGAGCAAGTCAAGCTGCGGTGGGATCCATGCAATTGTTTGTCAGTTTATCAGTTTGATTAATTGGCTCAAGGTATGGACTGACACAGGTAGTTGCTGGCACAGCTAGTTGTTGGCACAGCCATGGGTTTTCAACTTTTTGCCAAGCCGCGTCCAAAAGCAAAAGTGGCAAGTTCTTCAGTTTCAGCGGTGAGGGCTGAAAAAACTCAACCAGCTACGGCTGGATCTGCCTACATTTTGTCTATCCAAAGTGGAAAATGGGCTGGCTCGCACCCAGTGGAGCTTCTGAGTGACGTGGCGGCAGCACTATTTTTAATCATGCTGCATGAGTTTTGAGTTGCCAATTTGATTTGTGCAAGCTGTTGCAACCGTGTTTTCCCATGTTTTCCCATTTTTGATCAGCATGTCATGGTGAGGTAAAGAGCGAGTTGCCATCACGAGCAAAAACGCGCAGCGCACGCAGCGCACGCACACGGCTGAGGAGGAACTCGAAGAACTTCAGGGAGAATGGGAATTGCAGAGTGCAACCTGTTTATATTTTGATTCTTTTTAACATTGTTGCATCCTGTTGACTTTTTTTTACATTTGATGTTCATATATATATATATGTGATATAGATATATGAGATGTTCTGAATGGCTATCCCTTGTGCTTTTGAAGAAAAGATCTTGTGACTTGATCTACATCGATCTACATCGATGATCCATGATTGCACCGCTTGTGCCAGACGATCCAGTGCACCCCTCGTCCTGTTTTTGTCACTTCTCCACTCAGGCTCTTTGTCAACTGATTGCACGTGAATGAAAGTATGTGGAGATGGGGGGGGTACTTGTAGATACTCAAGTTGTCACTTTGATTAGTGTGAGAAAGAGGGAGGCAACACAGGCAGTTGGAAGGTGTTTTCTTGTTTCTATGACAACTTATGATAGGTGTCCTAGCTGTACATGGTTGGCCTTGAAGGATCACCTCCAGGGATGTAATACAAATGTCGTGGGAGCGGGTGGTCTGCTTCTGCAAGGGAAATGGTAAGAAGGCCAGTCCGCTACAGACTAAACAGGTGCACTAGCCATCCTAAACCTAGATATTTTTCAGAGTGCTTTTGCAGACACAGCTTTTGATGTTGTTTGTCCTGAACTTGCAAGGGCTCTGTGGCTCTGTGGGTGCAAAGTTTGTTTGCAGACAAGGTCCGCTTTTATCAAAGGAAGTTTCGTAGAGAAACTCCGAATTACGGATGGTTTTATTCTCACTAGCCCAAAGATCATTGTGTCCAGTTGGCATGTGCCTTAGGAGATCATGAAGTCACATTCTCACTAGCCCAAAGATCATTGTGTCCAGTTGGCATGTGCCTTAGGAGATCATGAAGTCACATTCTCACTAAACCAAAGATCATTGTGTCCAGTTGGCATGTGCCTTAGGAGATCATGAAGTCACATTCTCACTAGCCCAAAGATCACTGTGTCCAGTTGGCATGTGCCTTGGGAGATTCTCACTAGCCCAAAGATCATTGTGTCCAGTTGGCATGTGCCTTAAGAGATCATGAAGTCACATTCTCAAGCCCAAAGATCACTGTGTCCAGTTGGCATGTGCCTTAGGAGATCATGAAGTCATATTCTCACTAGGCCAAAGATCATTGTGTCCAGTTGGCATGTGCCTTATCACTAGCCCAAAGATCATTGTGTCCAGTTGGCACCTGTCTAAGAGATCATGAAGTCACATTCTCACTAATTAGCCCAAAAGATCATTGTGTCGAGTTGGCATGTGCCTAATGAGATCATGAAGTCACATTCTCACTAGCCCAGGGCTCCTTGTGTCCAGCTGGCCCCTGCGTGAAGTAGAGTAGAGGTATCGTAGAGATAGAGTAGAGGTAGAGAAGAGTAGAGTAGAGCAGAGTAGAGTATAGAAGAGTAGTGTAGAGAAGAGTAGAGCAAAGAAGAGAAGAGTAGAGCAGAGCAGAGTAGAGTAGAGCAGAGTAGAGCAGAGTAGAGTAGAGCAGAGTAGAGGTAGAAGTAGAAGTAGGGGTAGGGGTAGCGGTAGAGCAGAGCAGAGCAGAAGTAGAGGCAGAGGTAGAGTAGAAGTGTAGAGTAGGGGTAGGGGTACGGTAGAGCAGAGTCCTGGAGTAAGTCAGAGAAGAGTAGAGTAGAGCAGCGAAGTTGCGATTCTGATTGTGTGTTTGCAATTCATTGTTGGCAGATTGCATTGGAACTGCTACATCAAGGATGCGATTTAAATTTTAGGATGTGCGCGAAACATTCTGTCTTTTCGGCTAAGCGGAGGTTCTGTTGCGGAGAAAAGTTGGCTAGTTGGCTTGCTTGCCCGAGGGGTGCGGGCGTCGCTGCTTTAGCGTGGAATCATGCTCGATTTGCGCGCGCAGTGTAGCTGAGGGTTCCAGGTGAGTTTTCTCTACTGTGCTGATGCTGTGCTACACCCCATTTGGAAACTCAATGCGTTCACTTGCTTTGTTGCGTTTAGTTGGGGGATGTTGGGGGGAAAGATTTCTGGAAGTCGGTGCGTGCTGCGTCCTGGTTGTGTTTTGGAAGACATGTTTTGGAACATTGATATTTTTACCTGCGTTCTTGTAGGTTCGGAATTTCCCTAATGTGTCAGTTCCATTGGGAATTGGATTGTGTTGGGTTTTCCCTTTTTGAAATTTGGAGATGTGCTTGTGTTGCAATGATCAGGGGGATTGGTGGCGAGGGGTTCCTTTTTCCATTTTAGGGTATCGCCGGGGTATCGCCAGAGTATCGCCGGAAATACGTGAGTTGTCTTGCCTTGTGTTGTCTTGTCGCTGCTGCTGCTGCTACTGCTGCTGGTTCTGCTGGTCCTGCTGCTGCTGTTGCTGCTGCTTACCTTCCCACTACCGAGCTGCGCGCGCCACAAGGGGTTGCACCAGTATCTTTGGTTGGTCGCTTCACTTTGACTGTAGTTGTGGTGAAGCTTGCGTCCCATTGCGTTTTTTCAACAAAATCATTCAAAATAACCTAAAACAACGACTGCATAGATGCAGCGTCCACAATATAATTCCCAATTTTAGAGCCATAAAAAACACCGAACATTAAACGAAATAGATGATTGCTGGCGCACAGCGTCCCATGCTGAGTTGCATATTTTTGCACTGACTTCTGTGACTTCCTGAATGCGCAGCGTCCCATTGTGGTTTGTTTTCAAACAGACGGTGACATGACAACTCACGAATGCAAGAAGGATTGGGAAAGTTGAAGAAGTGATGGTGCAGCAGTGAATGATAAGACGAGCGAAGAAAATATCAGAGACGTACGGATAGTTGAAACCGAATGTAAAGTTTTCCTGCAATAAGACGAACGCAACTTGAACGAATCAAACGAATCGGGCGAATGGAAAAACAATTCGTCCGGGTTGAAAAAAATGGGCGAGTTGAACTGAGGTGAGATGAGTCAAGACGAGCTGAGAAGAGTTGAGAAGAGGGAAGAGGCATGAAAAAAATTGAGGAGAGCCAAGGAGAGCTGGACAGAGATGAGGGTCGTTTAGAAAACTTGACAAGAAGTGAGAAGTCGTGAGAAGAGTTGAAAAACCGTGAGAGTCCGCCGCATCTCCTATAGGCAAACCTTGTCTTTGGATCTTATAATGTCACAGTCCTTAACCCTGGAAACTTCCGCCACCCGCTTTGCGCCGGATTTACTTGTATGTTTTTGTGTACGATTCACAACCATATTTCACCACGGTGATGAGGTACGCTCTAAGAATCTGAAGCGAAAACATGGTTTGGACCACTCAAAGGAACCCGAGAACACAGTGCAAGTCTTCGTTCGAGGCAAACGGGTGGAAGAGAAACTTGGCGTCTTCAGGATGAATTGAGTCTTTTTGTGGTCCCTTTTTCAAAAGTTAATTTTCCTATACCCGAATTTCGTCCACTTCTATCTTCTGCTCCACAGCATTGGATTCCTGCGGCAAAATTGCCAAGGAAGAGCGACAAGAAACGGATGTTCTTCAACTTGGTTCTTGCCAAGAAGGCTGCTCAAAGTCGGACTGGATCAAACGACAAGCAAGTTGCACCGGATCCAAAGGTGTCGAGGCATGAATTGCCACCCCTTGATGGTCCCAAAACTTTACCTGAAAGCATCTGCAAGGGCAAAGGCAAGGGAAAGACCAAAAAGGGCAAGGGCTTCAAGAAAGGGCAACGAGTTCATTCAGTAGGACACTGGATTTTGCTGCATCATACGCCCAAGCTGCTAGTGCGACCGGACTCCAAGTCCTCGTTGCTTTGGTGGCACCCTGGCGAGCACAGTGTGTGGACCCGAGGCTGGACATTTGACAATTTTAATTTAATCATATTTAATTAATCAAGTTTATACAAGTTTGACATGAGAGGAAAACATAGAGAAACGTATTGAAGGCTTGAATCCTCTGCAGATTCAAGTTGTTGGTTTTGCAAAAGGTTAGTCACATAGGTGTTTTATGGTGTTTTAGTTTTAGCTCTTCGGAACCCCGTGTGTGTAGCTCTCATCTCTCTTGAGAAGCATAAATCCCACCAACCTGCTTCGCAGAAATCCAGGATACTTGAATAACGAAGGATACGGTAAGTACAAGTACGACGAATTTTCATGAATTTTCAACTTGCGAAGGCTTGGTAAGAGCAGTTGTCTGCCCTTTGGAGGTGGAGCGATTGTCGAAACTTGTGTTGTCAGATACCTTGCGGACAGCCACACAGAGACGCTGGAACGCCACAGCGATGATGCTCCAGGGTCGTGGCGCACCAAGAAAGGCGTGTCCGTTCATCTCATCTCCAGGTGATGTCCATATCATTTCATGGCTGGCATATGATGGCTGTATTGTGGCAGATGGCTGTGAGATGCTGTGAGCTTCCAGAGCTTCCATGCCATCGTGGCCCCTCGGCGTTGCCAAATGCACACTGTGCAACCTCGAACCCATTGCTAGTTGAAGGCGTAGAAGATCTTAGAAGTGGAATCACGGTTCCACCACTCAGAGATTTGGTTCAGCACTTGGCACATCAAACAATCAAATTTCATTGTGGAAACGAGAGAAGCTTGAAAAGCCTATGGCTGGTTCAGCATGCTGAATTTGTACGTCACCCTGTGGGTTGACGAACAGACCAGGGCGATCCAGCGGGCAGAATGCCAAGGGAAGCCAGCCACCCCGTCGAAGAGACGTCATGCGACCAAGGGGAGAAATGACGTGGATCGCCACACTTCGCTTTTGCACATGGATTTTGATTAAAGACAGACAAGCAAAGTCCACCACCAGTCCACCGGAAACAAATTATCGCGACGAGATCATTCCATTTTTAGGTCGCACATCTTTTATCGAATGCAATCCTTGCGGACTTCACGGCCTTCCGAGCTCTCGGCAGGGGGAACTGTCGATCACTTCCGATGTTCTGCTGCCTTCCCCTCGGCCTGGCCGGGATCCTTGAGAACCGGAGAACAACATAGAACAATATAGAACAATGGCAAAGACACAGACGCTGTCACGATCTCTCAAGTGGGAGGCAGCTATAGGAGGTCAGGAAGCATCAGGAAACGTAGACATAATTTACACAGATACAGATACATAATCTGTGCATTTCAATAAAGAATTCTAATGAAATAAGTGTGTAATTGGGGAAACATTTGGTGAAAAAAGTGGTTAACCATGGTTAACCTAATTACGTGCATGTCCTAGTAACTTGCTTGAACAGGTCTACTCATGTAAGTGCGATCCCCGCTTGCTGGACGAATTGGAAGTGAATTCCTTGATCACCTCGATGCTATTATTGGGAGGGTAGTGTCTTGACGGTACACAGAGCGGGTTCGCAATTCTTGTGTGAAGGTCGCGAGCCTGATCCGGGCTTGACAGGCAATGGCAATATTACATGTTGAAATTGGACTATGACAGTCTAATTGGCCATGATGGAACTCGTATTGCTTAGATTCATTTCGAGGAATTGAGGGAATGTGACGTGCTGCCTAATTACTTCAATCAGCTTTGCTTCATCAGGTTTGACAAATGGTTGACTACATGACTACATACCTTCCACTGCATGTGCTCACCAGCAACCACAAGACTGGGGTCGCTACAGGCATCTCAAGTTCATTGGAATTGGAGGAAATCAATGACAGAGCAAACACCCGGAGGAAGGGTCCCAATGAAACGATGCCAGGGCGTGGCAAAGAGCAAGCAAAGGCAGTGGCAACGCACTCAGATTTCGATGCGCCAGGAGAAACCATTGCTGGGAAACCACCATTCCCCAGTTTCATTTGTTGCCAGTGACACCATGCGACACCATACGACACCATGCGACACCATTCACCCGCTTTGGTTCTCAAATTTCTCAAGAATTCTCAACATCTTAGGCGGAACTGCTGCGAAAAATCCGGGACGATCCGAAGACGGAGCCAAGGCACCACAGTGGGCCCTGCAAAATCTGTGCTGAAGCAGATAGAATAATGTTCTGTGAATTTCTGTGACATTCCGTGAATTTGCAATAGGTTGCATTTAAGGTTGCTGTACGTAGCAATGGAGCAACATGGAGAGGTGAAGAGTTTGTTGTACACGTGTCTTCATGAGCTACCTAGTGCAAAGAGACATTTGCGTTTTGCTGCGTGCAATGAAATTGTAGTTAAATTGGGGGGTACGGTGGTGTAGCCAGAGCCTTTCACTCCTGTTCCGGATGTTGGGACCATTTGGGACTATTTTCATGGGTTTCAAAAAATATTGCGGTAAGAGACCTTGGGATGGTGTCACTAGCAAAAAATCATAAAATATCATAAAAACATCCAAGATGGCCATAATTAGCTATATTCCATCATGATCTCTGCGTGGCAATGGCTTGACTTTTGCTTTGCGGCTTCAGTGAAGAATTTGAGAGGCCTCAGATCGCCCCAAGGCCAGAGCCAAAGCCATGGTGGAACATACCAATGGTTGCGATACGGGGGCAGAACAAGCCATGGCTGCGAATCTTGACTCTGCAGAGTCTGACTTGTCGCAGACACGCGGAACATGCGGGAAAGGGGATGACAAATATTGAATGGTATGCGGTATGAAAGTTTACTAAGGCTCCAGCCAATTTCGCTGGGTTTTGGTGGACCGAAAACCTTCAGAATGCTGGTGTTTTGTCCCGTAGGCTCCACATGGCTCCACAAACAAAGGTGTGACGGTGTAACACCATGCACGTTTCGCATGTTGCTGGAAAGTTCCCGGGATGGCCTGGGGTATTGAGGGAATGCGTTTACACTAGAGTTCTATGTAGCTTCTGCCATATTCCACAGACACATTTCGAGCTGATTTTCTATGATTTTCTTATATTTTCTTGCGAGAAAAGGGCAGCCACATGAGTTTAAATGTGCATCCTTGCTTGATTTGAACATACGTAGTATTTCAACATTGTTGCCGTCATAATTAGTTCCTGTCAGACAGGCGCTTGTAGGCGCAGGCTTTTAGAAGTTGCGCTGCATGATCGGAGCTCTGAGGCTCTCGGACAAAGATGTTAATGAGTTGCGCGGCCTGGCAGAACGACTTACCAAGGGACACGAGTCCCTAGCGGTGGCTAGATGGCATTTATACGGCATTCATTTGTTGGGAATGTTCAATTGAACTTCACGATGGTGCGCCAGATGCATGAAGTCAGCACTGTGTCGCTGATGTATCAGATGACATCAGATGTATTGCCTTGCAGCGAGGAGATGTTGAAAGACCTGGAGCTAGAAAGAGAAGAGCTAGAGAAGGAGAAGGCCGAGAGCCGCCAGCGCCAAGACCCACACTAAAAAATCAAAGATGCACGATTTTCAAGAACCTTTCTGAACCAACAAGCAAATACATAGTCATAGTTCATAAGAAGTCCGACCTTGATGGAATCCTACCTTGCAGGGACTTTAGAGTTGATTGTTTTTGCTTTTCATGCGTATTCGGAGCTGCCGCAACTAAAAACCACGTTCCATACCAACGTCTGGTCAGGGGCAGCTGAACGAAACCATCTCACTCTTCATGAAAGATCTCCAGAAGCTGAACATCGGTGCCTCCCACAGACAATTCTTTTTTCGGTCAGTCTAATCTATCCTTTTTCAGATGCAGGGATGCTGTTGGGGCGGGCTCGCTTCAGATATTAGTACGGGACTCCGCATTCTCAGATGCTACCCGGCTGCTACCCTTAAGATGGACTATGATTAGAGTTACGGAACTTGTCCGAATATGTTCTGAGGTGCTCACAATACTGTGGAGCCAATGTTGGAGGAAGGGCCCTTGGATTTTGTGGGACGCTTCTGGGAGACCGTGAAGCCCCGGGACAGCGCCTATGTCACTGGTGAGCACATTGGGGAGATCCGAAAGCCCGGCGAGAAGACCGGTCCGACCAACCCATTGGCCGCGCTGAAGGAGGCAGCAATGGCGCACGCACCGCAAGAACTGCCAAACCAGGCTGCGCAAGTTCAGGAAAAGGTGCAGGAGCGAGTGCACGAGGTGGGTGTAAGATGGTGCAGGGATGTGCAGGGTAGAGAATGGTAGAGAAAGTGAAGGCAATCAAGGTATATTGAGGTGACTGGATTGTGCCTGATTCCTGATCTGGTTTGGTCCGGCTTGGGCTTTAATCATCTTTAATCACGAAAGCCAGCTTCTGCTAGCTGAAGCCCCTCTTGCTTTAGGAAGGCATTGGCAGGGGCTGGAATCGCTAATCATGTAAATCATAATATCAAAAGTATCATCAGCATTTTCACCACCACCGCCGCCGCCACCGCCACCGCCGCCACCACCACCACCACCACCACCATCATAGTCACCGCAGCAGCTTTGGTAGCATGTCTTCATTGTTGCCATCTTCATGGGCGCTTTTCTTGTTGATACGACGAGCAATCTTATCGTCTTCATCCTCCTGCTCCTCCCCTCTTCCTCCTTGTTGCGCTCATCCTGCTAGCTTTCGTTCCTCACCCCTTGCCCTCAAGTTTACACGATGTTGCCTTGTGAAAGGTAATTTAAGATGATGAGGGGCCAAGCGCTTTTTGTATGCTGTTTGTATTTTGTGGTTGCCTTTGGTGATATTTTGTCATATTCTGTTTGTATTTTATTGCATTGCCTCATTGCTCGCACTTGCTTCACAAGGTGCAAGAAATGGGGAAGCAGGCCGCCAAGAAGCTTTCCAATGCATTTGAAGAAGCACGCTCCAGCCCTTTCTGGCAAAAAGCCCAGGGCTACTGGGAAGAGAAGCGGACACTTGGAAAACTTGGAGAAAGTGTTATGGCCGCCAATTCAATTCAATTTACTTCAATAATCTTCAATTTGATTCATGTCTTCTCGGCCAGTCTGGAGGAACCAAATTTTCTTTTGCTTTCAATGCACGCTTCCAAGGAGTGAGATCGCCAAGAAAGTTCATGAGGTACAAGAGAAAGTTCATGAGGTACAAGCCTCGGCAGCAGTCACTTGAATGCATTGGCCCCATTTGATTGGGCCCTGTTTGGTCCGGCGGGCATACAGTAATTGCCGCAAACACTGCAAGGAGCCAGTCATCAAGCGAGCATTGCTCAGTGGAACGCAGTAAAGCGGTGGTCATCACATGCTTGTAGCATCTTGTACCATTTTGTAGCCCAAAAACGGTCCTCATAGGACAAGGAATCCCAGTAGGCTCGATGGCCTGTCACCTCGTGCCAAAACCTCTCAGCCAACACTGGTCGAGGCCTCTACTCAGCGCCCTGCTGCGGCACCAGGATTCCTGATTGCAGCGAGTGTGATATTCCGAACCAAGTTTACCCAAGTTAATCCAATCAGGTGCATTCATTCAAGTCTCATCATTTCGCGTGCAGCAACTTCCTTTCATTTGCATGTAGGGCATCCGGGCAAGATGGGCAAGCGAGAAAGATGAATGTAGCAGAGGGTAGGTGGTGTCCAGTCAGTTTGGACCTGACAAGCCGCAAATCTGTCCTTTGCATGCTGAATTTTCGGAGTCATGACATCGTATTCACCATTGGGGCATTGGGATTTATGTGAGCCTTCGCGTTTACAAGCATTCTTTCTCCAAGATCAGGAAGGAGCCCTCCATCACTGGCCTTTCAGCATCATGACTGTTTGGTCCATTTGGCTCAAGCATGCCAGTGGTTCTGCGAATGCAGGCCACTTGAATTTTCGATGCACGGACAAATCCACATCGTTTTGAAGGATCTGATCATCAGCGTGTTTTCAATTGAGACCTGGGCTGCGATTTTGAGACGCTCTTCACTTCAAGAAGACCATCTATTGGAAGCGGTGCAGCAGCCAGATGAAGTCACCTTCAAGCTGCTGGCAGCAACTTGTGAAGAGACAGAGCTTAGTCTTGAAGACGCCCTCGAGGCCTTTGGTCGCCACCTGGTGACCTTCACCATGCAATCTGGCTATGCTGGATTGCTCAAGTCACTGGGCCCCACCTTTCCGGTCTTCCTCACGAATGTGAACTATTTACACAATCATTTGGAGCGCCAACATCCACATGCCTTGTTTCCCTACATCGAGACAAATTATGAACATGGCCAGGATTCGTTGGAGATGCATTACCTGTCAACACGACCCAGGCTGAAACAACTCCTTGTGGGAATTGTTGTTGAGGTGGGTCTTCAGTTGTTTGGACTTGACGTCTCCATGACGGAACAATCGAGCCCACGTTATTCCCAGAGAAACATTGCAGGCTCTGAACGGGCAGCTTCGTGGGAGATCTCGTGGAGGCCAACGTCACAGAAATGTGCAACCCCAAGACCGACAACGCCAAAAGCATCCTTTCCGGACATACATGCAGCCATGGTAGATTTCGGGAAACTCTTGTCCAGCTTCGATGTACTCAGCACATTTGCCTGCTGTGTCGCTGAAGATGACCATGAGTTTACCCCCCTTGACTGCTCTACCCAGCCAGCAGAATTAACAGAGGCTGAACGCAAATTTGAAGCTGTGCAGGCTGTGCGAGGTGCAGATGGTGCAGCTACATCCAGGCTTGAGGAGGTGCTGTTAAGGGCGACGCCAGCCCACCTGTTGGCCGCTGGATGGACTGATGACTCAATGAAATCGTGTATCAACTTCTGGAGTTCTTCTGTAGGCACAGCGTTGAACTATGCAATGTCTCAGGATGCTGATGCAGTTGACATATTTGTGAGTCATACGTGGCTTCCACCAGCAGACTGGGAAGAGATGATGGGTCCTGATGTAAACTATGCAGAGATGAAGGCAGCCACCTTGGCGGTGATGGCAAAGGACTTTGCACAGGAGCATGGCTCATTCCAAGATTGGCACCAGATCACCTTTTGGGTCGACAAGGCGTGCATTGCCCAAGAACATCCGGAGTTGAAAAAGCTGAGCATCAACTTGCTGGACAATTTCATCCAGAGGTGCGACAGCATGTGTGTCCTCTTTTGTTGGACATACTTACAGAGGCTCTGGTGTGTTTATGAATGGGCCTGCGTTTTGATCCACAAACCAACAGAGAAGGTGTACTTGCAAACAGAGTTGTTTGTTAGGGAGGAGACTTTGCCCTTATACCTGCAAGCAGTTCGCAACTTCTCCTTAGCTAAGACAAAATGTGGCGTTGAGGCAGATCGCGAAGTACTGGAAGCCCAAATCCGCCAGGCTTACATCTCCAAACAGCAGTTTGAGGTCTTGGTGAAGGCCACAGTCATTGCGCTGATGGCTCGGAGTATGGCTTTCAGAGCCGGTAGATCACCAAAACTTTACTTCACCTACTTCCAACCTTGGGTCGCTTTGGCCTTCGAACTGGGGATGGATGAGCTTGGATCTGCTCTTGATAGCTGTGATTGCTTGACCTGGCGGCGAGTTGCTACGATTTCCTCTGAAAACAGTGGTGGAAAGAAAGTACAACCTCAGGATAGACCTGCGTCAGCTGCGGAGGTCAGAGATTTGATGTCCCCTTTTTCAAGCAGAGGCCACACTCTCTCACCGGAACATCAGGAAGATTTGATGCAAATGGGAATCGGAGTAAACTCACTTCTGTTCCATCAAGTGATCTCAGACTGGTTTGAGACTGATGTCGTGCCAGTTCTCGCAAAGATCAAGGAAGCAAGCACCAAGTGAACCCTTCATTTAATGGGGTTCCTTTTGCTCAGCCCTGACTGGGGAATCCGTTTCAGATCCTTTTTTTGCTCTGTGCATGTGGTGAAAATGCATTTGATGCTGCTCTGTGTGGACAAGTCAGTGTAAGAGCTACCCAGCAACCTGTGGCAACCTGTGGCAACCTGTTCTCTCGTCTCTTCCTATGCACATATCCCCAATGATTTCTATTTGCATAGTATATATATATATTGTTTATGTACTCGCAATTGCTTTGTTTGGCCACAATTTTCATCACCTTTGTGGTAGCAAAGTAGTCACAAGTATTACGTACAATTAAAGTTTTTCCATTGATTCCAAAATCAATCAATCCGCAAAGTCGCCTCACAGTGTACCCAAGTTGCCTCCTGCGGCTGCATGTCCTCAGAGGAAAGACCCGCAAGAAGGGCGAGCCGAGGATTGTAGCAGCCACTCAGCCACAAGTCCAAGCGCTGAATTTCCTAACGTCGTCACAGTCGTCACATCGCCGCTGTTTGCCTTGACATATTCTGAGGCCGACAAGTCAGAGGCTGCCCCATCGGATTCCACCACACCCCCGGAGGCCCTCAGCTTGGGTTGGCCATGTTGAAGTGCGAGGTGTCCAAGAAGTGTATAGAAGTGTAAGATGTGCAAATAAGATCAAATAATCGAAATAAGGCTAGCACCTTCGGTTTTTGATCATCCCAAAGCTTCCCTTTGTTTTTTTAATGACAACTTGATCTTCAAACATCTTCAAACCTTGAGAATTGAAACACAGAAACGCCAACATGCCTGAACTTCCAACTTCAACATGTCTTGCATTCCTGGCAGGCCTCAGAAGCTTCTCAGGAGACAGCCGAGTCCAGTACTAAGGAGGCGACCCCAGAGAAGCCGAAGTCTCCTGAGAAGGTGGGGGTTGGAATTTGGACAGGAATGCAACATACTGCCAGCCATACGTAGTACCATGTAGTCCCCATATAGTCCGTCGCTATAGATCCGCAGATCCACACAGTCTCTGGCAACCCGTCGCCTGTCCCCGGTATTCCCGGGTCTGAGGTGCCCGCGCCAGAGCCGAACGTTGAATCGGCTCCCCCAAAGGAGGCGGAAGCTGCAAGCGCCGCAAGCACCGCAAGCGCTGCACCCAGTGAGAAGACCTCCAGACAGGAGATCAGCGTGGTGGCCACTGGGACTATCATGATCTAATATGATCTATAATCATCTATAATCTATTGATATCTATTCTGTCACTATGCGTTTAAAGCCAAGACAAGACCACGTACCGGAATTGTGAGGCATTTGAGCCCCCCAAAAAAATCCAACAAATCCAAACACTGCGAAAGTTGTGGGCACAGATGCAGCTCCCACAGCAGGAGACTATTCTCATTGAGGCACAAGCTTCCTGGCAGCATCAGACAATTTGTTTCGAGTGGTTCCCACAGATTTGGCTTGAACTTTGTAAAAATGCACCACTGGGAAAATGGCACTTGCATACACTTGTATACACTTGCATGCACTTGCCATCTGGTCATTACAGTATCATTCAGCCAGTCATCCAACCAACCAAGGTGAAAATCGGCGACGGTAGCGTGCAGACACTTTGTGTGCGGGCATCAGATCGATGCAAAGATGCTGCTGAACGCTTCATCAGCGAGAATTCCCTAAAGGCAAGGGTTGGCACAAGATTTTGAAAATTCTTCATGTGGTCTTGGCCTGACAGAATCATCAGAATCAACTAATTACTGATTCTCTCACACCTTCATTCGCAGCCTTGCTGAGCTTTGCCTTTTCAGCCTTGCCACGCCTTGCCCAGTTTCCCTTTACACCATACCGTCAACCCTCACCATGCAAATGTGTCATGTGTACATTTGCATCATGCTGCGAAAGACACCAGTCGTTCCAGGGTGCCTGTGGCTGATTTCAATGTTGTGTGTAAAAAAGGGGCGAGAGAGGTATAGAGTCTAGAGAGAGAGAGAGATAGAGAGAGGGAGAAAGCTAAAGTAAGAAACCCAATAGAAAAACATAGTTGTTTTTTGTTTGCATGTGCACCATGACGGTTCAATGGTTACCGACGTTCCTGCTTGCCAGGCCAGCTTTACGAGGCTCAGCTATTATATGTATGTTCAGAGTTGTACAAAAGGAGAGAGCCCCGAGATGGATTTTGTCTCCATTCCATACTATTTCTTAGATGATATAGTTAGATACGCTTTTGGCAACAGGAAACGCCCTTCAATACAATCTAGCGAGCTAGTGAAATATTTATATACACATCAATCTAAATATAAACATTTTACATTATAAATACACACACACACATATATATATATATATACACTGTCAATTCTGGATGGATTCAGACCATGGCTGTCCAAGGGGCATCCAATGGTCAACTTGGCACTTCTCGAACGGACGGTTCCTGCAGCGACAAGGAATACATACCTTTTGGCAAGTCTCACAATACGTGATTTAATTTGACGTTCACGAAGCTGGCCACGTGTTTTGCCATAAACGTAAGATATCGCCTTCACAACGGGCGAGGGAGAAAGAGATGTCAAGGCACCGGCGAAGAGCTAGCTATTGGATTGAATTGATGCCTATGCAAGTTCGTCTAGATACTGAATCTTGAAACTCCTCTCGAATTTGATCATCTCCATCACTTTAGGAAGCCCCTGACGGACTTTCTGAAGATCCTTGGCAGAAGTTCATAGAATTGCAGCTGTAGCGACTGGTCGTTTGAAAGCATTTACATTTATATCCCCTCTGCCACATTACAATCACATCAATCCAGTGCAGAGTGTCATGACTCAATGTCACTAGAGCGTGTGAAGACTTGGAGATGTCATGTCAGTGAATGCATATCCATGCGCGGTTTCATCGTCTGGATGACTTTTGCCTGAGATTGCCTGAGGAAAGTGGAAAAAGATGCAGAAACCTTTCCGGTTCACACTGAGATTGATTTGTCGGACTTGGGGCCGCCTGGGCGTGCTTAAATTCTGTATTCAGCCAATATCCAGCCTCTAAACATCGTCGAAGTTTGCAAGGACAGAGCCACATCACCAGTTCTATGGTTGTAGCACTTTCAAGTTTTCGCCTGGCTCTTGAGATCCTCGCGCGTCCTGCGCGCGATCTGCCCCGTTGAAAAGAATAATTAGCTCTCAGCTCTCAGAAGTGTGCAAGACAAATGCGTGGGCCTACAACCTCTACCATCTCTACCTTTGACCCAGAGTCATACCGCTCATTGACATTTCCATTGAGTTTTTTCACATCCTTCAACCCTCATGGAATCCATTCAATGAACGATTCAAACAAGTGTTGTAAAATGGGATTTCATTCCAATTTATTTCAGCCAGAAGAAGGCCCCGCATGTCAGCACTGCGAATCTCACACAGCGGCCTTGGTGAAGATTTGCGCGCTGCAAGCCGCATCAGCGCTAGATGCAGCCTCTCTCTACAGCGGACAGAGGGGCCCAATACTGTAGCTAGAAAAGAGCCGAGCTCCTTCTTGTGGTGCGCTGAGAAATACCAAGCTTCATCACACTACCAGTGGTTTGATGTGGTCTGTTGCGGTTTGATGCATACCCTCCCAGGTGGTGGGGTATTTCAATAATCCACTGCTGCAAAATGTCGCCAAGTTCCCCAACTTCAGACCTCTTCGTCACCGATTAACGATTCGCAGGTTGCGCCCTTCTTTCGTGTACACCTCGGGATTCCAACGAGCGTTGGAGCTGGGGACCTAGACCACAAGGATCCACAAGGACACTAACCTAATTGCCGTCTCTGAAGGCATCCGAGGGCTCATTTTCAAAGCCTTCCGGTAGCTCAAAAGATCAAAAAGTGGCGACGCAGTGCCCTGGTGCGCCATCGTCCTAAGGACCTGTTACCCCATTGCAGAGAGCCTAAACTTGCCTCCTCGGTTTCACCAAGATTTGCATGAGGTCGCTGGACTCCATTGTTTCTCACTAGATTTAGCAAATTTACAGCCTTTTACACCAGTGCAGCAAGATTTTGGGCTTCATCATGATCATATCATGATCATATCATGAGTACCATGATCTACCGTGGCTCTCCAATAGGTGGCACATGGTGCTACAGAGATGTACAAACCCAACACACCTCGCATGGCTCCAGGAAGGTGGTGTTTTCGAAGGTCCCCGGCGTGGCATTCGGCGGGAGTCCTATCCATTGCCCAGCTCCCAGCAAGTTCATGGGAGCGGCACAAGTCATGGAAAATGGGTGAACAATGGATGAACAATGACATGAAATGATATGAACAGAATTAAAAACAAAGCGAACTAAAAACAAATTGACATTTTAGACAAACGGTCAAAGTATCAAAGTATGTCGAGTTGAATGGGCAGTCAGAAGCCAGTGTTGCAGGGGAGGCTTTGGAAGAAACCTGTAGAATTGGATGGACATCCCAAATGGATCTGTGATTTGTGCAGCAACGTTCATCGAACATTTGACTGTGCTTGTCAGTCCTTTAGGGCTACGATGTGTTGCACAGATTTGGACAGTACGAAGGGGATATATAACGATGTTAACGTGGCATTCTAGAAACCTTTGCATCCAGGCATTTCGGAATGAACAGCAATCAGATGTGCAGCGGCCCCAGAAAGTTGGAGACTGTCTACTGTAGGAACCTTTTGCAAGCGCAAACCGGAGCTCGGATCAATGAAGTTGAGCAGATCATAGCAGACCAACATGGGAGTCACAACAGTCACATGTGAACCCCAGCAAATGTCCAGGCCAAGTCCTTCCCGGGCTTCAGGGAACAGAGAACATCCCAGAGCAGGGCTGGTGGGTTGGAGGCAGCATTGCCAAGCCCGGTATGTTTTGGGGCTTGGCAACCAAACAATGCACCACTCCAGAGATCTAATCCAGCAGGCACTGCTGTTGGGAGCTTGGTATCGAGAGATTCGAGAGGGAATTTAAATGCAATTGGTTAAAAGAATGCCAAGAAGAGGTGCCATATGAATGCTGCCCTTTTCACACACTGTTGCCATTTTGACATGTTGGGAGGCCAAGAGCCTCCAAACAATGCTCAGAAACGAGCGAATCGATGTACGTGTCTCAGACGTTTGAAGAACGTTTGTGCTCCATGGCCCCCCTGTGGCTCTGTCTTGTTATGCTGTGCCGCATTTTGGGCCCAAGGTGCTGAGTGGCTATGGAAGATGGCTGAGGAACAAGGCCCGCGACATTCCGCTGCCAAGGCTGTCAAGGCTTTCATGAAGCTGGTTCAACATGGTTCAACAAACCCAATGAGTTTTTGATCATGTCCATCTATATCCCCACTACATCCATGTATTTTTTAAGCAGCTATCTCAGGTTTATATCCATTGAGATCAATTCTGCTCCATCATTTCTCAGTTGGTGTGCCCATCTCTTTTGATTACATCCACTGAGAGTGTTGCCACCCAGGCTGCGATGAATCCTTCCCAGAAGAGAGCAGCGGTGCAGCAGCAAGCCCAGTCTTGGTGCTGCTTGGTGACCTGCTTATTCAATGATTAATCCATGTAACCATGAACCCCTTCAACCCCTACATGAACAGAACACACCTTGAAACCTCCGTTCAGTATTGGATCATTTTTTGGATCTACTGTATTCATTGAATTTCATTTTGGGATCCATTTCTTGGGACATTTCATACTTGATATTGAAGGGATAGAATTGCGTTACACGATGTTACAAAGGTTTGAACACTCGCCTGAGCCTATGTTACGGACATAGAATGAGGATGAATGAGGCTTTCAATTGTAGGATCATCAATATTTCCCAGCATTTTCGACCACGCACTTTCAACATGTTTCAAAATGACCCTGTACTGAAAGTATCTTCAAGTTCAGTGTTTGTTGGGGCCTTATGGTGATGACGTGCCTTATGGTGGTGACTTAGAGGAAAGCACAGGCAAGGCAGTCATGTAAGGGTTTTTGCGAATTCCCGTGGTAGGTCTGTGCATACATACATGTATACACACACATATAATTTACATATAATTATACTGTATATGACAAGGCTGGCACAACAAAGGGGATTGCTCAAATCTTATCAGACTGATATGTCAACTCTGCCTGGCATTCTTGTCACGCATATGTTTCATCCAGGAACGAGTCAACGCAACTTCTCTGACTACGCAGTGATATGGGGGGCACTGTCATCATTTGTGAAATGGTTCCTGGCTCTTGGGGACTCTTGGGCATCTTGAACTATTTTGGTTAATGTTGGTTAGCCATGGTTAACCCAGCAAAGAGCTCTTTTACACTGCCAGAGTTGACAGTCGATGCCTACATTTCTCAGGTCGTTTGTGTGACTCATGGCCTCTTCATGGACAGACTGATCAAAGCCATACACCCAGCGACTGGGGGATCATGTTTGGATGACTGATGACTGATCTGTGCCAAGACGACTCCAATAAAGTGCCATAAATGATCCATAAATGCACCCATGCTTCATTTCCTATGGTGCATGAGATTTCGGATCGCACGGCGAGTCTCATCATTCTGTGGAGTGAGGCCCTAGCAGGTCTTGACCCGCATCTAGGCGGCTTGTGCCAGCACGTTCGGTAGATGTTCTGCAACTTGTCCCAGGGCGTTTAGAGCATCCCTCAGAGTTAGGGACCAAAAGATGGACCAAGCATGTTGTATGCAGCTGCTACTGTATCACTTCTTTGAAAATCTGCAATTTTTAAGTGTCACGAAACACCAGTCAGGATCATGTTTTCAGCTGGCAGCATTCCCAAATCTCAATTCATGCCGCAGGCAGCATGCTGATCATGACTTCCAACTGCGCATATTGGCTCGTCGGGGCCTTTGTTCAATCACAACGACGGCAGCATGGATAGCGACAAGGGATGAATCCCATGCACTGCTGCCGTTATGAAGAGGAACACTAGTGCATGCTATATTTCAATATGTTTTCCAGTCCGTCTCTCTTGCATTGATCGGAATATCAACAATATCAACATCCGTGTCCTTAGTCACAGTTGTCAACCCAGAGTTTGTCACAGGTACAGTTGCGAATAGATCACGACGAGAACACGCCAAGGACAGTTCCTGTTGTGAAAAGACGGCATGTGACATGCATGCCCGCTTATGATAAGTGTAAACAGATCAGATCCCAAAAAATAACCTGGCATTGATTTCGGATTCTGCCAGCTGCCCTGTGTAGCACATAAGTTCTGGATTCTACTCAGCAAGCACAGACGTTGAACTCAGAACTTTGGAACTGTCGAACTGGTCTTGGTCATCTGGTTACCTTCACTGACTCGTCTCTGGACTTGGAGCTAGGCTGCTTGAATTTTGTGTCATATCGTTGTAGGATAGCAGTCATGGCCGCTTGCAATGTTGTTGACCATGCCGCTTCCTTAGCCTGCTAGCAGCCCATTTATGTTTTTATGAACACAATGACCAGGAATGGATGAAGGGGACAGCTGGATGGACAACCAGACTTGACAAATTGAGGTGCCCATGTCCATTCGAACTGGGTCTGGGCCACAGAGTCAGAACTCGCTGAACAGGATGAAATACACATGAATATACCCACGTTAATACCATCCGACCAAAGCAGCATTCCATAGCTGGATTATCGCCGACAAGTTTATTCAAATTGCGACAATCCCTCACAATGACACTAGCGCTTCACTGTGTGATTTTTTGATTTGAAGATGATCCATCGATATCCATGGAAGAATCTGCACCAATCTTGAGATCCTCGAGGCACAGTATTTGTGGCATTGCGCATTGCCAGCCGTCGCCACTTGGTTTGAACTATTTTGAATTCATCACCTTAGCATCAAGGTAGTCATGGAGTTGGAGAACGTAGGTGATCCATGGCGATCCCAAGTAAGAAAGTTGAGAGAGCTGCAATTCATACGTGCTTTCAGAAACCTCAGGTATATGTAAGCTGAGAAGCCGGAGGGCAACCTGCGCTAAGCCGTCAAATGATGAGCTTGAAAGCAACAGCCTGCGGACAGCCTGTGGGCCTGCAGCCTGCAGGGCCAGCGCAAGCAACTGCATGGGGTACTTTGTGAGGCTGGGATGCAAGTTTCTCAGGCCATCTAACCGCTGACTGCCATCAGAATTTGTTCATTTATTCATGTTTATTTTTTTGATTTATTGTGCTGTTGGCTATTGGGCCTTCGGCTGAAATGGTGCCACATGTATATACCTATCATGTGGCAAAAAATGCCATCAATTCTTGTCAAGCTACATTTTCTGGGTCCCGATGGTTTCGTATGGTTTCGTGTTTCCTTCACCCTTATGTCAGAGGAGGATAACATAATATAACATAATATAATCAGAATATACAAGATGTATCAAGATGTGCATGTCAGACATGTCATGCAATCAGAAGGGTGAGGTCGTTCCGGCCCCGTTGTCGTTGCGTTGTCATTGCCAACTCGCGCTCGCCAAGTCATTGCCAACTCCAGGTCACGAAACTTTCATATGAAACATGACATATGATTCATATGATATAATAACCAAATGAAATACATGAGCAACATGTACAGTAATGATCATGTAATGATCATGTAATCATCATGTAATGATCATGTAATGATCATGTAATGATCATGTAATGATCATGTAATGTACCAAACATATAACGAGATGGAGTTTCCCAATGTTTCATAGTTCACCTATGTTCACCTGCTGACCCATCGCATCCATCGCGGTTGTGCAGTTCCTTCATGTTCCTTCATTCACGACGCATTGGCCTAGACTTTGGCCTAGACTTCGGCATTGCTTCAGTTAGTGTTTCGTGGCAGTTTTAGCCGAACTGGCGCCCCAGTACTATAATTTGCAGGCTGCGCAATGTATTTTCTTTGGCCACAGGCTTCTTTCAGTTGGTTTGGAAAGCCAGCAACTTTCCACCGAATCGTGCTACCCAAAGCTACCGAACCAATGGATCGAAATTGGATCTACCAAACCCGCTGAGCACCGCCGTTGACGAACCTTTCCAGCAACCGCGTGACCCAGTGGACCGGACTGCCCGCATTTTTGCTTTAAACATGGTTGGTGCATGTGAGTGAAAAATATTCATAAGATTTGATCCGGGCTGTACCGTTGGAGAATTCCCTCCATCATCTTCATCATTCCGCAATCTGTCAGTAAGGAAACCATGTTTTCAAGCGGGGGGAAGATGGTGATGGATGAGCTCCACCCAGGGCTGGGTGAAAAAACCTTCAGCGTCACAGAGCGGAAAGCCAGATGCAGTAAACCACCAGAAGCGAGGAGTTCCAAGTGGCCGGGTGCAGATTGGGCCGCATTTGAAGCACATAAAATCAACTAAACTCGTCTAAATGGAGCACTTGGTATTTCCCTAATTTTGTTTAACAAGCGGGGAACCAAGTTGCTCTCATTGCCATGCCTCAATGAGACTAGAGGAATCAAAAAATGGGGCCATTCGCACTGGCTCCCTTGGAAAGTTCCAGAGCCGACGGTGCTTCGCCCGCTAATTAGGGAGAAAAGGATAGAAAAGGGGGATTTGAGGCTGGAATTGTTTGTCTGATCTGTGGGTGTTGCTTCACTATGGGACAATGTTGGACCAATGGCTGCGATTCCCTCAGCGATCGGCTCACTTGTCGTTGGTCCCGCTTGGGCTCAAGGTGTAGTTGAAGCTAGTGCCACAAACATCCATAAACCATGTGTGGTACAAAAGAATTTGGCCACTGCTGTTTCTCTCATGGAAGCAATGGAGAATCTGAACTTATTCATACTTTAAGTATGTTAAGATTAATGTATTCCATTTGGTCGGATAACAAGCCACATGCCAAACAGTGCTACAATCATGCCACAATCCCCTTCTCACCAGCCCTCCAGAAGAAACGAGATGGGACGGCAGCACTCCAGCTACAATATCGGTCGGTGCACAGCACGACCTCAGACCCAGGCAGCCGCTCCACTTGCCCTCATGGCGGCTGGAAACTATGGGTGACCAAACTCGGTTCTTGCCAAACCTGGAGGCATGCCAAGCTCGGCAGTCCCGATCGGTCACTCCCTCAACCAGGATGCAGAGTGTTTCGAGTAATGTTTCGGAAACATCCTTTAAGATTGCTCACCATGGAGACTGATTGGTGTGAAAAATGCGTCATGCATCACATTTGATCCTGTCCATGCAACGCTCAAAAAAAAGCAGATGTTTAGCAGGGCGTCTTCATTTCCATCAGCTCCGAGGATGAACATGAGGCAGGGAGCAAAGGGCGTAGTTTCAGACGAGCTCAAAGTCTTTCTGATTACGCCTTGAGCACCCATAGAAGCGACAAGAAGCAGTGCTGTATTTTGCTTGGAACTTGGCAGGAACAAAGCTGTGATGGAGAGAAGCTGATCAGTGGAAGGCTCAGCAAGGTTTCCTTTCAGGAGCCTTGAGAGAAGGCTTGTGCTTCAATTGTGCACAACTGCTGGTTGCGAACGAGCTGCCATCAGCCTAGGTGAGACCAATGCCCACTTTCCTGGTTCTCCTGTGCAGGCAAAAGTGCTGGCTAAGTATGATGTAGTAGTATGTACACTGTATAATTATACCTTGCATCATTTCCTGCGTGTTAGATCTCATGTCTTCGCACCTTTTGATCCCTTGGCACATTGGTGCAAGTATCTTTACCTTTATATACTTTATCTTAAACGTATGTCATGTCATATATATATATATATATCACTTCTGTGGGGTTACTGTTTAATCCAACAGCGGCAAAGCGGAGAATTGTCCTCATATCTGTCCCATTTCGTCCCTAATTTTTGCGTGAAATGATCCCCAAGGCAGAGCGGATAGAGCCGATAACTGGCCAGGCTCAACCGCAGGTTAATGGCCGAAAGCATCCGCGAGAAGAGTCAGATGATGAAAGATGCTCGCTGTAAAGTTGGTCGCATGCTGTTCTCTAAGAACGGACAAATGGTGTTTGGGGACATGTGATTTACTGACATTTGCTTGAGAAAATTACAGAAAATTGAATGCACTGCTTACTGAACTTCTTGCTAGCTAGCTTGGATGGTCTGAATGCGGCTTATCTCGCTTCTGCTGGTGTTGCTGGGTGTGACTTCCTCTAGCAGTAGCACTATGCAACCATATATGCAACCTGTAGGACGCATTGCCTCAATCTCCTCTGAGGCTGTGAGTTTGAGTTTGAAGGATTTGACAGTGACGAGGACTGGGGCAAGTGCCTCATCATGCCTCATCACATGAGCGGCCCAGCCTGACGACTGACACCTTTGTGCCTCCCATTCAGCTCATTTGCCCAGGAAAATTCATGCCCAAACGATCCCAAAGATGTTTGGGATGATTATAGACCTTCCCAGGTGAAAAAAAATATATATATATAATTATATATATATATAATTACACATATTTGTGCGATGAGCCTGTGCCCTGGGGGGTGACTTGACAGATTGCAAGTGAGCAGAGCTCAGACGTAAGCCCTTCCTTTTGGTGTGAGTAAAGTGGAAATAGAAACCCTTCCCACTCCTCACGGCATCAGCAACCAATGTAGAAATCCCAATGAGCCCCCCGGCAACTTTTAAATATGCATGCACATGAAGGTTGTCCTGAATATGCTTTGACAATCTATGACATCCAGGGCCACAAACTGATAAGAAAATGCTGTTTCGCCACTGTCCTTTCTGTAGGACTTCATCCCGAAGAGTGCCAAGTTGTCACGACCTCGTTTGCTGCCAGCCTCGGATTGCTCACCACAAGCGGAGGCCTATCTAAGAATCTAAGACTCTGGTTAGGAGTTCTGCTCAAATCACGTGCCTGCTGATTTATTTCTTCAATTTTCTTAACATTTCTTAACATGCTATATTGTCAACATGCTACATTGAATACAGTACCAGAAACTTCGGTGTATTTCTGTTGAAGTTTGACTTTTCGCGATCCTGCACATTGGAGCGTATGCTCGCCCAGTGGCCCAGCCAGGGCTCCAAATCCAAAACTCTACCAGCGGAGCTGCAAGCGTTGCTTCCAGCGGAGCAACTCAGCGCTCCAAGGACTGTCGCATTGCGTTGCTGAGCATGACCTATTCACTGGTAAACTAACATAACTATGGAAAATCACTATTTTCAATGGGAAAATCCACTATAAATGGTCATTTTCAATAGTTATGTTAAATTACCAGAAGGTATTCACTGGCTCATATTTGTCCCTGCCACTCGGATTACCCACTATGTTGATCTATATATATTGGTTTGTTGGTTTGTTGGGCACGCTTGAGAATGGTTGAGTTTATGTGAAAGCTTAAAATTCAAGGCCTTGAGTCCTGTAAAGCTGCTGCAACCATGCGCCGAAGTCATTACCTGGAGTCAGTTCAGTAATGTGATCATTTTAATGTATATAGTTGCAAAATTGCAAAGTCCTGCCCACGGCCGTTTTCTCCCAGTAACCGGCCAGGGAGCTCAATGCTGCCCATGTCTTGACTGACGAGCAGACCCGTGCGGTGAAGTATGTTGCAAGCACTGCCAGAGCAAAGAGTGAAGCAGCCAAGGAGGGCCTACAGAGGTGGGATCTCTTTCAAGCCTGGAAGGGAGAGGGGACGAGAGAGATATTGTAGTTGTAATATGTTGTAACTGGCATTGTTTCTGACCTCAACAATGATGATCAATGATGATCAGGCGCCTGGCAAAGTAGCTTGGCTTTCATTCAAGGAGGCTGCAGAGAATTGACTGACTGACTCTGACTGTGAGTTGTTTGGGTTGCTTTGGCTCCTTCATTCCATGGTGGGTATGAGTATGGACCAATGGATTGTAGTGAGATCCCTTGGATAACTTCAGCTCAGGTGGGGCTATGACAAGGATACTCTGGAAAAGGTCTTGACCTACATTCGAGATGAGGCTGTCCAAGGGATGGAATCGGTCCGTGATAGAATGTTGCAATGTTTCGGATGTTTCCTGTACAACTGGCGGGGGCAATTCGGACTGTGTTGCAGACATGGTGGATTGGACCCAATCGAACCAATGGAAATCAATGGAAGTACCACAGGCATCCACAGGCTAAACTCTATGCAGTTTAAGGTGGTGATTCAGCCAGCTGCTGGTTGAAACACGAAACGCCAAGGCACCTATCGTCATACATACCGACTTGAGCAAGCGACTCAATGCTTTCAACAAGGACTAGCGTCCAGGTTTGAGGGTTTGTCCATGTTTCTTCAAACTTTTGAGTGTGAGCTCCATCTGCCCACGCAGGACACTCACTATCGGAATCAATTTGAAACAGGAACGACCAGCGGATCCAGTGATATGTCCAAGAGAAAGGTGCTTTGGGATCTTTGGGTAGGGATCTGTTGGGGTCGACGGATATGATCACAGACAAAGCGGGACGTATGGAACGTGAATGCTGAGAATGAGCTGCATGGAGGCCTGGGAAAGCCGACTTTTCCCCGATATCTACGATACAGTGGAAGCCACCCACCGCGTCAAATATGGTGTCCTCAACGCTGTCAATGATCCGCCTGGCGCCGAGCCCACGTGGCATCATGTGGCCATGTATGGCCCGTTCCATGTCATGTGTTGCCGTGCTTGGCCCATGATGTTTTATCAAGTTTTATAATCGTATATCATGATGTCATATAAATTTGATTAAATTTCCCCGTCGAAAACATATCACAACAGCATACCCATGGAGACGAGATTGTTTGACCATCCCATGTGTTGTCCCAAGGCGGGGCATCATGTCAGTTGCAAAGCAGTACGGGCAGGACTGGTCCGTTAGGCTTTGCATGGCTTTGCAAAAAACTGTATAATATACTTAGTAAAGAGAAGCCGCTTAACCCCAGAAACAGCGGGGAGAGAGAGAGAGAGAGAGAGTCCTCACAATACGTGATGCTCTTTCTAATTCCAATATGTGCTTCGTTCTCTTAGTGCGGTTCTGTTGGTTTGTCACTTGGCTCGCGTTTCGTCATGTGTACATAATCATGCTTCTCAAGAGGCTTTGGTCCAATTGGTGGCACTTTTGGAGCAGAAGTCCGGATTGGATCAGGACTATTTGGTTCTGCGGGGAGTCCGTCTTCGCACCACTTTTTCCGACCGAGATTCCTGCACCCAGGGCCAGCAGGCGTCTTGCGATGCTCGGACTTGGAAGCCCTCGGCGACTGTTTGAGATGTGAAAGGATCGAATTCACTACGTTCAGCGCGTTCAGGTATTATAGGTCCAATTTATCATTCAATATGCCCTTTGATGCGTTTGATGCCATTTCTTATTCATACCCTTCCATGCTGGAAACGGCCTCGCTTGTGCCCGTCGATTTGTCTCGCTTGTGCCCGTGCAGCCCCTTTCAGTGACTTTACGTGGCAGGGCCAAGGTAAACAGCAGCTAAGAGCAAGTAACTAGCATGTTGAAGAGCAAGTGAACACATATTTTCATGGCTTAGTTCACATGTTTTTTTTTTGCGTCTCAAGAACTTAGACAAGGTCCCCCCTAAACCCAATTCCCCAAGTCCCAACCTAAAAGGTTGTTTATGTACACTTTGATACCTACACCATGTCTCCTTGTCCCCAAGTCGCCCCCTAACCCAAAGTCCCCAAGTCCCAACCTAAAAGGTTGTTTATGTACACTTTAATACCTACACCCTGTCTCCTTGTCCCCAAGTCCCCCCTAACCCAAGTCCCCAAGTCCCAACCTAAAAGGTTGTTTATGTACACTTTGATACCTACACCATGTCTCCTTGTCCCCAAGTCCCCCCCTAAACCCAAGTCCCCAAGTCCCAACCTAAAAGGTTGTTTATGTACACTTTGATACCTACACCATGCCTTCTTGTCCCCAAGTCCCCCCCTAAACCCAAGTCACCAAGTCCCAACCTAAAAGGTTGTTTATGTACACTTTGATACCTACACCATGTCTCCTTGTCCCCAAGTCCCCCCCTAAACCCAAGTCACCAAGTCCCAACCTAAAAGGTTGTTTATGTACACTTTGATACCTACACCATGTCTCCTTGCCCCCAAGTCCCCGCCTAAACCCAAGTCACCAAGTCCCAACCTAAAAGGTTGTTTATGTACACTTTGATACCTACACCATGTCTCCTTGTCCCCAAGTCCCCCCCTAAACCCAAGTCACCAAGTCCCAACCTAAAAGGTTGTTTATGTACACTTTGATACCTACACCCTGTCTCCTTGTCCCCAAGTCCCCCCCAAGTCCCAACCTAAAAGGTTGTTTATGTACACTTTGATACCTACACCCTGTCTCCTTGTCCCCAAGTCCCCCCCCTAACCCAAGTCACCAAGTCCCAACCTAAAAGGTTGTTTATGTATGTTTATGTACACTTTGATACCTACACCCTGTCTCCTTGTCCCCAAGTCCCCCCCAAGTCCCAACCTAAAAGGTTGTTTGTGTACACTTTGATACCTACACCCTGTCTCCTTGTCCCCAAGTCCCCCCTAAACCCAAGTCCCCAAGTCCCAACCTAAAAGGTTCTTTTTGCTCACGCCGCCTCTAACGACCCCAGGCGGTTTGCGTGTTTTGATGTGCCATGTGCGTGTTGTGTTTTCTTTTGGGGGGGTGGGGGGGGTGGGTGGGGTGGGGTGGGATGTTAACGTTCCTTGCACTTCGTACATTACATGTTGCTACGCTGTAGAGATCTCTGGGATCGTTGCTACGTCACATGTTGTTACGTTGCTGATGGTGTGGGGTGGTGTGGGGTGGGGTGGGATGTTTACGTTCCTTGCACTTCGTACATTTCATGTTGCTACGCTGTAGAGATCTCTGGGATCGTTGCTACGTCACATGTTGTTACGTTGCTGATGGTGTGGTGTGGGGTGGGGTGGGATGTTTACGTTCCTTGCACTTCGTACATTTCATGTTGCTACGCTGTAGAGATCTCTGGGATCGTTGCTACGTCACATGTTGTTACGTTGCTGATGGTGTGGGGTGGTGTGGGGTGGGGTGGGATGTTTACGTTCCTTGCACTTCGTACATTTCATGTTGCTACGCTGTAGAGATCTCTGGGATCGTTGCTACGTCACATGTTGTTACGTTGCTGATGGTGTGGTGTGGGGTGGGGTGGGATGTTTACGTTCCTTGCACTTCGTACATTTCATGTTGCTACGCTGTAGAGATCTCTGGGATCGTTGCTACGTCACATGTTGTTACGTTGCTGATGGTGTGGGGATTGAAAGACTTGCAAGATTGAAAGAACTTGGCACGTTGGCAAAGACTTGCAAGTGAAAAATATAAAAACTTCGGGTTTTTTTTTGTATGGGGACAAAAATTGAATGCTTCGACCACTGTAAATTCATGAAAACGACTACAAAGTCATGCAAATACCAATGGAAATGCAAGTCATGTCAAAATGCGAATGTCACAAAACCCTGGAAGGGTTGCAAAACTGAAGACTGAGCTGCTGGAAAAAAGGTGAAATTGCGCGGGGTCATTGCGGGCGGCGTGTCCTTGTTTTTGTACATGAAGATAGGTATACATGAATTTGGGCGCAAGTGAGTCGTTTTGATGGGCGCAAGTGAGGCTGTTTCCTTCCAGGCTCATCCAGGGCGCAAACATTTTGTCAAGATATCATTCACCTCAGGCCTTGCTTGTTGAAACATGTTGTTTGCAACATGTTCACACTATGTATAAAAGCATATGGCCAACCAGACATGCTCGCTCACAAACACATACATGGCAATGGACACATGGATATGACTACGTTTGTGTGTTTGTGTGTAGCACGTGTACATGCATGAATGCCACCATCTTTTTACTTCTCATTTTTTGAGTCCATGGAACGTACCCCAAACAGAATGCGCCCCAAGAGTGGCGCAATGCAAGGAATGGTATGCGCATGTGCTTGAGTGGCCCAGCTGCATGAAGTTCCGCTATTTGATCCTGACAAGCTATACGGAGTAGTATACGGAGGGATACAAAGGGTATACATAGGGTCTTTATGCAACACAAAGGGCTTTCCACAGAGTTCACTGCGTACATCCAGCACCTGAAATGCACGGGCCCGAATTCATTCCAGGCCAATGGATGACTGACATGAAGTCATTGCATGTATACATGTGAAATCATGTGAATTCATGTAATTACATAATTAAAAAATATACTCCTGGGTTGGTCAGCTTACTGGCTTTGCAAGCTTGGGTTTGTCGCCCTGATCCTTTTTTGGGCTATGTGCATTTCATGCCTTTCGTTCCCCTGTGAGGAAGTATACTGACACTGAGTTGCAAGCAGTGACAGAGGCCAGATGGATCAACTGCATCAACTGCAAAAGACTGGGTATCCGGGGGTGAACCAAAAACAAACACAATTAGTTCGCTTCAATTATTGATCCAATGAGATCCAATGCACCTGATGTGAATAACATCTGGAATGACAATTTAGGAGACTGTTCGGAACCCGGCAACGTGTCTCGAAGGGGACCGCCTTTTCAACTATACATGGGGTGTACCCTCCAAATGGCAATTTCATGCAATTCAATGGGAAAGATGATGATTGAGCATCAATTTGCAGGTACCACAAAGTACCAGGTACCCTGTTTTCAGACAAATCCATGTCATGGTCTATGTTTGAACTAACAGAGACAAGCCGCTGCTCTGGATGTCAGGTTGCGCTTGGTGATAGACTCTTCGTGGATTCCAGTGTTTTGGACACTGCCGCAGGCGGCTACAAGGCTTTGGACAAGCTGTCTCCTTTTTTGCCAACCAGAAATCGTGGTGAGTCAATCATGGGAACGCACATGTGCAGAGCAGGTTCACAGTTTGATTCAATCTCTTGATCACTAATATTGTACAGACACATGATGATGTAATAGTGTGCTTTTATCCCCGAGAGCGTTTGAGCGAAGGGTTCTTCTAATAGTGGGGGTTCGTTATACATCTTCTCATCTTCACATCTTCATTTCCACATCTACACAGATCATCTTCACACCTTCACATCTTCACACCTTCACATCTTCACATCTTCACGTCACATCCGCACATCTTCACACATTTTCTCTCTCTTTCTCTCTTTCTCTCTTCTTCACATCTTCACATCTTCTCTCTCTCTCTCTTTCTCTCTTTCTCTCTTCTTCACATCTTCACATCTTCTCATCTTCACATCTTCTCTCTCTCTCTCTTTCTCTCTTCTTCACATCTTCACATCTTCTCATCTTCTCATCTTCTCATCTTCACATCTTCTCTCTCTCTCTCTCTTTCTTTCTTCTTCACATCTTCACATCTTCTCATCTTCACATCTTCTCTCTCTCTCTTTCTCTCTTTCTCTCTTCTTCACATCTTCACATCTTCTCATCTTCACATCTTCTCTCTCTCTCTCTCTTTCTCTCTCTCTCTCTCTTTCTCTTTCTCTCTCTCTCTCCTTCTCTCTCTCTCTTGCCCTCTTGCCCTTTGTCACGGTCTCTCTCCTTCTTTTTCTTTTTGTCTCTCTAGGCCACGGGCAGTGCCGACGAGGCGCCAGCCACGAAATGGCCACCCTTTTGCACGAAATGAGGTTCGGTTCAATCGTCAAAATTTAGAAACTGAGGTAAAATTGCGATTTTACATCCTCCGCGACAACCTTTTCGAACGAAATCAGGTTCGCGTGTCAAAAACTCAAGGTTTTTTGCGAGTTTGATTGGTCCGGCGGCAGCCCTTTCGCACGACATGAGGTTCGAGTGTCAAAAACTAAGGTTTTTTTTACGAGTTTGTTTGGTTTAGCAACCCTTTCGCACGACATGAGGTTCGAGCGTCAAAAACTGCGGTAAAATTGCGATTTTACATCCTCCGCGGCAACCTTTTCGAACGAAATCAGGTTCCCGTGTCAAAAACTCAAGGTTTTTTGCGAGTTTGATTGGTCCGGCGGCAACCCTTTCGAACGAAATGAGGTTCGAGTGTCAAAAACTGCAGTAAAATTGCGATTTTGTATCCTCCGTGGCAACCTTTTCGCACGAAACGATGCTCGAGTGTCAAAAACTAAAGTTTTTTTTAACAAGTTTGGTTGGTCCGGCGGCAACCCTTTCGCATGACATGAGGTTCGAGTGTCAAAAACTGCGGTAAAATTGTGATTTTACATCCTCGGCAGCAACCCTTTCGCACGAAACGATGCTCGAGTGTCAAAAACTGTGGGTTTTTGCGAGTTTTAGAAGTCGGTGTGTGCCAAAGGTTTGTGTATAAAAGTGTTTGTGTGTAAACGCTTCTGTGTGTAAAAGCTTCTGTGTGGAAAAGCCTCTGTGTGCAAAAGTGTCTGTGTGTAAAAGCGTTTGTGTGTAAAAGGTTCTGTGCGTAAAAGCTTTTGTGTGTAAAAGCGTTTGTGGGTAAAAGCTTCTGTGGGTAAAAGCTTCTGTGTGAAAGTTTCTGTGTGTAAAAGCTTCTGTGTGTAAAAGCGTCTGTGTGTAAAAGGTTCTGTGCGTAAAAGCTTTTGTGTGTAAATGCGTCTGTGTGCAAAAGCTTCAGTGTGTATCTGTGTGCAAAAGCTTCTGTGTGTAAAAGCTTCTTTGTGTAAAAGCGTCTGTGTGTAAAAGCGTCTGTGTGTAAAAGCTTCTGTGCATAAAAGCTTCCGTGTGTAAAAGCTTCTGTGTGTAAAAGCGTCTGTGTGTAAAAGTGTCTGTGTGTAAAAGCTTCTGTGTGTAAACGTGTCTGTGTGTAAAAGTGTTTGTGTGTAAAAGCTTGTGTGGGTAAAAGCTTCAGTGTGTAAAAGCGTCTGTGTGTAAAAAGTTTTGTGTGTAAAAGCTTCTGTGTGTGAAAGCGTCTGTGTGTAAAATCGTTTGTGTGTAAAAGTTTTTTCTGTGTAACGGCTATTTGACATATTATATGAAGGATACGATGCAAACTATTGTCTTGTAATACATGGTCGTGTCTTGATACTACCCTTCTCGTCTGCCTATAATACATCTGTAAAATATTGTCTTGTAATATATTGTCTTGATACTAACAACAGAAGAACTTGCTCCTCTACGCTCTCGGGCCATCCGTCGTCTAGTTTTGCAAGCGCATATTGCTTCCCATGAGTTCACTGGACCCATTTGCACCCTGAGCTGTTCCACGGCCACAGGAGGTGCAGATCCATGGAGAAGTTGAATTCAAGAAACACTTGGAAGCGGCCTCTGGGCTGAAGACCGTGGTGGCAGAAGCAGTCAACATGAAAGAGAAAAGAACGACCAAACATAGCAGGGACAGCGCAATGTGCCCTACGATTCTCAAAACGAGAAAAGGAGGCAAACAGAGCTTACATCCACTTTCACCTTTAAATCTTCAAACCTTCTTTGAATAAAAGATCCCGCCTCAACTGGCCAAGCAAGCCAAAAGATCGGCGTCAACATCGAAATGGGCACCGGCCATGCCGGCCATGGGTTCCATCAATTTCCCTATGTTTTCCATGTGGATATTGTGTTCTCTAAAAGCTGCTCCAGGTCGTGGTCCATCATTCCCGGAAGAAGAGTAAGGTCTTGTACTCGGGGAACCTTGGTAGATATTTGAAGCACGTTTGCCGTTTGCCGCCATCCTGGTACACACCCAATTTTGGGAGCAACAGATCAGGATAGATCAGCTATAGCCAGCTAGGTGGACGTCATTGGACGTCACCTTGTCAGATGCCAAGGATTGTGGAATGGTGCAACTCCATCGGTGTTCCGCTTCTGTAACTGGGACAATCTTAAGGTTCTACGGCTTTACATGCAAAGATCATGCTTCCAACATAGCAGAGATATTTGATCGGAGGGCACCAAGCAGAGGCAAGGCAACGGACACGTCCTATACCAATTACCAATTAGCATGTCCATGCATGTCCATAGTGACCATTAACCGTTAGTGGCCCAAAGAACCCAGAACCCCAAGGGAGATTTGATGAGACGGACTGTGCCGAGGTGCATGCCAGAGTTTTGTGATGGCACTGCTTTGATCTGTGGTCAAAGCAATCCAGGAACTCAACTGACGGCTGAGAACTCAATCCATGGAGTCTTCGAACTAAGGACTTTCTACAACGAACCAGGATGAATCAGGTAGCCAGGTAACACTCAGGTAACAATAATTAACAATAGGTAACAGGTAACAGGGACCAAAGGAATCCAAAGGAAACCATCTTCAAACGACCCAGACTTTCAACATCTTTCAACAATTGCTGGTGTGCAAAGGAATCCCCATTGACGGAGCCAGTTGTGAGGCTGAAACCCCGCTGTGGAGATGGCGCCCCGAGAAGTCAACAGGACTGGGGATAGTCGGATAGTCGTGCATAGTCGTGCGTAAAGCACATCACTTTATTAACTAAATCTATTAATTATTATTTTTACTTAGTAAGATATATTAAGTATTATTAAGTAATGTTAGGATTGTTAGGTCATAGTAGGTCATGTTAGGTCGACTTGACTCTCTGGCTGGGACTTTTCAGTGGCATGCCAAATTTTGTGCACCCAGATGTCACACGTATATCATTTGAGTGGTGAAAGCCTAAGAGTAGAATATGGAATGAATATGGAATATGGTAGAATCTGGATTCCCCATAAGTTACCCCGTTGGACTCTGAGTGGCCCTGACCTAGGACCATGGGTGCGCTTTGATGCTGTTGGGCTGTGACCTCAGGCCTTTGATCCCTGCAACACACCAGTTCTGCTGTAGATGGATCATTTTATTTTATTTATTATAGTAACCACCCAAAACGACCTAAAGTCAAAATTCTACTGAAGCAGTGGTAAATTACTTTTCTTTTTTTGTTGGGGTTTACTCGATATATATATATTATAATATAATACATGCAAATATCACCTTCGTTCATTGGTCTATATGTTGTAAATAGAAATGTCAGGGTCCTAGGAGCAGATAAATTGACATCATTGAACATCAGTACTCAATGTTCATTGTGAAATGTTGTGAACACCCGGAATTCTCAAGCGAAACTTATATTTATATACACATATTCAGCAAAATCTTTGATTGTATTTAGATCCTGGGAAGTTTGCCACAGCACACAGAGGAAGTCGCAAGTCTTCCGCAGTCAGTTTTTTTCTGCTCTGGGGTGTTCTTGCAACCTACAATCCAGCTTGAGTTTTCACACGTTGGAAAGCGCAATGTGTAGAGATGGTCGATGGTCAACCTCCATCAGTGTTACAGTTTTCTCGATTGAAATATTTGGGAGGTTTGTGCTATAAATATTATACCCAACAAATCTACAACACCAGGCTCTTCTGAGATTTCCTGAGGTCTTCTGTGCTAGAGGCACGCCGAAGACGAGAGACCGTGGAATTCCCCTGCATGCCGGTCCGGTGCCGCAGCCTCTCTAGCCTGGCTTTTTCTTTGATAGGTGTGTCATGGTGTGTCTACCATGGGATATCCCATTTCCAGTGGTTTATCATCAGTTTCTGTTGGCTAAAATGTTCACTAGTTGGATGATTTGGGAGAATATGACCTTTAGTTGGGCCAACTTACTGTAGCAAGGATTTTTTTGTCTAAAGTTTGGAGCATTCTGGCTGGTTTCTGTTTCTTCAAATGCGGGAACTTCTGTTGAAAATGCGGACTTTCATTTTTGCATTTGAGTGAGATTTGACCTTGTGGCCGAATCATATTCCCAGGCAGGGCACAAAACTTGTGTAGGTTTTCTTTACATATGCCCACTCTCACATTGAGCACGGGAAAATCATGCAGTAAGCACACTGCGGGAGGTGTGTCATAGCGAAGCCACCATTTGCTGCCTCAAGTTGTCCCTTTCGCAGCCTCGCTCCCAAGCTTTGAAGATGGACCCGGCCCATTTGGCTGAGGTTGGGCAGATCAGCAATCTGAATATGGCAGCCTTGACCGCTTCCCTACTCATAGGCAACATCTCTGTGCCAAACTCAAGAGACAGGCATGACCTGGAGAACTCAAAAGGATTACTCCATTCTGAAAGTAGATGGCGCAGATTTTTGCAATGCGCCATCTATAGACCACTTGAGGGATGGGGTGTTTTGCGCCATCTATAGGTTCCCGACACACGTCCTTGAAAACAACATGTTTTCCTCATTTTTCCTCTAGGTTAGTTTAAACTTAGTATTTAAGATCTGGGGCCCATTTTTTTTTTTGAAAACCATAATTGTGGATTGCGCCATCTATAGGTTCCCAAAGGAGGAGGGAAAGGAGAGAAAGGGAAAGGAGAAAGGAGAAAGGAAAAAAGGAAAGGAAAAGGGAAAGGGAAAGGATAAAGGAGAAAGGAGAAAGGAGAAAGGAGAAAAGGAAAGGGAAAGGGAAAGGATAAAGGAGAAAGGAGAAAGTAGAAAGGGAAAGGGAAAGGGGAAAGGAGAAAGTGGAAAGGGGAAAGGGGAAGGAGAAGGGGCCAGGAGAAAGGGAAAAGGGAAAAGGGAAAAGGGGGAAGGGAAAGGAGAAAGGAAAAAGGAGAAAAGGAAAGGAAAAGGAAAGGAAAAGGAAAGGAAAAGGAAAGGAGAAAAGGAAAGGAGAAAAGGAAAGGAGAAAAGGAGAAAGGAGAAAGGGAAAGGGAAAGGAGAAATGGAATGGAGAAAGGAGTAAGGAGAAAGGGACAGGGAAAGGAGAAGGGGCAGGAGAAAAAAGAAAGGAGAATGGACAGGGAAATAAGAAAGGAAAAGGCAAAGGGAGAGGGAAAGGAGAAAGGGAACGAACAAAGGGAAAGGAGAAAGGCAAAGGAGAAAGGAGGAGGGAAAGGAGAAAGGAGAAAAAGGAAAGGGGAAAGGATAAAGTGAAAGGGGAAAGGGAAAGGAGAAGGGAAAGGAGAAAGGAGAAAAGGACACGGAACAGGATTTTTTCTTTGGGAAACCATAACTGTGGTTTGCGCCATCTACTGTATAGGTTACTTACCACTGCGTTCCATGTTTAAAGGGAAAGGGAAAGGAGGAGGGAACGGAGAAAGGATAAGGAAAAAATTGGAAAAAGAAACGGAAAGGAGAAAGGATAAAGGGAAAGGGAAAGGGGAAAGGAGAAAGGGGAAAGGGAAAGGAGAAGGGGACAGGAGAAAGGGAAAAGGGAAAAGGGAAAAGGGGGAAGGGACAGGAGAAAGGAAAAAGGAGAAAAGGAGAGGAGAAGGAAAGTAAAAGAAAAGGAGAAAGGAGAAAGGAGAAAGGGAAAGGGAAAGGAGAAATGGAATGGAGAAAGGAGAAAGGAGAAAGGAGAAAGGGACAGGGAAAGGAGAAGGGTTAGGAGAAAAAAGAAAGGAGAAGGCACAGGGAAATAAGAAAGGAAAAGGCAAAGGGAGAGGGAAAGGAGAAAGGGAAAGAACAAAGGGAAAGGAGAACGGCAAAGGAGAAAGGAGGAGGGAAAGGAGAAAGGACAAAAAGGAAATGGGAAAGGAGAAAGTGAAAGGGGAAAGGGAAAGGAGAAGGGACAGGAGAAAGGAGAAAAGGACAGGGAACAGGATTTTTCTTTGGGAAACCATAACTGTGGTTTGCGCCATCTATAGGTTACCGCTGCGTTCCATGTGTAAAGGGAAAGGGAAAGGAGGAGGGAAAGGAGAAAGGAGCACAAGGAAAGGGGAAAGGAGAAAGGGGAAAGGGAAAGGAGAAAGAGAAAGGAGAAAGGAAAAGAGGAAAGGAGAAAAGGAAAGGGAAAAGGGAAAGGAGAAGGGGAAAGGGGGAAGGGAATGAGAAAGGAGAAAGGAGAAAGGGAAAAGGGAAAGGAGAATGGGAAAGGGGGAAGGGAATGAGAAAGGGAAAGGGGGAAGGGAATGAGAAAGGAGAAAGGAGAAAGGGAAAAGGGAAAGGAGAATGGGAAAGGGGGAAGGGAATGAGAAAGGGAAAGGAGAAAGGAGAAAGGGAAAAGGGGAAAGGAGAAAAGGAAAGGGAGAAGGGAAAGGAGAAGGGGAAAGGGGGAAGGGAATGAGAAAGGGAAAGGAGAAAGGAGAAAGGGGAAATGGGGAAAAGAGAAAGAGGAAAGGGATAGCTCGCTGTGTGCATTTATGCCTCCCAAAGTGAATTGCGCCATCTGCAGTCCAAAGTTAGTGTGTGTGTGTGCTTGCATATGATTTTGGGTCAAATGCCCAATTCTGGTAAGTTTTTCCCGGTGAATCATGTTATTTACAGCTCGCTGTGTGCATTTTTTGCCTCCCAAAGTGAATTGCGCCATCTACAGTGCACAGTTAGTGTATGAGTGTGCGTGCATATGATCTAGGGTCAATTGCTTAATTTCGGTAAGTTTTTCCCGGTGAATCGTATTATTTACAGCTCGCTGTGTGCATTGATGCCTCCCAAAGAGAATTGCGCCATGTACAGTGCGTGGTTAGTGTATGTGTGTGCGTGCATACCACTGTATGTCTGTGTGAGCCACATTTGCTTCAATAATATAGCTGCATTGTGTTTGAAGATGGCAGCTCCACCGGCAGTAGCCCTGCCTGGTGCAAAATGTGGTGAGAATCCAAAGAAAAAGAAACCAATCGCTATTTTCCAAAAATAGCGATGCTATTCGGGGTCGCGCCATCTGCCAAAAATAGCGATTTTACGGCCAGGCTGCGCCATCTACCGTCGCTATTTATTTATTTTTTTTGCGCCATCTACTTTCCGAGCGGTGTACACTCGAGCTGCGCTGAAGAAACTGAGGTCATCCTAGAAGTGCATCATTTTCTGATTGAAAGCAGACCTTCGCCTGACTTCATGGATGGTAAGAGTAGGAGTCACTTGAGGTTGAGTTGGCTTTGCAAAGGAGGACGGCAGGCGACCACTCGATCACTCAGGGCCAGGATAGATATGCAAAAATATATTTAGTGCTGCATTATGAAGTATATGAAGTGAAATTATGCAGTATTAGATAGTATTATCATGTATTGTATTGTATTATGATATACTGTGATGATTTGTGATGTATTTAATGCAGTAGTTGCTGGTCTCATTGCGCCGTTCCAGACCTGTGCCAGGTGATGGCGCCAGAGAGCAAGAAGCTGGAGCTGCCGGAGCCGCTGGATGTGCCATTTGGGAGTCTCTTGGCTGATGGAAGAGGATTCACAAACATCGAAATAACATATATACATATATATATATATATGTAAAGATTTGTCAGGCATGCACCTTCAATTCTGATGCGTTGCCAGGTCCATCATGCCTTCCACTTTGGGCCCAAATATCGTGCCCACGTTCCTTTCATCAGACGGCCGAATGAGCCAATATGCCATTTGATGCAAAAGATGCCGCGGCTTTTGCACTTCGCATTTCTTTGAGCTTTGATTTCGAACAGTGCATCAAGCAAGCATTGTTGTGAGTTGGCACCGGAGCCGACCATGGATGACAGTTGGGAGCAACACAGCTGGCACTCTGGAAATGAATCCTCTGCAGTCGACGGTGTGAATAACCAGGACGACGCCGAGACGATCGCTGGATATGATGCCCTGTCAGTTGACCCGTACCGATCCCATGGGTTTGATGTTGAGGATGATGAGAGTTCGTCGACGATGCCTTCGCTGACGAATGGATACACAGGCCCTCAATATCTATGGCTGTGTCGGGCGTGCGAGAGCCCTGACTGGAGACGTAACTTGACTGGTGGTTGGTCGTGCAATCGCTGTGGACATGACGTCTTCTATGATGCTTTCCGCGCTTCAACCTTTCGCAGTCAGGCTGGACGTTGGACGTATGTGCCGGATGGCCACCCGACGTCAAGTGACCTGATTCCACCGCCACCTGTGAGCCCATTTGTCAAACATGGTGATCCAGGACCTCCTGCAGCTCATGAATTTCATGAAGCCCAAGCTGAGTCAGAAACAGCAACAATTGATCCATGTGTCGATCCCGACACCTTGCTGCCTAGGCCTTCAAGACGACAGCGCCGCGCAGCGAGACGAACCGACGAGCTTCAACCTGGAGTTTCACATGATGCCAAAGTATGTCATAGCCCTCAAGTCCAAAGACCTTCCAAAGAACCTGTTCGTCCTAAGGAACCAGGTACCACTGGCAATGTTCCTGCAAGCCCGTTCGATAACCGAGGACTTCATGGAAAAGGTTTTGGTCTTGGGAAAAGCAATGCAGGAAGTGACCAGCCAAGCACCAAGAATGCAGCTTGGCGTGATTCTATGTTGAAGGATTTGCACTCCCTTGTCAGCAAAGACAAGGAACCCAAAGAATGGTCTCCTGCAAAAGGCCCGCATCCAGGTGTGAAGTTTCGAGGCGGAACACCGCCACAACCGCCGCAGTGGACCGCTACGAAAGGTGATCTGCAAGCATTCCAACGCTGGGAAAGAAAGCTGACTGTCTGGAGACGCCAAATCGCGTCATACCTTCCTGCCAACGAGAGCGCCATGCTTTTGTATGTTCAGCTTCAAGGCGAAGCAGCTGAGGAGTTGGAGCACTGCGACATTGAGCGTGTTGATTCGGCCTCAGGTGTTGAGTACATTCTGGAGACTTTGAGAAGCTCTTTGATGGTGAAAGGAATTTACTTGAAACGCAAGTTTTTAGATGATTTCGAGAGACTGCAGCGTAGAAATGGTGAAACAGTGAAAGCTTTCTGCAATCGATATCATCGAGTGGAACGTTCACTTTTGAGCGTCGGTATCAACACCGGCAACATGTATGATGCCGAATCTGCAGGTTCCAGACTCTTGGACCGTTTGAGGCTTGGAATCGATGCTCAGAGGCTTATCCTTGTCGCAACAGGACAGTCCCTGAGGTACCAAGACATCAAGGACGCAGCAGAAATCCAATTTCCTGAGCATCGCCAGACTCCACCTGTGGTCTACACCCGTGATTTCGATCGAGATGATCGAGGTGACCGACCAGCTGGAGCCAAAGACAGCAATGGGAAAGGCAATGCCACGAACCGTAGCAACACCTCCGCCAAGGGCAACCAGAAAGGCAAACCCAATCATGCTTCTGCCTTTGTGAAAAAGACCTACGTGACTGAAGATGGCAATGCCCCGGAGGATGAGAAGGAAGAGATCACTGCGGAGAACGAGGTAGACGAATCACATGAGCCCAATGCAGAATATAATGAAGAGAATGGAGAACAGCCTGTTCCAAATGAGGCAGAAGATGAAGATGGCGAATGCGATGATGTTTGGGGAGAATTGCAAGAAGCTGCCAGATGTTTGACTGTCACTGCAAGACGCCTCCAAGGCATCACCTTGGCTCGCAAGTTCTCTGGCGGAAAGACGATTGCCCAGAGAAAAGCCGAGTCACACTGTGCAGTTTGTGGTCAGAAAGGCCATTGGCAGGGCGACGCAGCATGCAGCGCCACGCCTAGCAAAGGCAGCAACCCAAAGGGAGATGGCAAATCTTCCAAGCAATCAGCATCACCTGCCGCCACCACCTACAAGCCTGCTGGGAAAAAGGTTATGCAAGTGCGCCATCCTGATGGAAGCCGGCGTTCAGTTTCTTTTGATGATGATGTTCAGAAGGAATCCTTCGGCACCTATTTCACTTACATGGTGAATCAACCAGTTGCCGACATCCATCAAGTTTTTGGTGCCAGCGCTCAGCAGTTTAGTGAAGTCTTGGTTTTAGACACGGCATGTCAGAAGTCATGTTGCAGTTCTATGTGGTTGGACGAGAAAAAGAGTATCCTCAACATGTATGGTCTTCGTATTCGCACTACACCAAATCGAGAACCTTTTGAGTTTGGTCATGGACCCCCACAATTTAGCCACGAGCATGCCTTGATTCCAACTTGTTTTGACTTCAAGGAAAACCACATGATGCTTTTGGGTGCCAGCGTGATTTCCACCACCAACAACATCCCCTTCCTGGCAAGCAGTACCCTCATGAGCAACAAGTTGAAGATGGTTTTGAATCTGCCTGACCAGGAGGCCTACATTGGGCTGCTGGACATCACCGTCCCCATTTGCAAAGTGGCAGGACACTTAGCGCTGTACATCAACCAGTTTCCTGAGTGTGCTGCAAAGTCAAACATTTGGGGTGTCTATCACAAGATGTGTCATGATCCTGATCTTGATTCGGACCTGCTGTTTGTCAACGCAGACGGATCAAGCAAACCCAAATTCGTTGACCACGACCATTGTGCCGATGAACAAGGGCCTTCCTCCACGATGGCTGTTCAATTGGAGGAAGATGGTCGAAACTCTGAGACATGCAGAGATGCTACTAGCAAGAGTCATGGTGCAAGCAGTGAGATTTCGGATCCGTCCGAAAAAGTGGCTGACGTACCAGGACCCAATGGACATGGAGGCAACAGAAGCCATCGTGCAAAAGGCCAAGGAACCATGCAAACACGAGACGATGCAGCGCTACGGCAACAAGCACGGCAGTTTCGCCAAGTGCCACCTCTGCGGGAAGAAGTGGGTGTGGTCCCAGAGGAAGAAAAGTGGAACGATCCACTTATGCCAAAGCAGCGCTCGCTGCCATTGCCATCGTCCTCAACGGCATCTACGTTCCTGGAGAAGGGTCGTCGTCCAACCTGGGCACTGACCGCTATGCCTTTGACTCCAACGGCCCGAGCCTCCATTCCCACATCGAAGAGCTATGCGAGTTCTCCAAGTCCTTCTCCTCTTCCTCTGCAGGACCAGGCCACCGACAAGAGGGCAAGCAAGAAGGGAGCCAGACCGAAGGCTTCAACCAAGAGACCCTCGGCAACGCGGGACGGGGAGGTGGAGGAACTCTCGGACGAAAGCTCGGAGTACGATTGGGAACTCCTCAACAAGTGAATATGAAGAAGGGCACACAAGCTTGGCTGACCGGTCACCTTCGCAATGTGAGCAAGATATACAACAACGAGACGAAGGTCTATGATTCCTTGATGAACCATGCCAAAAGGGAGACCAAGGGATCGAAGGTTGATCTATTGGAAGTTTTTGCAGGTTCAGCCAACGTGACCATTCGAGCGTGGAAGCACGGCTTGAGTGCGCTGGAGCCAATTGACCAACAGTACAACCTGGACTTGAACAATGCGGCAGATCAGGAGACACTCTGGCAAGTCGTCCACAAGTTCAGACCCCTGTTGATACTGGTTGCATGGCCGTGCACACGTTGGTCACAGTTCAACGAGAACTTGAACTATGCCGACCGACTCGAAGAACTTGAGCAACTTCGAGATGAGATCGACAGACCTCTGGTGAAGCTTGGCACAGCCCTCATGCGCCACCAGCACCAATCCGGAAGATTCTTTTTGGGAGAAAACCCTCTCAGATCACGCATCTGGAAGGAGCCGGACGTCGATGAGGTTTCCAACTTGCCTGGAGTCCTCACGGTTCAGTGCGACGCTGGAGCCTATGGTGCTGAAACCCACGACGGATTCCCAGTGATAAAAGCACATCGCTGGATCACCAACTCCGAGGAGATTGCCGAGGAGCTCCAACGCAAGTTGACGCCCGAGCAGAAGCAGTTCACCAAAGCCATTGAAGGCGTAGACACAGCGCAAAATGGACGGCCTCGCAGATGCCATCTTGCGTGGTCTTGCTCGAGAGGCCAAGCTCCTCGACCCGCTCAAGTTCGCCAAACCTCACAAGATCTACTACATGCATCCATCGACCGACGAACAACGATGGAAGCAGATCCTCAATGAGATCGAGAAGAGATTTGCCAACACCTACAAGAAGCCGTTCATTCTTGGAGTGGCTGATCCTCTTCACAAAGAGGTGGAACAGCTCGTTCCATGGCAACTTGAACGAGTGCAAGCCTCCTGGACCCCAATTTCCAGGCGGTTTCCCACAGACCTTGCATACACACATCGTGGTGCAGTGCTTCTCCTCAACAACGACAAGATCATGATCGAACACGAAGACTTGTCAGAGGTCACGTACCCCAAGCAGCGTTATGTTGAGCCAGTCCGAATTGGCCTGCATTTCTATGGGTACGCACCAGGTGATGAGCTTCAAGACCGACAGCAACTTGAAGCCAAAGAAGATGATGACACACCACAGAAGGTTCCAGGAATTGCCACTGAGATATGGTTCGAAGGAGCTGGCAATGCCCTGAAGCCCGAACTCAAGCGATCCCTCGCCAGACTGCATGCCAACATGGGCCATCCACCAAAGGAAGAGCTGATCCGTATGCTTGCAGCATCCAACTCTTTGTCTTCAAGCGTGCTGACCGGCATCGAGACCTTGAGATGCGGAAGTTGCCTCCGGATGAGCCTGCCTAAGAAACCACCAATTTCTTCCACCAATGCTATTGCCGCCAGTCAGTTTGGCGACCGCCTGCAGTCGGACGTGGTCTACATCAGAACCCTGACGCAGAATGTGCCAGTGCTCGGCATCTTGGATGAGTTCACCAACTACCTGGTGGCACATACCTTGGATGATCGTCAACCCTCCACAACTTTGAAGATGCTGAAGCAACTATGGTACCATCCTCTTGGACTTCCTCACCACATCACTGTGGACCCTGATACGACTTTTCTCGGCGAGAACGAGGATTGGCACCACCGCTACGGCATTGAATATGACATCATCCCGGCCGAGGAGCACTGGCGCATCGCCAAGATCGAGAGGAGAAACGCATTGATGCGCACTTTGGTGGAACGTCTGGTTGATCACCATGGCATCACCTCCAAAGAAGCCTTGGATGAAGCAATCGCTGCAGCAACTTTCTCCTTGAACAGCAGCACCTACACCCACGGGCGATCACCCTTTCAAGCAGTTTTTGGACGAATTCCAAGACCATTGGGTGATTTGGTGTCTGATGAGAAGGTGCTGATTACTTCACCCAACAAAGACGAGTACCAGCTGCGGCCTGAGCTGCTTCGGGCAGAAGCCATCACCACGCTGATGCAAGTCAGCGCATCCCAGGCAGTTCGCCGGGGCTTGTTGCGTAAAACCAGACCGCAACAGGAACTTCATCAACTACAACCAGGTCAAACCGTGGCCTATTGGAGATGGCAAGGACGAGCTCGACAGCACAAGCGCGGAAGTTGGTCACTCGGCAGGTTTCTGGCCTATGACCCAGATCGCAAATCCTGCTGGATTCAGGTGGGACGCACATCAACCAAGGTTGGCATGGGGCAGCTCCGACTTGGAACTGGATGGGAAACATGGACTCCATCACAAGAGGACATCAAGCTGCTGAAAGATGCAGAGGCTAACATCAGCAAAGGCTTATGGGAAGACCAACAAGGTGATCCTGCCGGAGAAGAAGAAGCAGCCTTGCTTGACGAGGAAATCTTCAATTTCCGACCCATCCAGGAGAGAGCCAACACTATGCCACCTCTTGAACAACCTGAGGAACAAGATCAACAAGCAGCAGCCGACACACCTATGTCAACACCACGACATGATGCTGTACAACCATTGGATCTTGCATCATTTCCTGGAGGATTACACCAACAACTACCTTCATCACCACATCAACCAATGACTACTCCCGACCAACCAGCCGAAACACCACCACCATTACCACCTGAAGTACAACACTATACACAACAACAGCAAAATACGATGCAACAACAATACATGCAACAGCAACAACAAACCAACATCTATCAAGACAGGCGCACTATCAACATCAACGTTGACTCACCAACACACCAGCAATTCCAACAGTTTGGTCAAGCAAACTTTGGAGCAGTACCTCGAACACCACGCAACAGACCTAGGTCGAGGACACCAAGCAGAGCTCCAGCAGATGAAGCAAAGCCAAAACAAAGACCAGCAATCGACAACACAACGGAACAACCTAACCTACCACTACAGCTTGATCAAACTACAAACCAAGAACAAGCACAACTGGAGCCACTACCACAAGCAGCTTCCGAACCATTACCACAACTTCCAATGAAGCGAGCAGCAAGCACACCTGCAGAAGCGCTGATCACGAAATTCACCTGCAGAAGCGCTGATCACGAAATTCCAGCACTTCGATGACGGCAGCATGGCACCAACACCATTGACATGGGATGGCAGCCCTGAAGCGTGCTACCCAGCCAGTAAGAAGCAGGTTTTCTATCAAGCCTACCTCAACAGCAAACAACGCCGATTGGAGATGCCCAACATTCCTGAACCATCACGACCAGACCTTGATTCCTCTTCCGACGAAGAACTCACAGTCTCTAACGACCGTGGAATGTCAAGGCAGGAGATGAAGCAGATGGATAGAGAAATCCCATGGCGGCAGATCCTCCAACAAGGCGATGACACTTTTTGGAAGTATGTGGACGCGGCCGTTGATGAGTACAATGGTTGGCTTGAATGGAACGGCATCAAACCAGTGAGCCCTGAAGATGCCGCCAAAATTCGAGCAGATCCAAAACAACGACACCGAATCATGAAGGCTCGTGCAGCCTACCGCGACAAGAACCGCGGAGTGCCACCACTGCGACCAAAATGCAGAGTAGTCATCATTGGCTGCGGAGATCCAGATCTGAAACAGCTCTCTCGAGATAGTCCTACTCCTTCGAGAATCAGTGAGCTGCTGATCGTGTGCATAGCATCAGCTGGAGCAAATCGCTCGTTCAACAACGATGGCTGCCTTTGGAAGATGGTTCTCCTTGATGCTCAGAAAGCTTTTCTACAAGGAGAACAAGATGCAAGCGAGCGCAGCGGACCAATTTATATGGAAAGTCCCAGAGATGCCATTTTGACCGCTGCAAATGCATACCCATCACCGCTGTACCAAATCACTGGAAACTGTTATGGATTGTCCAACGCACCCAGGACTTGGTACAAAAAGGTAGACAAAGATTTGCTCAACTACAGGTTCAAGCGCCACAGCCTTGACCGATGCTGCTACTATTTCGTGAACGATGATGGAATGCTGACCTGCGTTCTGATAGTTCACGTCGACGACTTCATGCTAGTGTACAACACTGAGAAGTTCAACATCGACGACTTTCTCAAGTTGTTTCGCTGGGGATCAATCGTGTATGTTTCCCTGGAACAGCCTGGAGAATATCGTGGCAAAGAAATCACCATGCAGAAAGACGCCAATGGCAAGATCTCCTACAAGATCAGCCAGCAGAAGTTCATCGAAGCTATGGATGGTGGACAAGTTGGCAAAGACCGCCTGAAAGGCGATCCTCAACTTTCTCCGGAAGAACTTGGAGAACTACGTTCAGTAATTGGCAGTCTGCAATGGTTGAGCGGCCAGACAAGACCAGATTTGGCTGCCGTGGCATCCTTGTGCCACCACGGTGCAAAATCGCAGATACAAGACCTTCAAAAGGCCTACGAAGCTATCACCTATGCGAAGAGCACCAAAGAGCTCGGCATCGTTTTTCCAGCCGTCCCATTGAACAAAGGGACGACCATTTTGGCTTATGGAGATGCAAGCTGGTGCAACGCTGCAAACTACACATCGCAGTTTGGCGTGATCATAGTCTTGTGCCCTCCGCAAGTCTCCGAACAGACTTGTCAAGCCCTGGTCATCGACTGGAAGAGTGGCAGAATGCAGAGAGTGGCAAGGAGCACACTAGCTGCAGAGGCCCATGCAGCAGACGAAGCTGCAGACCGTGCCTGCTACGCCAATTACCACATTTCGGAGTTGCTCCACAACCAGCCCAGCTTCAAATGTGGAATGAAGATGCCAATGAAGCAGGCGACAGACGCAAAAAGTTTGTATGACTGCCTCACTTCAGAGAACCCATCAACTCTGGAGAAGCGCTCCATGGTTTCCATTAGGTCAGTGCAGCAGGCCATGTCACCGAAAGAAGTGCATTGGATTCCAACCACCCTAATGCACTGCGACGGCCTCACCAAAATAGACCAGAAGCTTCAACAAGCCCTGACGAAATGGTGTCAAAGACCATGGTGCCAGATACGTGAAGAACTAAGCGAAAGACGGCTTTTTGATGGACAACAAAGACCAGTGTAAAGATTTGTCAGGCATGCACCTTCAATTCTGATGCGTTGCCAGGTCCATCATGCCTTCCACTTTGGGCCCAAATATCGTGCCCACGTTCCTTTCATCAGACGGCCGAATGAGCCAATATGCCATTTGATGCAAAAGATGCCGCGGCTTTTGCACTTCGCATTTCTTTGAGCTTTGATTTCGAACAGTGCATCAAGCAAGCATTGTTGTGAGAATATATATAATATATATATACATATATATATAATATACATATATATATATACATATATATATATATATATAAATATACATATATATATACACACATATATATATATATATCATGAAGTAACATGACCTGACTGAGGAATTCTGGACCTGGAACCTGTTCATTTCTGGTCGACAGCTGCGCAATGGTTCTGAAGAATTCTGAGTATGAACGCATGTTCTTTCATGTTCGAAAAACCCTTGCCTTCAAGAACAATTCGGAGAATATCAATCATGACTTTAGTACCTTATTATCCTTATTAGCGTGAATCCCAGCGAAACCGGAGCAACATTCTGACCTATCAAAGCCCTGTTGAACCGTTGAACCATGTTGAAGCTATGGTAACCTCCCTGGTCAACGAGGTGGTGTGCCTCAGCCAGTCTGGGACCTCAAATCTTTGGTACATTTTACTTCAATATTTGTGGGAAATTATGGGAATCTCACCGGAAATGGATTCCTCAGCAAAGCATTCACAAGCAATATGGTACTATATTGTTCAGAAGCACTGAGGTGGGCATGGTGCGTGGTGTTCGGGCTCTTATTCTTTCGCTGCTGAAAGCGGGACAGTTGCGTGATCTGACTGTGACAATCTGTGACATGTAGTGTTGACCGATATCCCCATGCAAGTTTCTACTATTTTGATATATATTTTGAGTTATTTACGCAAATTAGACGAACCAATTATGAACACTTGCTTGCTGAGGCAGATACGCAGACACCGTGTCCACTGCGCTGGAGAAGGCAGGTTAAGACCAGCTGCGGCCAGCTTCAATGGATGTTTTCGTGGTCCCGCCTTATCATGCTTCATTTGGACGTCCATGGACGTCCAATTTCTTGGGAACCGTTCTTGTGATTTCTTATGCACTTCCAGCTCATGTCAGATCATGTCAGATCTGCAACGTTCTGCAACATCTCCGAATGCGCTGGTGTGACACTGATTCATTGCATTCCAGTGCGTCAGTAGAGATCAGTGGAGGCCTGGAAGAGCAAGACCTCCCACACGTGGTTCAGAGTCGAGGAATCAACATACCAGTTGGACTTCGAGCTGATGGTGCAGGCAGGGTTGACAGGATCATCATGACTGGATTGCCGAACCTGGTGCATTTGGTGCCAGGTAAACTGCGAGACCAAGTATCGCAGACTGGTTCGCCGGCGAAACAATGGAAGCTGAGCAACGCACCATCCACATCCATCCACACCATCCAGATCATCCAGTTGAGCAAAAAAAATGGGAGCGACCTCTGCCAAGTCAATGTCAGACCACTGAAAAATGGCTGTAATGGATTGCAATAGCCTACTATTGCATATTATTGCATTGGTTGTGAGGCACAAAGGATTTGCTCCAGACGCTATGCAACACTTTCACGTATGCAGCTCTTGATACCTTGCACGTGCCTCCATTCCTAGCTGGTGATAGAGAGTTCGGGGGGGGCAGGGCGGACAATAAATTGAATCAAATGCATCCCGAAGGCCAATGTGGCCCAAAGTGACGCGCACAACTTCAGACACCTAAACTCAGAAGAATGCGCATTCATGCCTGCGGTTCATGTTGTCAGACGGCCAGACAGTTTCTTTTTTTGCCAGCAATCATATCAGGACTCTACAAAGACATCAAAACACACCCAGATGTTTTAGCTATCTTAGCTGTCAGTGCAGCATCGGCTGGGGTCGTCGCTGTCATGTCATGCCCACGGCAAAATTTGGATCCAGTGCCATTGCCCCGAGACCATCTTCAAACGAGGAGAAGGAAGCGGGTCGAGCGCTTTGCCAAAACCTTAGTTTCTTGATGCTGAACCTCATCAACATGATCTAGCTGCTAGCTGTTTAGTGCTGCTAAGAAGTTCAAACAAATCATACACAGTTGAGTGAAGAGTTGAATGCTGCAACATTGAGGTGGACAACTGTTGTGGCCACCAGCAACACCGAGTCTGCCATCCCTATTGCAGGGCTCTACACATATACCAGCTCCGCTTGCAGCGGCACTTCGCAGTGTCCTGGCAAACATAATCACAACATGTCACAACAAGGAAGCTCTGAATAAATAAACACTTTTGATATATGATCAATTTTCAGCAACATACACATAAGTCACATAAGGCTTCCAACAGGGCATCCAATGTAGAAAGGGATTAAATTCCTCATGTCATGACACCGTGATGCCAGGACGCGAACCCAAAGTCCTGGTGTTTCGATGTTTTCTCCTTCTCCTACGCGCGAAGGAGAGGCTGCAAGAAGCGGCAAGACCACTGAGATATAAATCATGATATATTCATATATAATATTAAATTACAGTATATCATACTATATAATCATATTATAATCATATATATATATATATTATTATACATTCATATTATAGTATATACTATATACCCTGTTGGTTCAGCATGTGAAAAACCACGCCATCAAACCATCATGGTGTTTTGACACTGTTTTGACAGTGTCAGGACAGCTCAGCTAATGCATACACAGATGTGCTGCTGAGATTGCGATCCTTCGGCTTTGTGGTGCGGGATACCGCTCTACTGAAAGTTACAGGGCCGCACCGAGAGGATTATCGGATTGCTTTGGACACTGATCCTGGTGTGTCTTGAGACAGGATCTCTCCCTGACATTCCTGGACCCAGGATGAGATTGCAAATACGTCACGTCTGCTGGTATTGATGCAGCCGCCAGGGCCGCTTTCGCTGGTGCCAAGACTTGAATAGCTGCAGCTTCTCAATGCTGTTCACAGATGTTCACAGTTCATAGTTTGTAGATGCATGTATATTTGTGATTAACTCCATGTGCAAGAGCAACATGTGGAGAAGTGATTTCCAGACTTTTTGCTCACTGGTCCATCTGGTCCACAGTCGATAAAAAAAACGATGAAAAACTCTCAGACATGAGGTGCAACTTGTAGAAGTTGTTAGAGAACTCGACAGCCTGGAAGTATCTGTTCGGCTACAGCCCCATCTACCAATTCACCGATTTCAAGATGACGAGGCCCCGTTGGTAGCAGGACAAGTGGAGAGTGGTAGGGGTTTAGGATAGTTTAGGCAAGAACTTCCATGCGACTACTCATCAATTTGATAAATTATAGTTGTATAGAACCTTATTTACTTGAATCTGCAAACAGCGCGATAAAAAGGTTTGTGACAGGTTCCAGTTCATTGAGGTTGTGGAACGGCAGGGAGGTTGTCATTCTTCAAGTTTGTTGTCTGATTCTGAATTGGGCCAACACGTGCTGCACGAGGGTTTCAATATGTTTCAATTTTCTCATTTCTTTGCTTTACCCCGCCATTGATCTCCCTGTTTCTCCCTAATGATCGTGCTGTTTGCAGGAGACGAGGCAGTTGTGTATCCGTCATTGGTGTCAAAACCAGTTGGACTGCTATCGCTTCTTCCCGCACTTCTTTCAAGCACACACTCGTTTGCTGATTTTCCCGACGACGACAACAGACGAGGCACAATATGCCAAGAATGCCAAGGGTTTTGCGGTACAACTTTTTCTGGATGAGCGAGTGTATTCAAACATATACAAAGATCATATTTATACTCTAGCGATTCACTAGATGCCATCACAGCAGTGTTGGCCATTTGCAAACTCTTGGAATTGCCAAGCATAGAATCTGCTGGCAAAGCCATCAAAGGTGGAGAAGCTTTGCCATCACTTGCTGCTTCACGGTTTTGCAGTCCTGGGAGTAGTGTGGGGCTCAGATGCTGTCAAGGTAGGCAGCTGACAATGGAACCCTCGTACGTCTTCGAGCTATCCTAAAATGATTACAATAAAATGATACAACATGTTCTGTAAATCAAAATGCCAACGGCCAACGGTGACATCACAGTGCGACAAAGGCTCAAGTAACTCTTGCAGTCTCCGCCCGGTTTTCTGTGAAAGTAAAACCTATCGACACAACAGTTAATTCATGTTGATTCAGGTCCCGTAGTCTCAAGTAAAGATCATGTCCGTCAATGGAACATGCACATCCCGACACATCCCGACACATCCCGACACATCCCGACATTCCACAGAGGACAGTCATGTCCGGTCCCAGTAGCTGAGGCTCATCCAGTGAATGAGAAGACACCCAAGGCTGATGCTGCGGTAGTGGTACGAGGAATCGGAATTATCCCAGTCTGGATTCCCATCAATCAGGTGGCGGCTCTAAAACGAGCATCAATTTCCATGGCCAACACCTTTGCATTGTTCAGGATTTTCGACAATGAGGCATCCATGATTTTGAGCCATGCCAAACATGACAGCGGAAGTCAGCTCGGCAGGGTGTGAAGAGACACACACACACAGAGAGAGAGAGAGATGTCTGTATGCACACATTTTGTACTTAAAGAATTCCGATATTTATGATATTCAGCATCTTGGTGCGTGTGAGCTCTGCAGCTGAGAGCTACAAGAACCAAGAGCTATCAAGAAGTGGAATTCCGGGAAAAATCAAACGCTGGTGACATGTGTTGTTTATGTTGTTTCAATGAAGAATTATTTTAAAATTTTTAAAGAATCCAACCAGCCCATCTAGCAATGCTTCGAAAATGCCATTGCTGAGGCCATGGAGGATGGAAAAGCTTCAGGTGCGGCGCAGATGGCAAGAAATGGCAAGAACAGACGATAAAACACATATAAGGCACATATAAGACACGTAAAATGTAATTAATTATATAACATATATAGATAATAGATATATATATATATATATACACCACCTTTAAACTCACAGCAGATTCGTAGATTTTTTCTAGCTGCGGAGGAAGGTGAGGGTGCAACACTGACCTTCTGTTTGTGATGCAGTGAAACATGTTTTGAGAAAGGTCACCACACCTTGTGAGTTGTTGGCTTCGGCCATGAGGGTGTGAGAAGATGCAGCCGGCTGCAAATCCGATACGGTACTGCAGATGTTATACACTTCTCATTACATGCATAAATACAATATTGTATGTGGATGTATGTAGTATAATCACACTGAGGTGATGTACAGATGACATAGGCTCATCATTTGTTTCAAAAGTCGGGGTAAAACGCCTCGTTTGATGATGCACAAACGCTTTTGCGACTACAATAACATATGCCCATGACTCAGTCATGTTTATTCCTGAATAAAGCACTTTGGGAAGCTGAGTGCCTGGTTTGAAATGGTGAAAGCTTAATTGCCAAAGACATCGAACATACCGTTTATTTTATCACCCAATCCAACATACCGCAACTTGTTTCAGCAGCCAGGCAGTCCGTGCAGTTTGGGCTTTCCTGCGGGCAGCAAATTGTGAGCTGCTCAGTTACTAGGCTCAGTTCGCATGATTCAATCAGATGCTGACACTGTCAGGTCTGATTGTTTTAAAATGTTCAAAGTCATGTTGCAATGTGCTGGGTCTGATTGTTTCAGCTCCTTGTCGTCAAACCCAGCTGATCCCCATGATTTCCGCAACTGTTAGACTCAAGAGCAGGTCCAAAGACGCCCATTGTGGCGCCTTTCCTGGGTGTCCCTGATCCAGGTTCCATGTGAGGCTGAGGCCCAGCCCAGGCGCCCGCCATGCAGTTGTTGCCTTTCTGTGTGGGCATGCTGCTATTCCACTGCGGCGAGGGATCGCAATGGATTAGAACCTCCATGACGCTCAGATTAATCTTGTTATATCTTGTTTTATACGTTTGTACATTGATTTTAAATGATGCAAATGTTAAATGATGTAAATGAATGTAAATGAATGTAAATGGAAAGATCACAGCAAGATGATCTACCAATCTTCGCCCTATCTTCCTTTTAGATCCTTTTAGGCCCCGACGCTGCATGTCATGAACCATAAGGGATCCCAATTGTAGGCAGCAGCAACACGTGCACCACTTTAAGGAGTGGCATGGACCAGACCTTGCTTTCCTTGATTGACCAAGAGAGGTGGCTGGTCTGCGAAACATTCGTCTACTGACTGCTCCGTTGATGCTGACAATATAGAATTTAGATTCAGATGAATTTAGAGCATTTCATAAATATAAAGCTGGGTTGGAGTTAATGCAACTTTTGACACTTAGGGTCTTTCGTCGGATATATTATTTGCGACTGTTCAAATCCAGTCGTGGCATTTCGCTGTTGACCGTGGATAGTGGATGAGTTTTTCATCTCCACTGGATTTTGCCTGCTTCTGGTGTGGGAAACATCACGTCGGATGACAACACAGCATTAGCAAGGATTTGAAACACACAATGTCTCATGTCGACCTTAGGAAGTAAGTATCGAAATTGACAAAACCCTACCTCCCGCTGACAAACCTGATCTTGCTACTCTTACCTAGTAGATTAACATTGCACATGCATGTTTTTTTTTTTTCCGTGATTAATTACATTGGAATTCTTAGCCCATAAATGGAGGATCTCTTGGTTTCTTATAGTAGTTGCAAACTGAGGATGGACTATTTGTGCGAGCCTTAGGAGAGTTTCACTCTTGCAGCATCCGAGACAATTTGTTGCCCGAAGGTCCACCATTGCTGCAAGGCTGGACAGAATCTTGGCTCAGATTACCCTCTGGTAATGACTAACATAGCTATTGAAAATCACCATTTTTAATGGGAAAATCACCAGAGGGTATACTTTTCTTGGACCAACTGTTGCACTATGTTGCATGGCTTGTCACGGCTTGTCGCAGTGCTGTTGATATTTCTTCATATTTCTTCTATTTCGCACCAGGACCTCTACAGACTCTACAGGATCCATATGGATCCATACTTTTCTGAGGTCATCGCTTGAGCTTTGTGGACTTTGATCCAGATCCATCGGCGAATCAAACAGGCCGCTGGGCCGCTCCGTTGAAGCGATAAATATTTTCCGATGAACCCATAGCGATCAGCCTGCCATGCCCAGGAAGTGCAGGACACACGTTGCTAAATACTCCAAACAAAGAGCACGAGCAAATGAACGACTTGTCACAGTTTTGGCTGCCGACACTCAGCAAGATTTGTCTTGGGATTTCGGGACTCCCAAAGGGTGATTAATGGTAATTACAAAGGATGTCAAAGGGCCTGCAAAGAAAGTGAAGGCTATAACGACATCAAATGACATTAAAAGAAGGGGCTCAACTCGCCGAATCTGTCAGGATTGTAGGATATTGACGGATATTGTCAGACTGTAGGCAGGCACATTTCAAATGAATACCTCCAGAAGAGCGAGAAGATAGCACCAAAGCGAAGACTCGGTCTTCCAATACTGTTTCAAGTGTTCAAACAGAGCAGTCCTTGACATGAAAAAATAACTTCTTGGTTTGAAGTACGCAGCAGCTGTTGAATGTACACTTCTCGACTTTGCTCGACTGGAATCTGTTGTTTCTTTACCACTTCAAGTTGCTTCATGGTCCTTCTGCTTGATACCGGAACCTGGTAAGGACCTTGGCAATCCTGGCCATAGCTTTCGAGGCTGTGGATCTTGAGATCTTTGGAATTTGCACTGCACTTGATACTGACAGTCCTTGAAAATTTGCGATAGGATACATCAGTGTCCAGCATTCTTCTGAATTAATTAGTGAAGTTCAACCTTTGTCTTTGTTGCAACATGGCGAAGTTTCGGACATGGTTCCAGGCGTTTCATATGAAGTGGTCAGAAGTAGATTGGACTCTACAAGATGCTGCTGGCGATGGTCCTGAAGGATAAGTCGCAAGACGCGTGTTCCAAACAACATCTACTGGGCGGCATCAACTTCAGCTGCGTATGTTGAACCATTTGGAACCATTTGGAACCATTTGACTCCCCGGTTTTGACTCATATTTGGAAATCAGCAAATCAATGCAACTTCTGATTTGATAATATTGGATATATATTCCCCAGATAGAGTCTCACTTGAAAAACAGCTATTACCGCATGGCATTGTATCTATAGAGATCCGATTCGCGCATTCCGATGCGCAATGTCATTCCGACTGCAGGAGCCATGGCCGAGCATGTTGAGACCAGCCTGGCAGGGCTGACCGTCAAGTTACTTCGCAGGGCCACCAGCTTGGCAAAGATCTACTTTGCTTCTTGGATTACTTGGCCGTGGCGGCGACGGTGGATCATGGTGGATCTGTTGCTGGGATATCAAGGTATAGGGAGGGATAGATTGAGCTTGGAGGCGAACTCCGGGGGAATTTTGATATGCGCTAAATTTTTAAACTTATCAACATTCTCCTGTGCATGAGATGGTTGTCCTGGAGGCACACTGTAGACTCTCAGTATCCGTTCGATCCAGCGAGACTAGACATGCAACATATCTTGGTTCCTCGAAGCCAGTCTGCTTGGCAGGTTGGAGCTGGAAAAGTCAAAGGCCGCGCGTACATGGTGAGACTTGGCAAAACAAGGCAGCACGCTGGTTGTCCATTTTGATTCATTTAATTCCTTTCTATGCACAGTTCATTCTGTAGGATCTGTAGGGATGCTGTCACCATGTGAAGACCATGTGCAGGACCGTGACAATGATTTCCAATGTTTTCCAGTGCACGTTCATCCAACATAGCCAGGATATGCCAGGATTGGGAATTCGATGTGACTTTTCCTTGCTCTCATGGGATGAAGTGTGCCTGTCACATTCCCAGGATGCTTTTGTGTCATAACTTCTTTGGGCAGTACCTGAGCTTAGTCTCTTGGCTGAGAAGCAATAGTGCACTTCACATGTATCAGCACATAAACATTGCATGGGATCATTTGTGTTTGGTGTGCCCTGGGAACTCAACATGCAGATCTTTTTCCCGCGCGGTCCCATGCAGATCTTTTTGACCTTTTTGTGATTTGTAGGTCAACTTTGACTACATGAGCCGCTTTTGGAACTTTTATCAGCATCCAAGCCAAGCTGTCTTTATGGCACTCATGGGGAACTGGTTTGTCTTGCATCTTGCATGCAGCTAGACTCGCTAGAGATCATGCACTTAGATCATCATCAAAGTGAGAAATGTACCAAAACCAATCAAAACAACAATCCATCAATTACTTGTCAGGTACGGGAGTATGTGCCTCACAGTAGCTTGGCAGCACTGCGATGATAGTGCCAGACAGGAGAGTATTTAAGATTTTGAAGTGCAATACTGTCTTATCTTACATGTTCACTTTCATGCAATGACAACCTAGGAACATATAAATAAAATTAAATATATATAGATATATATGATATATGAATATAAATGATATATGATATATGTAAAGAAATTAAAAAGGACTGCAAGTCATTCCATTCCTTCTATTTCCTTCTGAGGGGTGCTTGCACGTAGGCACGTAGCTGTCCATCCCAGAGCCGGATGAGAAATCATCAGAGTCGGATGTTAAGTCAACGCTGGAGGCAGTTTATTCGAGATACATTGAGAGCATGCTGATGATTCACTGGAAGGACCACATGACGCGCTACTTCCAGAGAATCTGGGCGACCTGACTCGGCATTGGGAAAGTGGGAACATGCAAGATGTCCGCTCCACAAAGATACTGGTACGATTTTGATATGTTGATGATCAATATGATCAGCATTTCTGCATATCGCTTCCACTGCGCAGGTCCCTCACAGCTACGCTTTCAAGATGAAGGATGATCGTCGTCTTGACAATCCAGACCAGAGGATTCAAGAGGCCGTCGTGAAAACATGAACTGTCATGAACTCATTCCAGGCATCTTGCAGCGCAATCAAGATTCGAGCCAAGGGAATTTCTTGCAAATGCATAGAAGCTGTAGAAACTCATAAGGATTCAAAGTGGTTCAAAGACAAAAACCTACAGTTCCAACATATTTAGAAACCGCTCATTTGTGAGCCCAAAAACATACGTCTTGATACCTTCAGAGATCAGAGCATGGCAAATTATATCAAATTACTAGTACTGATATTACTGCAGACCTGGCGATGCAGCGATGCAGGATATCGGGCATTTTGTGGCATCATCCTATGACCTCACTTTCGGACTGTTGGATGCAATCATCCAGCTTGGAATCTACAGTGCCTTGGCGGCTCGAGTTGGCGGCATGTGCTGAGCTACCATTTGGATCGCATGATGGCTATTTGGAATGCAGCACAGATGACTCGCTATTTGATGAGAATAAAGACTTTGTTGAAACATGGGAATTAGTTCGTGCATGTAAATGGCAAGTGATCTCATGTGTCTCTGGCTTGACCATTATTGAAAAACTGGCCGAAGCCAGGCTTCATGCTCGTGAAGGTACAGCCCAAGTCTGCGTTTCCAGGACTTTTGCTCCATGGCAAAGGAATTGACGGGGGTATACAGTTTAGATGCATGTGGATCAAGTGTATAGATGCGGCAAACCTTGGATACTTGATGATGTTTAAGTTTTAGGGAGTTGTTTGAGTAGTGCTGAAGCTTCTTTCCACAATAGTTTTCAGTGAGGTTTGGCATTGCTTTGACCTACACTGTGCTGGGTTCAGTAGCTTGGAAAGAAAGCGGCACCAGGATGAACATTCGGTGTGTTTGTATGTATTCAATGTATTTAATTGATTTTATATAATTGTATTTACAACCTCTAATGTTTAATGATTTTGTATACCTTGTCAATCATTTTTCCTACGTCACTTGATGATCCTCCAGCTTTGCCAATTCTTTGCTTCTCTCTGTGGATTCGATTGTCACAATGACAAGCGACTTCAGAGGTGGTGGTGCACTGGATTGGCAAAGATCTTGCCATTTTGTCATGGCAAGGAGAGCGCTACGGAGGCAATGGGGGGTTTGGTAGATGCTGAAGGCACTGCCGGAGTGTCAGTTAAGTTTGCCTTCTGAAACTGATGAATTCGGAAGCATTCTAGGCGCAAGTGTAGAAACATCCGGTAGGAAAGATACTAATGATACTAAGATGATCTAAGATGTACCAAGGTGCAAGCACGCAATTCCACACTATAGCGAATTTGCATAAAGCACTAAGAACTATTCTTACTGGGTGCCGGTGCCAGAGCATCGCCTTTTGGATTCTGTCAAGGTCATTTCCGTGCAGAGCTGCGGAGGGTTCACGATCAAGGTGCGGACTTGACAAATGGGAGACTTCTTGGAGAGTTTGGAGAATGCCTTGATATGCCTTGATATGCCTTGTGTATGCCTGACATTTCCGGATCTATGCCATTCCTTCTCCTTTCCTACAGGAGAGACAGTGGCTGCCTTACGGTCTCATGATGCAGAACTTACGAGACTTCAAAGTCGATTCGAGGACTTGAAGTGACTTGGAAGCGGTGTCATTCCGCAGTTGCGGCGTTGCCAAATTCATTGGGAACTACTTGGAAATTGAGAATTACTCATATAGAATATCTTAGAATTATGCAACCTAATATGAAATGGTAAGATTTTTTCTTGGTGTCCCAAGACTCTGCGTGCTAAAGTCACAGTATTTGCTACTGTATTGGTGCCACTCATGACTTGACCAACCAGACAGCGTTGCAATGCCTTGGCCAGTAGGCTTACAAAGTACGAGCTGAATAATATAACCACCAGAACATACGTAGTGTTTAAACTTGTGTACACAGTCCACTACTTGGCCAGCGTTCAACAAACCCATCATGCCATTCCCGGTTGTACATCCAAGTGTACGCTTTTTGGCTGACAAGGTTGAACAAGTGGAAAGGAATGATTCTGAAGAATCTTGGCTCATCCGATGAAACACGGATCCAACTTTGAATCACTCAATATCACTGGATTTTCTTGTATGCATACAAGCTGCAAGGTGAAATTATGAGTATACATGAGTTACTTGTGGTTCAACACCTGTTCATGTGGGATTGCCGATGATCGCTGGCCCTACTGAGGAAGAAGCTGGGATGGTTTGACCGGATCTACGATCCCTTCAAGTCGGTCCTGTTTGTTTGCGTCCTCATGCCCTTCTTCATCAAGGGAGAGGTGCGGTCTCACGGGGCTCAGACCCCGAGCTATGTGAGGCATTGGGCAAAGCTTTGTAGCAATATGACAGCGTGATCACATCCCTACCTCATCCAAGTTCCCTTGTTGTTTTTTCTTGGACCTTGCAGAATGGGTAGAGCACAATGGGTGAAGGAGCTAACAATTCTATATAATTCTGCACTCCAATCAGCGCTGGCTATGGCGTCATAGCACGCTGCTCAGAGTCTTGAGGTGTCACTGGGCACAGTGAAGCAATGCGAGATGGCCCTTTCGCGGATCACTGCATCGTTGAGTTTTTTCATCCACGAGTACAAACAACTAGCATCCTATCGAGCTCAAGTGGACCGGCTCTACGACTTTAGATGCTGTGGTCTTGCCTTCATGAAGGACCGTTACAGTTGACATCAGTTGACATTATGTTCATTGATGCCCTACAATGTGAAGACACGCGTTCTTTTTTTTGTATATTGCTGTGAATTGTGGCAACCCAAAGGCGGAACCCCTGCTAAAGGACAAGCAAGCAGGCAAGCCACCGGGAACTTCAGAGTCGGCCGATGTCCCTGATGCACAGGTGTGGTACTTATAGAGAGGAGTCGAACACTGATATTGATGATAATCTCGAACTCCTGGTTTAGTTCGAGTATTGGGACTATTTAATAGGATATACTATATAGGGGAATGTATTGTTGAATTATGTTGAATTTCTATCCTTCCGCATCAAATTTGGCTTTACAATGCTTTACACATCTTTACAGGGCCCTAGATCTTTACCGCCTTTACACTGTCCGCTGTGCCAAGGCAGACCGAGAACTTCATCAAGTCTTGGAACGCGGAGCACCAAGCATCACAAGGGAGCTGGCTGAAGCGCTTTGGCAAAACTGGTGGTTTGGAGAAGACGAAGAACGACGACAACAACGACCATGACAAATATGACAACGACAACGACGACAACAAACCCGACTATAGCTATACTAAAATTCTGATTGTTTAAGATCCCTGATTATCGTTGTGAAGCTGGAATTGCATAGTCTACAGTAGTGAATTGTGGTGACGTGAACTCGCCTTTCGTCAACAGGTGTTGGAATTCTGGTATGACAGTCTCCTTAAGCCCAACAGGAGGAGTTACAATTGCCCACCATTTTCATTTTTTCAATCCACAAGGGGATGTGGGTGACAGATGAAAACCAAACCCCACTTTGGTAGGGAACTCAAGATGGAGAGGCTTTGCTATAAGAGACATTTGCTGTGAGATGCCAGGTTTTGGAATTGAAGAGGGCAACCTTGTCCTTGCCTTCTGGTGAAACTCTGCTCGATGTGGATTTCCGGGTTCCTTGGAACACACACACTAGCTATGTGAAGGGAAGTCACTATCATTGCATGAACACCAAAAAAGACACTTATTCTATCTTATTCTGTTATCACATTTTCACATCCTAACAGACGAATCAGCCTGTTTGAGGTGACCCGAGGTACCAGCATCCTGCTCTGTGGTGCTGAAGGGTCAGGTAAATCTACCCTGCTGCGTGCGCTTGCAGGCAGGGTGAAGGGCAGTTGTGCTCCTTTTGAATGGACCCCACATTTGTGATTTAGATTTTGACTCCTTGGAGTTTAGATGTAAGAGAGTCAGAGAGTTGCGACTCCACCAAAAGACCCAACAACGATAGCGCAGCCTGCTCTTTGGAACAATGAAGCATCGGTATCATCAAGTGTAGAGCGTAGACAATTACGATACACGAATTCCTGCAACTTGCACATACATAGACTCAGAATGAACAGGTTTAGCGTGTTTAAATTCCCTCATCATTGCTTTCTGCGCGACCCTAGCAGGACCAGTAGCATGAACTCATTTCATTATTCATCAATTATCGTCAGCCGTCATCCAATATCCACGGCGTGGAAGTTTGACGTGGCTCTAGGTATTTGGCCGTTTGTGCGTTTGACTGAGCCACCGTCGATGGCACTGACTCTGGATGACTGCATTCTCATTCCGCAAAAGCCAAAGTGCCTTGTGCAATGATTTGCAGTAAGTTTTTGGGATACGTTTTGTAGATTCAATATTCACTCCCCATCTAAACTCAGAAATTCAATTGAAGAAGAAATAACAAAAGAGGCGAAATCTCAAGCCACATCCAGCCACTGTTCCCGTTGTGAATAACCAAAATTCCTTCTCATCGGGCCAAGGCTTCCTGCTCCCATGACCATCCGGCAAGCTTTGACATTCCCCAAAGCTCCCGAGAACTTTTCGGACGAGCTGATCTCCGATGTCTTGCTCAAAGTCAGGCCGCGTTTAGCATGACATTGGAATGCCTGACAGACAGGTCACCAGTATCACCTGATACAACATTCCAAGTTCAACCCTAAAACCCGTCGAAGTAGTCAATTAGTCCATGTGTCTTCATGTTTTTTCTAATGTTTTTTCAGTTTTTCTCTGTTACTAGTAAAAAAAACAGTTTAGATGTAATGTAGAATTTGCTAGAATTTGCAGATTCAAATTGACAGGGGCTCCCAAGAAAAAGTGAAAGTGATGCAAGTCAGGTTGCCGGAGCTCTTGCTGCTGGATCTTGATGAACCGCTGGATGCCACTTGGATGAAACCCACACTTGTATTTTTTGTTCTTGTTTGCCTCCATTTGAGTTTGAAATGGGACGTGGGACATTGGACTCCCTTGAACTCTCAAAGCCTGTGAAATTTTGAGACTCGATTGTCAAGGTGCATGGATCACAAGCACTTGGGGCTTGAAGATCATTTTGCTGTCGTAAAGAAATGTAAAGTAAAGAATGCTCACAGGTGAATGGTGCACTTTCAGGAGGTCAATTTCAGAAGCTCATGGTAGCCTTGGCCTAAGATGCCTACAAGTGCGTGAGGTGCCCTGCAATGATGTCCGGTGCAGTGACAGTCGTTTGGGGTCCAAATCCGTGAAAATCAGTGGGTAGAATCATGTAGAATCTGAATCTGAAATTCCCCAGAGTTGATTCGAGTTGATCTTGAGTTTTCAACCCACTGCGGGGACTGATGGACTGAGGCTCACTGTTTGCTGGCAAAGCCAGCATTTATCCTTCTGGATGAGTGAACCGGATGAAGATTGGTTGCTTCATGGGGCGCTTTTGCACCCTTTGTATATTTTGCATCATTCAACTTGAAGCTAGAAATGAGTCAAAAAGCATCCCAAAGTCATGATTGGTATTGATTGGTTAGGACTTCCTTGGCTCAGAATTCATGAAGAAGATTTGCGTTCTTTTTCTTCACAGTTGTCCGAAATTCCAAGAATGTTGGGATATGATGGGAAAGGAAAGTCGACTCATGTCCACTCTATTTGTTATTATTTGTTGGATCTCTTTCTGCTGCATCCCAAGGAGCTTACAAATTCAACTCATGAGAGCACATGTTCATTTAATCTAGAGATTCTAGAGGTTTCCAACATCGAATCCGGGAGTTGACCTATGTTTACCTCATGGATGGGTTCATCTTGGGAATTGCACCACCCTCTCACCCTCTGATTCCAAGGTCCATGGCCCACCTTTCTCGGGAGAATCAGCTACACCTCTATGGCTTGTTTCATGGAAGAGATTCATCTGTTTTTTTTTGCATTTTGCGAATCTGCCACTGGAATCAAGCGCACCAATGTACCATTTACATCCATTTACCTCCCTTCACATCCAATCCACTGACATCCACTGACCAGGGTCCCGATGGTACCCCAAACATCCCCAAACCGAAGTTGCAGAGGGAGGCAGCCATAGGCTTCCATTTAGTAACTATAAACATGTACAAACAACCTCTACACATCAGCTTCAGTCTCAGGCTCACTTCCGACTTGGTGGCGCCCGGCATCAGTGGCATGGTGAGTACCTGCCACAACGTACAGGACCGATTACATGGCACAACCAGCTGAAGATGGAGTGAAACAGCAACACATTGGTTAAAACATGTTAAAACATCTATGAATTGTCCAAAATAGCTTTTGTTATCTTTTGTTCTGTTTGCAACTACAATTTGATTCAGTATCCAGCTATATCCAGCTGGATTGCCTGAAGGACTTGGCTTCGTTTCATCAAGTCCACTACAGGATCACTCGGAAGGATTCAGACTCTCGGACCTGTGAATGTTCGAGAATTTTCGAGTATGGCAGAGCACCCTTGGATCCCTTGGCATACACAAATGATCACAAATGATAGCTATTGATAGCTTATCAGCTTGTTGGGGGAAACTTCTGCCTTGAAAAAAAAACAGTTTGACCAAGAGCCAAGAGCTCCAAGAGCTCTGAGCAGCGACCCAAACCATGGCTGAAAGATGATCAAAGATGATGAATTAACTAGACATAACTAGACTATGATCATTATTATCATCGCTTATGAATAACTTTTGACTATATCATAGGTTATTAATCATTAATACTCTTTAACCATCTTTAACCTATCTGGTTTATTGCCGAATATTCTGGCCCATTATGGGACCCTACCTGGACAAACAAAACGCAGCTGCCCCACGAGGTACACTGTGACAGCACTGGAAGCACCGATGGAATCGGTGGTGCCAGCCACACCCTGGAACTGTTGGAGCCAGGCAGCTTTGATGGACACTTTCCACCATTGGAAAGCAGTGGACATTGCTATTGATATGATTTGATATGGGGGTTTCCATGAAATGGGGGTACCCAAAAAATCATCTAATTTTCGACCATTTTAGCATTGAAACTCATGGTGACTTGGAGATTTTCCATTTTAAGAAACCTCCATGACTCCATATCTATTGATTATAGATTCTATAGATCCAATGATATGGTTATGAGTCACAACCCCAGTACATTGGGAAACATCAAAATAGTTGATAAATGGCTGTTAATCCCCCTCCAATTATGGTGCCATAGGTTTTGACCCATATCCATATGTATGTTCCAGACATATTTAGTGGAGGTGTCACAATTGATCTTCAAGGCCACTTTCCTAGACATCATTAGGTCATGTAATGTCATGTATAGTATTCATTGATATTCTCTAATCGTGTTTTTTGAAAATTGTGGAAATAGATCACTTCCCAGCCGAAGAAAGGTGGTGATGGCCTGGGTTGTCGCAGATACCCAGAGGTTGACGAAAGGTTGACTGTTGTCAAGTTGATGTCCAAGCATCCGTTCGATCTATTCGCCGATTTTTGCAGGAGAGTTGCTGAAGGATGTCAAAGAAGAAGATTTTCAAAGGCGTTTGATTGAACAGGACTGCACGCAGTTTTCATTGGCGAACATGTAGCGCACTTGTCACTAGTCGTGGCAGCCTTGATAGCTTTGGCGCGACTCAGAAACTTTCTCGATGCTAATTCTTTGAGGCCAGGTCGAGTACTAAAAACTCTGCCTATGTCTCGGAAAAATCAAATAACGAAGTGATATTGGACAGACACAATGGCCTTATAAAGCATTATAAACTAATTCAGCATATGTTTTTTTCCGGATTTCTTTTGTGGCAAAGCGACTTCAGAGATGCCAGCCGACCTAGGACGAGGAGATTGCAATGCTTCGACAGGCCCTCCAGCGGCTTCAAGATGGAAGAGCTGAGTAGAGCAGGGTTTGACCATTTTGGGGGATGGTTTATACCAGCCACATCCAGCCACAATGCTGGTGATTATTTATTGGCTTTACCACATTAGAGGACAAGACTTCCAGCAACTTCCAGTAGCGCAACAGAACCTACAAACCTACATCACTGCTGTGGAAGTAGAGCATTGCCTGGCATAGTGTGGCATATTTAGAATAATGCTGCAGCATGTTGCAGTATAGTGTAAGCATTCTTGCCACAGCAGTCATGGTAGAGGACTGAATGTTTCGGGACTCAGCAGGTGGATACTGAACATTTTTCAGGAGAAATATAGAGAAGTAGTCCAGCCCTGCTCATAGTTGGTCTCCATTATTTAAGTCAGTGAAGCTGCAAACGGATGGAGACCAAGCGTAGTGGAAAAGCGGCGACCGATGCTGGTGCTTGGCTGGAGCAAGTGGAAATGCCTCAGTGGTTCTTGGGATTAAATTGCATGTAATTCAGTACAATATCCATCAATGACCCACTGACATCCATTGATATCCATTAATTAATATCCACTTCGCATTTGCCCGGCTGATCTAAGGCTGCGGTCTCTGGCAGTGGCTCTGGAGACCAAAGCTTTGCCCCTGACCTTAGCAGCTGCCGGGAGCTGAAACATCCATGAAGGGTGTGATGTTTCGACTGTTGGGAGCTGTTGAACAATGGGGTTTCTCAATGTTTGAAGTTTCTTGATGTTTCTTGATCTATCTTGATTTTTTCCCCACCTGCCAGGGTCAGTGGGCACTGATGTCAGTGGGCACTGCCGGACCTCAACCGCGAGTGCATTGCCGGACCTCAACTGCGAGCGCCAGATCTCAGTGGGCACTGCCGGACCTCAACCGCCGAGGGCCAGGCCAGAATGCCAGAATAGATGCCAGATGATGCCAGAAATGAACGACACATGGAACGGCAGAACAAAAAGTAAGAATAGATGCCAGATAAAGTGCCAGAATAGAAAATCATAGAATGCCAGAACAGAATGTCAGAAAGTTTCAGAAAGTATATGCCGTGCATACTTCCCTTCCCAATGAGATGTCGGAAACTATGGCAAAATAATAGAATGGGCTAGCGCCCTGGTGCCGCCGACCCCCTATTTGGGGGGTCCTGTAGAGAGAGGGAGAGAGAGGGAGAGAGAGAGAGAGAGAGAGAGGGAGAAAGAAAGAAAGATAGATAGATAGATAGATCGATACATAGTGAGATAGATAGATACAGAGAGAGAGAGAGATAGATAGATAGATAGATAGATAAATAGATAGACAGACAGATAGATAGATAGATAGAATACACCCATGTTACACCCATCGGAGCACCGTAGATCCATCGGAGCACCGTAGATTTTGGCGCTTCTTTAGGGATCGACCCAGACCATGTTAGATATCTGATAATGATATGTGTAGATTCTGTTTTCGAGACTCACAGATCTAAATGCTCCATTCCTTCGCACATTGGAGAGCTGCTCGGACGGAGAACAACCTCAAGGTCTGAGGCAAACCTACGAGGACCACACAGATGAAGAGAGGTCAGAATACATTGTATATAGTAACCCCCAGAAAAATAGAGAAATATATGAGTTCCGGTGGCACATTGTTTTTCTATTTGCTTTGAAGGTTTATACTCATATTTTTAAGGTTTTTAAGGGTTTGGAGGGTTTGGAGGGTTTTAAGGGTTTAAGGGCTGGCAAACGGCAGGCTTGGACGCCCATAAGAAGCCATTGATGTGTGGCCTTGGGGTGGCTGCAGGATGAAGCATGCCAAGGGATTGTTTAAGCGGCCCATAAGAAGCCATTGATGTGTGGCCTTGGGGTGGCTGTTGGCTGCAGGATGAAGCATGCCAAGTAAGGCGGTTTTAAGGGTTTGGAGGGTTTGGAGGGTTTTAAGGGTTTAAGGGCTGGCAAACGGCAGGCTTGGACGCCCATAAGAAGCCATTGATGTGTGGCCTTGGGGTGCCTGTTGGCTGCAGGATGAAGCATGCCAAGGGATTGTTTAAGCGGCCCATAAGAAGCCATTGATGTGTGGCCTCGGGGTGGCTGTTGGCTGCAGGATGAAGCATGCCAAGTCAGCGTTTTAAGGGTTTTAAGGTTTTTAAGGGTTTGGAGCGTTTTAAGGGTTTAAGGGCTGGCAAACGGCAGGCTTGGACGCCCATAAGAAGCCATTGATGTGTGGCCTTGGGGTGCCTGTTGGCTGCAGGATGAAGCATGCCAAGGGATTGTTTAAGCGGCCCATAAGAAGCCATTGATGTGTGGCCTCGGGGTGGCTGTTGGCTGCAGGATGAAGCATGCCAAGTCAGCGTTTTAAGGGTTTTAAGGTTTTAAGGGTTTCAGGGTTTGGAGGGTTTTAAGGGTTTAAGGGCTGGCAAACGGCAGGCTTGGACGCCCATAAGAAGCCATTGATGTGTGGCCTTGGGGTGCCTGTTGGCTGCAGGATGAAGCATGCCAAGGGATTGTTTAAGCGGCCCATAAGAAGCCATTGATGTGTGGCCTCGGGGTGGCTGTTGGCTGCAGGATGAAGCATGCCAAGTCAGCGTTTTAAGGGTTTTAAGGTTTTTAAGGGTTTGGAGGGTTTGGACGGTTTGGAGGGTTTTTAAGGGTTTAAGGGCTGGCAAACGGCAGGCTTGGACGCCCATAAGAAGCCATTGATGTGTGGCCTTGGGGTGCCTGTTGGCTGCAGGATGAAGCATGCCAAGGGATTGTTTAAGCGGCCCATAAGAAGCCATTGATGTGTGGCCTCGGGGTGGCTGTTGGCTGCAGGATGAAGCATGCCAAGTCAGTGTTTTAAGGGTTCCCCAAAGCATGTAATTTTCATGTCCAAATGCCTGGAAGTCTTAACTGGAGGACGAAGCATGCCAGGAAAATGTTTACGCGATGTGGCCTTGGGGCAGCGTGCTGGCTGCGAGATGGGTTTGACCTTGGAAAGCGAAGAAGGAGAAGTTCCACACCTGCGGTGGTCCCAGGCGCCGCCCCTGCCTTGGCCAAGGCCGGGGCCGGCGGATATAGAGTAGAATGCAAGTTTGAACGTTTTGAACATGACATCAATACACTGGGCTATAAATATGGTGGAGTTTACTAGAATATGTTTGGAACTCGAGTGGCCGGCCTAGTTTAAGTGATGAAACATGTTGTGTTTCATTTTCTGGGTTATGCAGAGCATACCTTGGTTGAGTGGTCTAACATGTTATTACTATTGGTACGTTATTATTATTACTACTGTTATGGTTGTTGATACATGTGCAATATATTATATAGATGATGTATATTGATAGAATATATATATATATATATATACGTAGATAGATATAGATATTGAGTAAACAATGCATGGTATCTATTGTCTAAGTTTGACTTGGTATGCGAATGGGAGTGCTACTGACTCTAGTGCAGGACAAACGACAAGCAAGGCTGTGTGCACGGTAGGTGTTAAATAATGGGATAAATGATAAATGTCTTGTATTTTCGTTGCAAGAATTTTACTTCATAAGAGTTGGTCTTATGGCTAAACATATAAGATTAACCATGCATAGCTGGGCGTTTCTGCATGGATGCGTCCACCAACACCAATGCTCAACATATTCAGGAAATCATTGAAGATTATTTAAAAATGCCTAACACCACGTTTGGAATTGCAGATTATCCAGATAAATGAAGCATCTTAGTGCTCATAAATGGCTGGCCATGTGATTGGAATTGTCCATATTTCTGGGGTTTATCCCATTTAAAATCAACTATGGCACATGTTGTACATAAATCATTTTTTCGGTGTATAAATCAACTATGGCACATATCTGGCACATTATATGACCACAAAATCCATATAACGTCCATATTAAATCCATATAAATCAGTGGTCCTTCCCAGGATCCAAATAAACTCTGGCTTGAGTCCCCAGCTTTCACATCCTGTCAAAACTTATGCGACTTAGTTGTTGAACACTTTCTTAAACACTAACTGATTGATTGTCTGAGTTGTTTAGATGATATCACTTAGTTATGTAACTTATCATCAATTATCATCTCAATCAACGGTTCTTAGCTATATTAAAATTACCTCTTCAGATGGATTGATTTTGTTTTTTGAAATGTCCATGGCATGCGGTGAGGTAAACGTGGCTTGATGTGGCGATGTGGCGGCCAGGATGATCCCTGGAATACAGATTCTGCCCGTGTACCGATAGATAACTTGTATTATTAAACACGATAGATAAACCACCAAAGAATTATATATAATATATATATATATAACTTATATATTTTTCTATATATATATATTATATAATAACTTGTACATATTTTGTTTCATAACATTAGTGTAGTTGTGAATATTTTTCATAGATAAAGCACTGCGGGATGAAAGGATCATGGAAGATGATTCAGGCAGCCACAAGTCGTGCAGACGGAGATCGCTTGCGCCCCTTGCCATGGGATGTCGAAGCTGGTCATGGGATAATCCGGAGAAAAATCATCCACACACGAAAAGTTGTGACTTTTCTTTTGGGCATTCAGAAGAGACCCAGTCACTGGTCAATCTTTTTTTGCAAGTTGAAATTTACTGGTCATTTTGAAATGTCATGTTTTATGTCAAAACGCGCCACAGTTCTGCCTGTGCCCGGCGATCATTGATATGTTCTGTGATATGTTGGAGTGTCGGGAATCGGATTCGTGTGGATAGTGGCTCACTTGGTGTTGAACAGACACCTACCCTCTGGTAAACTGTTACATAACTATGGAAAATCACAATTTTTAATGGGTAAATCAACTATAAACGGCAATTTTCAATAGCAAACTGTAACAAATTACCAGAGGGTAATAATCATTCCAACTGACTTTCACTGTTTTTTCAGAGGGGTAGGTCAACCACCAACCAGAATAATTATGACCATTACGATATGGTGGTTGCTGACAACCTGGGGGAATGTGACCGACATCCCTCGTGCGTATTGGGTCGATATGGCACTTGCCGACGATTTGCAGTCTTGATTTACCCTCTGGTAAACTAACTCCGGAAATCTCTTCTAATTGCGAGTCATAAGGTGGTGGCTAAGTTGGTGAAGGTAACTCCAATTTCACTGTTGGGTTTATGGTAGATACCCTCTGGTAAACTAAGATAGCTATTGAACATGGCCATAGAAATAGAGGATGTTTCCATTGAAAATAGTGATTTTCCATAGTTATGTATAGTTATGCTAAATTACCAGAGGGTAAATGCCATGTGCGGCAAATATCAACATTTTTCAGCAATCACTGCACATTTTGCCAACACTCCTGGTATACAGACATAATTTAACACTATTTAACATTTGGGTAAATTATAATGACCTCACTGTTCTCTCTCACTATAATTGATCGTGTTTAGTAAGGGGAAACATCCCCAAGATAGCCGAACTTTTCAGGTTTGTGAAATATTTTAATTTACCCAGATACCCTACATGCTTGATGTTTGTAATCCACTCATTTTTTTCACCCGAAGTTTTGTGATCTGAATTCAATTGATTATCCCGAAGGTGGCGGTATGTCCTCCAAAATCAATGATTCGTTTTGACCAAAAACAAAGCCCTTGGGTTTAGGGTTGCTCCAACCTATGACAGTATAGCTGAATCATATATAGCCACAGGAGGATCTGGTTGAATCATATTGGAGATGGCCATCTATAGTTGGTTTGTCAAAACTGATGATTTTCAATAGCAACCTATCAATTTATGAGTTTTGATAGGTAAACCAACTATAGATAGCCATCTTCAATAGGTAAACCAACTATATCCTGGTACCCTATTCAGTACCTCTCGATTTCCCACGTTTTTCCCCCAAAAAAATCTGGGCTGGCGGAGCCGTGGAGCCTGGGCTCACGAGGTCAAGACTGTCAAAGGTGCCGCAGCAAGTTGCGTCAGCGACAGCAACGTGGAAACGAGGAGGAGTTGGGTCTGCCCAGTGGAGCCAAGTGACTTGAAATTCCTAGATGTGCCATGGTCAAAAGTTGGATGTTTAACACTTCGAATGGAGATTAAATGGGATATTAATATGGGTATAATGTGGTATATAACATTATACGTACAATCAACTATAGAATCAACAGTTTGGTGTTGATTATGAATTATGATCAGCCATGATTACACCATGACTTTGGGAATGGTCATCAATCCACGTTCAGACGGGATTCACATATCATATCGAATCATATCCATGTCCTTGTCCGACAGTTTGGGGAATGGATGACCAGGGGCCCCATTCATCCCATGTAACGGAAATCGTGGCAGAAGAAAGTTATATACCACATGGATAAACACACAGAAATATGTGTAGAACCCACGTGGAAACCAATGGGAACACTCTAATAAACTACCCTCTGGTAAACTAACATAGCTATTGAAAATGGCCATTTATAGTGGATTTTCCCATTAAAAATGGTGATTTTCCATAGCTATGTTAAATTACCAGAGGGTAATCTACAAATGGTTGGTGTTACACAGATGTGTTGTCTGTTTACAACAGAAAAAAAGCTCGTGAATTGGGTCTTCAGCCATAGACATCCAGTGCCTAGCCGCCGTTCGCCATTTCGTTCATCATTTCCCCTGATTTGGCATAGTTCAATGGTAAATCTTAGACAATCTGATCAATTCCAGCGTCTGGTGCTTTCAACATGCTTCAACTTCAATTCGTGTCCGTTAAGCCAGCACCATTTTTTCATTTCGAATTTCGGGCAGTCAAATCCAGTGAAATCCACATTCCATATGGATCCAAACACTGGGAAGGTACGGCTCACCCCCGAGTCACGTCATCATACCCCAGTCGTTCCAGTCGTTATTTGTTCCAAGGTGGTGCCCCCTCCAGTTATAAATTGCTTATGTTCACCCATGAACTAGTTCGATATATCACCAACAGAAACAAACCAGTTCGTGAAATTGGAGTTATGGGGATTTAATGGTGATTTAATGGGGATTTGATGGGATATCATGGGATATCATAGTGAAATTCCCCAACTGAACGCGTTCTCGTGGCCGGGGGCAGCACCTTGTCCCAACTTCCCCACTGGATCTCCCCTGACGCCGCCGCTGAGGCGTCGCATGCTTCAGCGCAGCCTGCAGGGAGGTGTCTTCAGCGAGAAACGGGTGGCTCCAGTCGTGAAGGCCGACGGAGAAATCCCTCACAAAATCCATGGAAATCCCTGTAGGAAATGTGCATATTAGTAGTTAAGCCACACTAAGTTACCATGGTAATAAGGTAAGTTACCTTATGGGTATTTATATTCCATATCTATAATTACATGCGCTAAGTTACCTTATAAGTGGCTTGACTATGGTTTATGATAGATATAACTATAGTTCATGGGGGTTATTTCATGGTTTATAAACCAACTTACAACTGGGGAGGCCCATCCTGAAATCGATGAACATCATCATGGAACAATGAGGTCCTAGGATCTCGTGGATGAATCTTTATATTTTGGTGGCCTCAAAACTGAAAAAGCGTTGAACAGGCCACCCAATTCTATGATTTTGTTGGTTTATGTTGAGCCATCCAACTTTTTTTGGGCAACCCCAAGTCATAGAAAAGTTGGAAACCTTCAGCATCCTGGAAACAGATTTCGGCATCTTTTTTGGGGATTGCTATATGCTGTATCTGACATATCTACCATTTTCATAGAATTGTTGACAACAGTTCAAATCAACTTAAGTATTTATCTGGGCCCCTTCCTGTTGGTGAAACTTTAATTTTTCAAACAGAACCAGAAGTACCCTCTGGTAAACTAACATAGCTATGGAAAATCACCATTTTTAATGGGAAAATCCACTAATAATGGCCATTTTCAATAGCTACGTTAAATTACCAGAGGGTATCTTAAAATGAATAGAGACTCGACATTTACCCTCTTGCAATTTAGCATAATGGTGGGAAATCACAATCTTCAATAGGTCATTCGTCTATAAATGGGCAATGTTCCACAGCGGTGTTAAACTACCAAAGAGTAAATCCTGGTTTTGGGGTTGGCTATGGTTTCAGACGGGGAGCATCCTCTTGGATTGGTTGCAAGTTGTTTTTTCATACTGCAGGGTATACCCACAGTGTGTAGCAATGGTCAAAGGGCAAAAGTGATTTTGGAAGCAACAGTGGCTAAAGATATACAATCCGGTGTCATCAAACATCGCAATCCGGAAATGTCCTATAAATGGAGGTTTTAGTGGGAAAATGAACTATAGATGGGAGATTGTCCATTGTCACGTTTGATTCCCTGAGGGTATGCTGACACCAAGTAGACGAGTGTGAGATGAGTTTGTCTAATTGGTTGGACACTCCCAACCCATAGGATTATACCATGAATCTTGTATTTGATAACAAATTTGACATCAAGATAGCTACACTTATTTGGAACCATTCCAAACTGACCATGCAGGTATAAATGATTTGAAAAAAACAACTGCAAAATTATATCCAAATTCGGATTGGGTGCAGGTCTACATAAATTGGGGGTACATACCCAAAAAAACAATTGTAACCCAAATTTTCCAGTACCCCAAAACTTGTCCCATGACGGTTCAGGTTGAAAAAAACCCGTAGCTTGCTGGGGTCATCATTGCCTCCCTATTTCATCAGTCATATCCCCCACCAGGAGAATTGTTCAAGCGACCTGACCTGAAACGCTCGTAGGGGTAATGTCGAGGACGTATAAATAGATGACTGATTGGTGGTTTGGAACATTTTTTATTTTTCCATATGTTTAGAATAATAATCCCAACTGACTTTCAAATTTTGAGAGGGGTAGGTCAACCACCAGCCAGGATGATTTTTGTATATTTTAGGGGACGTACTAACCAGCATTTTTTTCCAGTAGCCAGTTGCACATTGGGAGTAATCCAAATAGATCCCGTGATTTTCACGACCAATCCCTTAGAGGAATCCATGCAATCATGTTGGCCCTATTTATGGGTTTCCATAAATGGGGGTACCGCAAAATGGATGATTTGTATTGGAAAATCCTATTGAAATGGATGATTTGGGGGTACCCCTATTTTAGGAAACCTATATATATATATCCCATGAAATATGCATGTGATATTCCCATTATGCTTCACCCGATAGGATATTAGCACTAATATTGATCATGATATCCCCATGATATTCTCATTATGCTTCATCCCATCCCATTGTATTTACATACGTTAACATTTGACATGTGTCAAGTACCACTATAGTCTGCATGATAAACCCTTTGTAACCATAGTCAATTATACCTCATCAACCATAGTTAATTATACCCATTAACCATACTTAATGATAAACCCATTAGCCATAGTTAATGATAAACCCATTAACCCCAGTTAATGATAAACCCATTAACCATGATAAACCCATTAACCATAGTTAATTAACTGATTTCATGGTCAACCAATTTATAAGTTAACTTCCGTATCGTTTAGAGGCCTCAACTTGTATGGTTTGAGTCCCAATTTTGCTGTCACAGGCAGGCACCGGCCTGACATCGCAAGATACACAGCCGGTGGGGGACCATGGCGACCACAAAGTTGGCTGGTGATTTTTGGCATTTCAACATCCATGTGAGGTTGATGATCATCTTGAACCATGCCCAGAGTTGTTTTTTTGTTATTGTGACTTTGAGCGTCATCAGAACTCATAGCGCAGTTTTTCATTATGGAATTCTATTTACAAGTTTGAGCAAGTTCAGAGAGTTAGGGCCGCCTCGGCTCATTGTCAACTTTACCGTAGGTGTCGTTTTGCATACTAGTAACAGTATGCTTGTTTCCTGTCATTTGGGAGTCAAACTGCATTTTGACTTGTTGGACCATCCGAAAGAAGAGCGTACCCAATATACTCCCGAGGTACTCCTGCGAATGATGCCACTGGCATAAATGCAATCCCTTGCGCCAAAATGGCTCTTAGAGATGCAGATTATAAACTCAGGTAATTATTCATGTGCTTTGAAAATTATCATGATATGGTATTATCATGTATTATCTATTCAATGGGAATTTCAGGATCCTAAATTGGAGGTACCTACCATATATAAGGCCTATGTAAGGCCTATGTAAGGGAATATCCCCACATATCCCCACAAAATATTGCCTTATATAGTACAGTACCTCCATTTTAGGATCCTGGAATTCCCATTGATCTATAGTAATGAGTTGAATTGAACATGTGACACATGTTTTTCTGCTTCCACTTGGTCCATTTCTGAGGCAGAGGCTCCAACCTTCGTTCAAGGCATCTCTGAGTGACCGGGAACGACCATTTCGGTAGCAACTCGAGTTCTTTGGTCTATCCCATAGGATCCATGTATGGTATATATATGCCAACATTTGGGGTATATTGATGGTAAATGTTACCATATATAGCATACATGGATCCTATGGGTATGTTTATTGGCAAGAGCATAGGTCTTTGATGTCATTACCGAGGTGTTGGTGTGTGTTTCAATACGATTCCCTCTTCCTGAAAAGATGAATTCGAACAAGAAACATATTGTAATGTAGTGTTAATGATATGAATGCTCAAAAGATCTTGTGTGCATGGTGCATATATGTACTATGTACAGTACTGTACACATAATAATAATATACATATATATATATATACAAAATACATGACATAGCATTGTATGGGTTTGTCTGAAAATTTGGTATCCCAAAATCAACTGATACATATTTTCAGTCACAGCCATAATACATATTATATATAATATACATATATACATATATACATACATATATCATATATACATCTACACATCATACACGCATCTCCCTATCTTCATGGTCACACAGTGCCCATGTGCCACCAGGGAAAGCCTTGACGCGTGATGGAGCGGCAGATGTCTTAGAGGCTCATTTGATTTCTCAAATTGACTGGAACATCTAAAATGGGATTCAACAAAATTAGGACTGTTAAGGTGTAGCCTTTGATTTCCGTGAAGTCTAAATGGGTGTGATATTCCACTGCTATCCCCATCGATCTCTTGATATTTGGTGAATAGCTGGGTCATTGTTGCTTTAAAGTTTTGTCATCACTGGGTCACTTCCCCAGTTCCATAGAGAGTTGGGGATGTTTAGGTCCAGCATGTCAGAAATACTTTGTGTTTTTTGGTCGGTGAATGTTTAGCTAATGAAGAAAGGCATATCCTGCATACCTCAAGCTTGGTGAATTAAGACAGGCCCAGTTCGAGGCATTGGGAGAATCATATGTGGATTCTAGTAAAATTTGCCATGTGGCCATGTGACGTCAAGCTTGGAATGCAGGTTGCACATGGAAAATTGTGCACTTGCAATGTGAATCAATTTCTGGCATTGTTTGGTCCTGAAAATTCACATTGGAATGCCAAATGCGATAAAACACTTTAGCAGTTCCTTCGGACACCGAATTGTTGATTCCTGATCATCAGGTACCCCCCCAAGAAACTTGTGGGTAAAGACCAAAAGTTAGCAACATTTGCGGTTTTCTGGGTCTTGACCCTTTGACACCGACCTGTTTGCCAGCTGCTGACAGGACTTGTTGGTTGCCTACAGTGATGCAGATTTCCTTCAGCGTGTGGACAAGCTTAGTAGGGTGAGAGCCTCGGGTGTTTCCCCTGTTGATGGGTTGAGGATTCTGGGGCGTCTATATTAACTAAGGATTACCCTCTGGTAAACTAACATAACTACGGAAAATCACCATTTTTTGTGGGAACACTCACTATAAATGGCAATTTTCAATAGCTATGTTAAATTACCAGAGGGTAAGGATTATCATCAATGAACTGAGGCTTTTGTTTTTTTGCCATTTCCCAAAGAACGGAGCTTGGTTTCCTGGAAGCATTTTGAGTATTGTGTGGAGGGATTAAGCGTGTCTTGTTGACATGTTTCCCCATTTTTCGATTGACAGCTGTGCCGTGGTCAAAACTCGGATTATGCACCGATGTTAGGGGATGGTCCTTAATCCTTTTCATAGGTGATACACATATATATATACTGTATATATATATACTGTATATATATATACAATTATATATATATTATACATATATTATCCCCTAAAAAGATAGAAAAAAACCGTGTTTCCAGGATGGTATTACGACCATCTAACACCACATCTTCAGATTTCCCACTTTTCCAACTGGGGCTGCTGTAGCCCGGGTGTTTTTCATCGGATTTTCTTGGGACCCACGCAGTCGCTGTCCCATAGTAAGGGGATCTAAGGAAGCCATGAAGAAAATAGCCTTACTACTAGCGGGATCACTTTCTGGTTGGTGGTTTCAAACATGGCTGGATTATTTTCAATTTCATATATGGGATGTCATCCTTCCCATTTTTCATAGGGTAAATCAACTATTTCTATGGCTATTTTCATAGTTTTTTGTATGTTTACCAGAGGGTATGAGATATCTGGTTTGTGGTTTCAAACATGGCTAGATTATTTTCCATTTCATATATGGGATGTCATCCTTCCCATTGACGAAGTCCATCATTTTTCAAATTGGGCACATTGCACCACCAAGCAGATGATTAGGGGATATACTTACCTGGTTTACTGGGTATTGGATCCCCATGAGCCTAATACAAACTAGGAGATATTTTTCAGGATCCTATAGTTAATTGATTGCTGGGGATTATATATACTACCTGGTTTACTCGGGATTATGATGGGCCCCATAGGATTGGGAAACCGTTGAAAAAACCAACTAGTATTTCATGAGATGGGATAGGGCTATGTTTAATGGCTCAAGGGGAATCATCCCCACATGGCTTATACTTCAGCAACTTTTTCAGCTTAGTGAATTATGATGTGAATTATGATGTGAATTATGATGTGAATTATGATGTGAATTATGATTACATTCAGCCAGGCAGTTCTTTTTATGATTTGATCTGACCTACAAATGGGATCAATTTCTTTGTGGTGCCAATAAGTTTTCGGATCGAAATATCTAGAAATATGATTCATATCTATATAATAGGTTTATACATATCAATTCTTTATTGTCAGTCATTACGACATTTTTTCATTGCGAGGGTGAAGTGGCACATGTTCCTTTACTTGAGAATGGGGCGTATAATATGTTATCTACTACAACTACATATCCGAATTCAGGATGGTTCAGTCATATTAAACTACTGTATATTAAGTTTATATAAATCTATTAAAAATCAGTTTGGGATGGTTTTCCAGCATGTTAAACCACCATGGTTTCGGGATGGCCACCAGGACGTTGCCTTTGATGCCTTGGAATTTGCGAAACACCTGGCACGCCTGAGCTTTGAGGTGTGGGGAAGTGACCGGTTTCGATGAGAGATTCGGGACACCCGGGACACCCTATCCCTATCCCATGACGGATCCATGGTGCTGCTATATATGGTAACATGGATCCCATCAATATGCCCCAAATGTTTGCATATATACTGTTATATACCATACATGGATCCTGAAGGTATGGATCCTGTGGATCCAGCTGTAGCTTCGGAAGTGTGAAAGGCCTATGATGACGTGACTAGGGGATGAGCCGTAGCTTCGACAGTGGCCATGCAGTGGCCATGGATCCATAGGGATTTGTCGAAAACCATTCAAACCATTCAATCAATGGGAGATCTTCAGGATCCTGAATGGAGGTACGTTAGTACCATTTGGCCATATTTTTTGGGGATATTCACTTACATAGGCCTGAACAATAGGCCTTATATATGGTAGGTACCTCCATTTTAGGATCCTGGAATTCCCATTGATTGAATCAGCATTTGTTTGCAGAAAGTTCTCATGGCGCTGGGGGGCAACTCTTTTTCCTGTAGAAATCCCAGGCTTCATGGCCCTTCCAGTCATGGGATCGACTTCACGAGAGGTAGAGGTCTAACATAATTTCTGACTTATTGCGTTGCTTCTGAATCATCTGACATCCACTCTGCTTTGAAAAAACAGATTCTTACCCTGGATATGTATGGATAGGTATGGATATGTATGGATATGTTGTTGATGTTTCAGTAACTAAATGTTAAACGAACAAGGTTTCTTGAATGCGTTGGTGATGGTACACTGGTACCCCCCCAAAGAAAAAACTGTCAATGGAAGTACTTGATACCCGCCCCATGTGTCAGGCTCAACAGCCAATCTTGAAGAAGTGGGGCTTCGAGGTCCTGAGAGCCCCGGGATTGCGCAGGGCGACCTGAAAAGTCAAGATGGCAATGGAAACTCCATGCACGTCAAAACGAACATGGTCTAGGAATGAAATTATCCAAGCTTTAGGTATTTACTTTGGTCCTTGAAAACAAATATGATGGACATTTCACCGTTTTCAGTTGCTGGTCTATTGTACTTGTGGGAGACCGCCAGAAGTCATGTGGAAACTCAAGCTCACCAGTTTCCTACACCCCAGCTGCCGGATTGATGCAAGTCCACTGACTTGTTGATAGATTGTTTTTGTCTCATGGACCATTGTTCTGCAGATGCTGAGAAAGTGCAGATGTCAGCACATATGGTGGGCATGTCAAACTCGTATGGTTCCCCAAATCACACATAAATATATATATATAGAAAGAGAGAGAGAGAGAGATCGTTTGCTCCCTCAAAAAAAGTGCTCACCAAAACGATCTCGTGGATTGAACCCCCTCCGCAGCAAAAACATATTCTAGTCAACACAACAACAGTCCAGAAGCATATGTAGTTTCAAATTGATCCCACCCAACTATCGTTGGCTGCTTCTATAAATCTATGTTATTGTTTTTTTGTTGTATATTAACCACACCAAAGACAGGTTTGATACTTCTAGTACCATGAAAAAAAGACGCGGGTAGGATTCTGGTGGGGAATGGGTGCTCATATAAATATAGATTATTATATATCAATATTAACTAAGTATATATATATATAAGCCCTATGGATCCAAACACAGTTTGAGAAGGTACGGCTAACCCCCGAAACGTCATCATACCCCAGTCACACTTCCTTGGAAGGTACGGCTGGATCCATTAGGGAAGAATATAGAATGGGCTAGCGCCCTGGTGCCGCCGACCCCCCTATTGGGGGTGGTCTGGTAGAGCATGTAATTTTCATGTCCAAATGCCTGGAAGTCTTAACTGGAGGACGAAGCATGCCAGGAAAATGTTTACGCGAGGTGCCGGTTGGCTGCAGGATGAAGCATGCCAAGGGATTGTTTAAGCGGCCCATAAGAAGCCATTGATGTGTGGCCTCGGGGTGGCTGTTGACTGCAGGATGAAGCATGCCAAGTCAGCGTTTTAAGGTTTTTAAGGGTTTGGAGGGTTTGGAGGGTTTTAAGGGTTTAAGGGCTGGCAAACGGCAGGCTTGGACGCCCATAAGAAGCCATTGATGTGTGGCCTTGGGGTGCCTGTTGGCTGCAGGATGAAGCATGCCAAGGGATTGTTTAAGCGGCCCATAAGAAGCCATTGATGTGTGGGCTTGGGGTGCCTGTTCATGCCAAGTCAGCGTTTTAAGGGTTTTAAGGTTTTTAAGGGCTTGGAGGGTTTGGAGGGTTTTAAGGGTTTAAGGGCTGGCAAACGGCAGGCTTGGACGCCCATAAGAAGCCATTGATGTGTGGCCTTGGGGTGCCTGTTGGCTGCAGGATGAAGCATGCCAAGGGATTGTTTAAGCGGCCCAGAAGAAGCCATTGATGTGTGGCCTCGGGGTGGCTGTTGGCTGCAGGATGAAGCATGCCAAGTCAGCGTTTTAAGGGTTTTAAGGTTTTTAAGGGTTTGGAGGGTTTTAAGGGTTTAAGGGCTGGCAAACGGCAGGCTTGGACGCCCATAAGAAGCCATTGATGTGTGGCCTTGGGGTGCCTGTTGGCTGCAGGATGAAGCATGCCAAGGGATTGTTTAAGCGGCCCAGAAGAAGCCATTGATGTGTGGCCTCGGGGTGGCTGTTGGCTGCAGGATGAAGCATGCCAAGTCAGCGTTTTAAGGGTTTTAAGGTTTTTAAGGGTTTGGAGGGTTTTAAGGGTTTAAGGGCTGGCAAACGGCAGGCTTGGACGCCCATAAGAAGCCATTGATGTGCCTTGGGGTGCCTGTTGGCTGCAGGATGAAGCATGCCAAGGGATCTTTAAGCGGCCCAGAAGAAGCCATTATGTGTGGCCTCGGTTTGGCTGTTGGCTGCAGGAGAAGCATGCCAAGGTTTAAGGGCTGGCAAACGGCAGGCTTGGACGCCAATAAGAAGCCATTGATGTGTGGCCTTGGGGTGCCTGTTGGCTGCAGGATGAAGCATGCCAAGGGATTGTTTAAGCGGCCCATAAGAAGCCATGATGTGTGGCCTTGGGGTGCCTGTTCATGCCAAGTCAGCGTTTGAAGGGTTTTAAGGTTTTTAAGGGTTTGGAGGGTTTGGAGGGTTTTAAGGGTTGAAGGGCTGGCAAACGGCAGGCTTGGACGCCCATAAGAAGCCATTGATGTGTGGCCTTGGGGTGCCTGTTGGCTGCAGGATGAAGCATGCCAAGGGATTGTTTAAGCGGCCCAGAAGAAGCCATTGATGTGTGGCCTCGGGGTGGCTGTTGGCTGCAGGATGAAGCATGCCAAGTCAGCGTTTTAAGGGTTTTAAGGTTTTTAAGCGTTTGGAGGGTTTGGAGGGTTTAAGGGTTTAAGGGCTGGCAAACGGCAGGCTTGGACGCCCATAAGAAGCCATTGATGTGTGGCCTTGGGGTGCCTGTTGGCTGCAGGATGAAGCATGCCAAGGGATTGTTTAAGCGGCCCATAAGAAGCCATTGATGTGTGGCCTCGGGGTGGCTGTTGGCTTGAAGGGTTTTAAGGTTTTTAAGGGTTTGGAGGTTTGGAGGGTTTGGAGGGTTTAAGGGCTGGCAAACGGCAGGCTTGGACGCCCATAAGAAGCCATTGATGTGTGGCCTTGGGGTGCCTGTTGGCTGCAGGATGAAGCATGCCAAGGGATTGTTTAAGCGGCCCAGAAGAAGCCATTGATGTGTGGCCTCGGGGTGGCTGTTGGCTGCAGGATGAAGCATGCCAAGTCAGCGTTTTAATGGTTTTAAGGTTTTTAAGCGTTTGGAGGGTTTGGAGGGTTTTAAGGGTTTAAGGGCTGGCAAACGGCAGGCTTGGACGCCCATAAGAAGCCATTGATGTGTGGCCTTGGGGTGCCTGTTGGCTGCAGGATGAAGCATGCCAAAGGGATTGTTTAAGCGGCCCATAAGAAGCCATTGATGTGTGGCCTTGGGGTGCCTGTGCATGCCAGGAAAATGTTTACGCGATGTGGCCTTGGGGCAGCTTGCTGGCTGCGAGATAGGTTTGACCTTGGAAAGCGAAGAAGGAGAAGTTCCACACCTGCGGTGGTCCCAGGCGCCGCCCCTGCCTTGGCCAAGGCCGGGGTCGGCGGATTAAATCAACTTGTTTGGTGGCTCCCTAAGCCATCCCCTGCCAGGCCTCCATCACTGGAGCGCAAGAGATGAAACAGGCGCTGAAGGTGCGCGATTTGGGAGGATTTTTTGTCTGACAAAGCCATTAATAGTGGTTAGTAATGGTTGATAGTGGTTAGTAATATATTATAACATATTATAACCATATCTGGATATGTATCTGGATTAATTATAACGACCTCACTGTTCACCGAACCCTGGAATCATGGTTAGTAAGGGGAATCATCCCCAAATGGCCGAACTATTCAGGTTAGTGAAATGGTATAATCTATGCAGATATATTTTAATTGGTTTATACTATGGTTGACAAGCACTTGATTAAAGATATTTTATTGTAATAATACACCAGGATTTTGTTTGACGCCGCGTCCACTATTGCGGACATGGCGGAATCATTGTCATTGGCCCCCAACTATTTACTATGATACTATCTCAAATAATTGTGTTTGAGAATCACTATGCTTCGGGAGATTCTTAAGATATACACTCTGCTATTCAAACGTGGCAATGGACAATTCCCCATTTACATTTATGGATTATTGACCCATTTAAATGCATTTTTGCTAAGGATTTCCTCGCTTGCCATGGTTGAGCAAACCGGAGGGTAGCAGCCTCAAAAAGGTCATCATAAAAGTCACAGACACCTCTGTGGCAACCCATCGTATTCTTCTACCTATTGTGTGATGCTCACACATGTTAAATTCACATCGGATTTACCAGAATCAATCCATATATAGCTTGCTCAAGCTGAAAATGTCACCTAACTATATATACAATGTGAGGCCCCCTAGATACCTAAGTTGGTTTATAGCTCCAATAACTATGGTTTATGGTACTTATAACTATAGTTACTGGGGCGAATCTAAACCAACTTATAACTGGGGGGGCCACATTGTATATAATGTATATATATATACATATATGCATAATATACTATTTGCTGTTGTGAAGTCATGCTACATAATTGCTATCCCTACAATTTCCCCATTGTTGGTGGATGATTTTTTGTGCAACTCTCCCAGGAGCAAACGCAACGCGACACGGAACTCGAGGAGCTGTCCAACAAGGTCGGCTCCAACGAAAGTAAACTAACATAGCTATGGAAAATCACCATCTTGAACGGGTAAATCACCATTTTTAATAGGTACATCACCATTTTTAATGGGTAAATCACAATTTTTAATGGGTAAATCAACTATTTCTATGTGCCATTTTCAATAGCGATCTGTTGAACTACCAGGTGGTATTGGATTTATTCATATTGGAAGTCCATGGCAATTTCATAGGGGATGGGATGAATGTGTCATACTTAAAAAAACGCATATTTTGTGTTTTCCAAAAAAAAAAGTAAATTCAAGATTCAACCAAGGTCAGTGTAGCTTTAATGAGCCATGGCCAGTGTTTACTTATTGTTGACTTATGGCTTTATTTAATAAGTAAATTCCAAATAATGCAGCTTTAATGAGCCAACATTGAAGGTAAAAGAAAAAACAACGGGATCTAACCCCCCCAAAAAATGCCGGTGTCTGCTCGTTCTGCCAGGTGAGCCGAGCTTTGTATGGAAGTCTACTGCTCAGTTGAGTAGGTCGCAAGGCTTCCCAAAATTTGATGGTTTTTAATGGTTTATATATATATATATACCTGGGGCACCTTGAAAAGCATGATTTCACTGCAGAAACAAGATTATGTATAAAAACCGTTCCAGAGTATAATTTTACTCCAGAACGTAAAAAACCGTTCGGCTCATTTCTGGCAACTATAGCAACACTGAATATCCCAGGAATTGAGGTATAATGAGGATGAGGTCCATCTTGGAAGTAATATCCCCAACATATATAAAGCTTTAATTTCATATCATTATATAGGATCGATGCATTATGGTCTTTCAATCCTTATACCAGGTGACCATACAAAGTTTCCCCCAAACTCTATTGAAAAGGGTTGATCCAACAATATTCAAATACATCAATGGTGGTTTCCATAGAATGACCCCAGATATCAACTAAACCCTACATATATATATATATAGCCCCATCAAACCCAACAAGCCCAACCACTCATCATCCAGGAATCACCATTTCCACCGTGTCGATTCGTGTCGATGTCTCGACTCGCCGGGCCGTGGCATGCAAGGGCATGCAAGGCATGCAAGGCCTTATGGGCCTTTGTATATCATCACTATATACAAGAATTGATATATAGAGGTATGATTTTCCAATTATATCCATTTTCTATATAGAGGTAAACTTGTTATTATGGGACCATTACCATGAGGGGTGCATCTATCTATCTATACATTCTATATACAAGATTATATAAGTTTTTTTTTGAGCCCAGCATTGCACCAGCATGCAATTGCAGCAGTTGAATGGCCCTTTGGCCTGGACAAACCAAGCAATGCACGCATCACATGCAAAGACCAATAGCACTTTCAAAACACCTTGAGATTGAGCCATGGCAAGGGAGCAATGAAGCGTCACTTTGGTACACCCGGCTTGGTCTTTGCAGCATCCTGCCTCATCCACAACTGGTGGGCCCATGAAATTTTGGATCATTTCTACATGTGATTGAAATGAATATTGATTTCATGTGTATCAATAGCCTAAAGGCACGAGAACATGATTGAACATGTGGATTGGTATATGAATGCCTCTCCTATAGTTTCTATTTCATTTTCATGTAGCTCTGGTGATCCCTGCGGTGACACATTGTCTCAGAATGTCTCAGAGCATTTGGCTCCTGCGCAGGGCTAGCTGCCTCTAAGCCTTGTGCACCTGTAGGTACCTCGGGGGACCTGCGCACCTGTGGGTCTACGAGTCCCCTATGGTCAAAAAACGGCATTCCACTAAGTCAAAGCCTAGCTCTTCCAGTTCTGGCTCCACCTACTCCTCACCAATGTCTTCCCCAAGGGAAAGAGTTGGGAAATATGATTTGTCGGGTTTGAGCAAGCTGTGGGATGACACCCCAGAAATCCGAGACGCAGTGCGGGACAACAAGAACTTGCTCCAACAATGGGATGCCATGCAGAAAATTGAAACGAATGGTGATGTTGACAAAACGATTGAGAATTGTAAGCTGAATGCCAAAGTTTTGATTCCGGTGTTGGGACTGATGAGACAGAACTCCTTGATGCTGCCAGCTTTGGATCGATTGATTCAAGCGATTGACTGGTTCTACAGTACCTCCAAAAAGGTAAGGAGCCTTGAACATTGCTACAAGCAAGCATGGGCAATTAGGGACCTCATCAGTGTTATCAAGGGTTTCACTTACCGCGAGAACCCACCAACAGAGACTTGTCTTAACAAAAACGGACATTTTTTTTCCCAACGATAAATATTCGGATCCTTCGTCCGTGTAGCTATATATTTGTTAAAAACAAAAATGGTGACCACTAAGAAACCCTAACTGCATCCTCCCATGAGTCCTTCCATCTTGTATCGGCCCAAGGATTCTGACATCATCATCCTGCTGGAGAGCATGGGTATCAATGTGAAGGCAAACAAGGGGCATGTAGGTCTCATGTTATGGAGGGCATATGTCAGGATCTAGAGCCAACATTATGATGATGCCTACTACTGTTTTACAGTATATATATCTTTTCAACCAGTCCATTTACTTTAGCTACAACGGAATATCCATGTGAAATGAAAACATGTTTTCCAAGTATAAGCTTTTACTGAAGCTCTGAAACCTTCTTTGCATTGACGGCCCCCAATAAACACATGGTTTTATGTGTATATGCATCTATATACACATGCATGGCTTATGTACAGAGCCACAAGTTATACATATCACAAAACAGTTTCGGCAAATCATCCAATGTTTTGTGCCAGCCCATGGTAGCCCCTGGAGGAGTGGCAACCCGTGCGCAAGAAGGATTCAACTACTTCGGATTCGGACCCACCAGCATTGACTGATTCCAGGCCTTTGGATACCCAGCCCGACAATACGGAGGTAGTTTTATCGGCTGCTGCCATTCCTGGGTTTGAAGACCCACTTCTAGCTGCCCCAGTTGAACCTGTTGATGATCAGCCCCAGCCATCGGGACCAACAGTTGAAGAATTAGTGAAAGAAATGGAAGCTTCCTTGGCCCTGACCAACACGTCCCTGGGAGATCCGAGTACCAATGCCAACAAGCCACAATTAAATTGGGCAGTCTCTACAGAGGAGTGGCTGGGGAACATTTTTTTTAATATATAAGACAACACATCTTACATGGTTCTTATATATAATCAAAGGGATTTTAAAATGTATATTCCTGTGAAACTAGGAAGGGTACATTCGTTGTAATTGTAAGTTATGTCAAGGTCATATCTCACCTTATGCTCGAGAATCTTGCCTGCAGGACCTGGGTGTTTGGGAGATTTCAGATGATGAGGAAGGAGATGCACCATCCAACGCAGGGCCTGGGGTTTCCAACCTGTGTTCTCCAGAAGTACTTGACGCTTTGAGGTTGATGCAAAGGACACTCATCTTAACATATTTCAAACAGTCCCATTGAACATCAGATGTATAGGGTGTCTCCACAATAGAAATAATATGATTAGCCCCGACAGAATCAATTTGTTGGTTGATGTATCATTTGCATCTATATATATATATATATATCTATATCTGTATATCATCAACAAATCTATATATTTCCATATCTATATATATATACCTTTCTAAATCATATCTATATTTGCATATGTATATATGTTTGGAACCCAGGTACCTCCCTTGCGTTTACAACAGTGTCCTCCAGATAAGTTACAATTCAGAGTATCTTTCATTTATTCTTGGGCGCTGATACCCATTAGCATCAAATTAGCCTGGGGGGTTCCCAAACAATATAGATCTTTCTCCCAGGACTGGAATCTACGAATTGCAGAGTTTGGAGAAGGTAATATCGACTGCTGAGTCATCACCAGCCCCATCCTCTACCAATTCTCCTCCACTGCTCCCCAAAGCTTCTGTGGCTACCTGCACAGGCTCGGAAAGTGCCGGTGGAAGAGATGGGCATTTCTATATATACACATGACCTTGAAGAGAGAGAGAGAGAGAGAGAGAGAGGGAGAGAGAGGGAGAGAGAGAGAGAGATATATATCTATCTATACAGGTATAGGTGCTTTACAACAAGATTGAAAGTGTTGATGCTGGAGGTGATGCCAAATGCAAACGATGTGGAAGTGGAAAATACCTGATTAATCATGTTTCCATTGTTGCTGCCTACAGGTGAGATGATTTTGGATTCTTTGCCAATGGTTTCTGAGCATGATGCTACGCAATTACCCTGCAGCCCAACATCCCTGTTCAACAGCGACGTCGCTTCCAAGACCCTTGGATCTTTGGAGCTAGCAGAGCAAGTGGCATTCACTGCAGCAGCTCCCAACAATGTCCAGCCACAGGTGGGAGCTCATGGGCATCCCCAAAAAAGGTAGCAAAATACAAGCCCTGAATTAAAACATGTCCCAATTCCACAATATTCCACACACACACATATATATATATAAATATGGATTGTGTGCATGTCTTTTTCCCCATAAGGAGAGACAGGTATGTGACTGAATGGTTCTCATATAACACCTCTCCCAAATCCAAGTTTTTTTTGCACAGGAAGCTGGTTTACTTCGACGGCTTCCTGCAGAGCCTGATCTTGGGATCACAGCTGTTGCTGCTGAACCACTCTTAGGGGGGGACCAATCTACAGGGACAGCAACACATGCAGCCCAGTGCCACAACTCACCAGCAGAACATAATGAAGAATGTCTAGTGCTCCAGCAGGAGAAACCCCAGTCAGAGCCAGAGCCCCATCACGATGATCCAGCACAGCCTCAAAGCGATTCCCAGGACCCATGTGCAACCAAAGATGTTGCTGCTGATTTGCCGCAGCAAGATGACACCAAGGTGGTCACCCGAAGGATGCAGTTCAGAGCAAAGGCTGCAGCAAAGGAAAAAAGACATGCCAAGAAAGAGGCCAAAGCTGCAGACAAGCAAAAGAAACTAGAACTTAAGGTGGAGAAGGCCCGTGCAAAAGATGCAAAAAAGCAAGCAGCAGAAGAGCAGAAAAAAATGAAGAAACAAGCAAAAGCTGAAGCTGCGAAGGAGAAGGCATTAGGCAACAAGCGAAAGCAGAAACATACAAAATCAGAAGGGCCACCACACAAGAAAGCACCAGCACAGAAGAAGACATCGTTGAAGAAAGTTCGCACGAAAAAGCGTGCGCAGTCAAAGACATTTGCAAGCAATATGATTGATGACCAAGCAGACAATCACCAGCACCATGATGCCCTGGATGTCAGTGGTGACAAGTGTGAAGCAATTACCATGGAACTCCCCTGCAGCCCAAAAAAGACACGACTCAAGCCGGCAAAGCACAGCAAATTGAGCAGATTGCAGAACGCAATGAAGAGAAAGAAGCAAGCAATGAAGAAGCCACAAAGGCAACGAGGTTCTAGCAAAAAGCAGGGAACAAGATCTCAGCAGCCCAGTGGTGCATCTACCGATGCCTCCATTTCCAAGACACCAGCCAAAAGGGATGCAAATGGAAACAACAAGGGTAAGAAGAGCAAAGGCAAGGAG